GACGACCCAATTAAGCTTCTTTTCTTTAACGCCGATGGCAATCGAGACATTTTCAACGGTTTGACGGTTCGGATCGGGATGTTAATCGACGATTCCCTGAGACGGCTCACTATTATGAACGTCGGCCAGTAAATTACTCACCAGCGCAGTTCTGTCAAAAAAAGAATATAGGTCTGTGTGCCAAAGAACGAAATCTCAAACAAGCCTCGACCAGTCCCGGAGCTACAGTCCATATTCCATGGCCGTTTTGACATACTCTCTCTCTGTGACAGTGCTCCCCAATACGCGAATCTTCGATCTACAGCGAAGATGGGTCATCTCACCCATAACAGCGAAACTGACGATTAGGGTTTCGGGGCAAGGAGCACCATCAGTATTGATGAATGGCTCTTAGGGTTTGATTAAAACCAATACACGACGTCGATCTACAGCGATGGTGGGCGATGACGGGTGATAGTGGTAGTGGTGGCGATTGCGAGTGATGGTGGTAATGGTGGCGATCATGAGTTCTGTTCGGACACAGCTTCGCCGGCGTCGGAATCTTTAGCCGCCATTGAAATTAACAATCTCTCCCAATGATCTTTCCCGTTAAAGTAGTCTTCGTTGACTCTGGTTGTTTGTATATATATATAAAGAGAGAGAGAGAGAAAGAAAGATGAAAAGGGTAAGTTGGTCATTTAAGTATTTTGATATTTATAATTAAAATTAATAAAATAGTGAAGGGTAAAGTGGACTTTTCATATGTTTTAAGGCTCTATTTGGATGATAAATTTCACAAGAGGGTGTCTTTGTCCCAAAATAGGATAAGTTACATCTGTGTGTTCTTTTGCCAAACCTCAGAGGGTGATGTCAGTGTACTTTACCTTATATATATATATATATATATATAACACGTATAAAGAGAAGGGTGAATGGTGATGTGATTTGGGTGAATTTGTTTATGAGAGGCAATATAAGGTGTGTACTCAATCTTTAATGAAAGTGATGATGGTCTGCCATTGCTAAAGCAGCTTCAAATGACCACAAAACCCCAAAACCACCTCGTAAGATATAACCCAAGAAAACCCCTGTTGTTAGTCCTAAAAGACCCAAGTTAGCGAGTCCCCTCAAGATAAATGTCTCTTCCACTTTCCATTTTAAAATATTCATCATCTTATTCATTGAGAGAAAGAGATCAAGAAAGGGTTAGCGAGTGACAGTTCGATAGAGATAAGGTTTTTTGGCTGAAAAGAGAGATTTTGTTTTCCCTTCAGAAGAAAGTTTTTTATTTTTATTTTTTTAGCGCTAGAGATATTGATAAGGAGAAGATGATGTGGCACATTTTGATTGGTCTAAAGTTTATATTTATTAACATAACCACTTATATGGATTGATGTAATAAATGAGGACCAACAAGCTAGTGGCCTAGTGGTACCAGACCTCTACTTCCCAAAAAGGAGGTCAGCGGTTCGAGCATCATATAGAGGCATATGTGGCCCTTTAAACAAGGGTATAATAGTCAAATCATCATTATGTTAATGGCTACTTAAAACCGTGTCCTTAAATGTAACTGTGTAATAATTCAGGAGGCAATTCTTAGTATAAAAGGGTTTTGTGAAATTGGCTGATAGTTCAGGGGGATTTTATGCACTTTACCCTTTTTGTTTTTTAAAGTCTCACACATTACTACAAACACTTGACACATATACCTCCAATATTACATGGCGAAACCCTTCAGATATTCAGGGTCACGCTTAGCAAATACTTTAAATATTAAATAAATAAATAAAAAGCTTTGGGCGGGAGGCCCACAACTATTTGATTGTTTTGTTGAAAAGATAAACCAGTAGCCTTCGATTAAGTATCAACTTTGTGTTTTTTTTTTTCATAATGAAGTTGTAATTTTTTTTTTTTTTTGTCATTTCGGCTCTGTTTGTTTGAGCGTGAAAAATATTTTATGTGTTTTTTGGTGTTTAGTAGTCCCAAATTCAAAGAAAATCTTTTACGGAGGAAAATAATTTTCCAAAATTTAACCAAAACAACTTACCAATTAATCCTCTAAAAATCGTTTTCCGAGCCTATCAATGTCACTTTGGATCCCCTCAACAAAAGCATAAGGCATAAAAAATATCAATCTAAGTGCGTGGAAGAGTTACATAGTGACCAAAAAGCACTCTAGAAAGAGAGTTTAAAGAGAGAAAGAGAGTGTCTAGAGAAAGAAAGAAATGAGACCTTTAATAAAGAGAGTTTTTAGAGAGAGAAAAGGAGGAGCCCTTTTATATGTGGTACAATGACCAGAAACCAAACAATTATTAAGACAAGAGCCAGTAGGCCAATACCTATTGTGGAGCGAGAGGCACAGGACCAATCTATACTTTAATAACAATAATACAATTTCTTATTTTTGGTTTCTTTAATTTGCTTTATTATATTTTTTTGTCATCATTATTGGCTTAGTGATTAACCTGTAGTGTTGACCATAAGGGTTCATCCAAGGACAATCTAAGTATTTTGATGATTACAAACCATTAATGGTGTTTAAGGACTAATGTCTATATTGAATGTTATTAGATGATTTACATTCAAAAAAGAACCTCAATGAAGATCACAAAGATCATTCCAAGTATTCCTACTCAAAAATCACATATATAGAAAGTAAATGATACAAAGGAAGAAAGCAAGTCTACCTGAAAGCCTACACGATCATGGACAAAGCATAAAGAAAGGGGTAGATAGGTTAGTGAGTGTTTAGGATTCAATGTCAAGGTATTTATGAATCCATTTGAAGCTCATCTCTATAAGACCATGCATATCATTCACTATTCATTTGCTCATATGGAGTTTTTGCTAAAGAATGAGTTAGTTCAAACTTGCTTAAGCTTTGAAAGAACTCATCACTTGTGCTAGAAATGCTAAGACCATGCACATCAATCACATGATCCACTTTGGTCTCTAGAAAGTAAAGGTTAAGGCTAGAACTTATATTGCTCATCTATGACGCTTTCATTACCATGCCTTGGTAAAGGACATTAAGACCTCAGTTTGCACCTAATGAAAAACTGTATTTTTGGCTAAGTATGAAAAATGACTAAGTATGAAAAATGAAATTTTGAAATAATGAGTATTTCAAAATAATTTTTCCCAATAATAACTTTTTATACTTTAAATAGCCTAAACTGATTTTATGGGATTTTTTCATCAATTCTACATTAGCCTACACGGAGGATCAAGTTTTACCAAAACTGTCGGAAACCCCAATTTGTACTAAAACTGAATTTTCACATTTTGATTTAGTTGATTTTAATTTTCTTATATTTTTATTGAATCCAAATAGGGGGTACTTTCTTATTTACATTGTAAACGTAAAGCAAATAGACATATAAATACTCTAAAGACATTTACTTAAATGTTTTCAATAGAAATAAGGTATGTGTAGAAGCCCTGTGCAAAAGCTAGTAGCAAATCACTGAACAGTTTTTATTTTCTGGTATAACTACAACTAAGCCGACTCAATCTCCAACCTAGTTGACTCAATTAGGTCGAGAGTCCTCATTTCTAGAATCCTAACCCAGCCACTCGATTTGCAACTGAGCAAACTTTTTTCTTAACCCAGTCGACTTCTTTAGACCGAGGCTTATCAATTTGCAGAATTCTTATTTTGATCAATTCAGTCAACTCAATTCAAAACTGAGTCGACTCAGTTATGAATTAGCCGACTTAGTTCACAACTAAGTCGATTCCTTCTTGTGTCAACAATAGCTGCTTCGAAATAATTCTTTTCTGACCAAAAATTTGATTTGCAGATTTCCTTCTAGGCTGTCCCCCATGCGTATTCTAACTTAAATATTTTATATTGCATGCTTAGACTTTACTTCATTGAAATAAATAATTTTTATGAAGCATGCTTGGACTTTGTATCTTGAAGAAATATTTTATAACGGGTATTTTGAAATAGAATGCATATACATTCAGCTGAAGAAGTCAACAACTATTTTGTTTTTGAAAGGGACATATGCATTATATATATTTCCAAATTTGAAATGCATCAATATTTTGTTCAAAAAGTCTTAATCATGGAGAAGATTTCACAACGGCTATTTAAAAGTTTTTGGATATACCACTCCATTCTTGTTGCAGCCATTTATGAGAATTAGTATTAGGATTTTTGGTCAAATTGATTTTTGGTGACCCCATTAAATTGGATGGAATGTCACATGGTGCGCGCTGTGAATTTTACTATGACCATAGATGTGAATTTTACTATGACCATAGATGGTTTTGCGAGGATTTATTTGGTCCCACTTGAAGAAGATAGGCTGAGTGTCAATTGTGAAGATCGTATTATCTGATAACACAACAACAACAGAACAATGTCAATCTAGTTTAGAAAATGCAAGGTCCATTGTAAAAACAAGATACTAGTAGATCAATTAATTAGCAAGGGGTTCTCTTATTTTCCTACTATTAAAAACTTTATATATATATATATAGTCGATCTCTCTCTATCCTGTTGTTTCTCTCCTAAAAATTTGCTTACTACGAGTATATCAAGAAAATCTTTTTCATTTCCAATATACTTTTAAAAGTTATTTATACCTTCTAAAAAGGAAGGTCTTAACACAAACCTAATCTCTTCTTCTCTCTAAAAAAATCTCTTTTTTCTCTCTCTACGCAAATAACAAATGTTGACTTCAATGCCACCAATTAAAAAACCCAATTAAACATTTAAATTAATCTTCTGCTATGATAAATAGCTTTATTTATTTATTTTTTTTCGATAAGTAAATTATGATAAATAGCTTAACCGTGTTCATCAGTCTAGTACCGTGTTCAATTAATCGTATCAATTCTGGCCATTCTCATTCATACATGGGAGTAAAATACTCTACCAAAACCCTCCACCACCATGCTCCACCGCCAACACGGGCTTGAATCCTGACAAACGATGCAGCACACCCACCCGTTCTGAATGTTTTTGTCTCGTTGCAACAATCTTGATATGCGCAGCCCTCATTTGCTTAATGACTCTTGCTGATAAAGCTCTATTGCCCCCTTCTATCAAGTTCCGAGTCAATGATGTTTCAGTCTCTCCCTTCATCGTCTCTGGTTCTCCATTAATAACCTCAAATTGGACCATTCACTTCACAGTTGCAAACCCTAACAATAAGACCATCAACTACGAATCGGCCACGGTTTCGCTTTTCTACAATTACAGCCACTATTATCTCTCATATGGGGATATCCCGCTGTTTAGCCAGTCCGGGAAGGAAGAGACGGTGGTGGAGGCGGAGCTTAAAGGGGAGCTTAAAGGGTCGTCAGTGCACGTAAGTAACAAGGTTTCCAAGTCCCTTACTAGGGATATGAATTCTCTTGGAGCTCTTGAATTCAAAGTATATGTTAGTTGTGTTGCTAGGGTTGAGCCTGAAACAGTAAGGAAAGGATTGTCACGAGAGTGAACTGTGATTCTACCACCATAGTTTTCATCTCCAATTCTACAATTGTAGTGGGGAGGTTGTTGGATGGGTCAAAAAGTGTCATGTACGTGTAAGATATAATTAATTGTGGCTTTTGAATTAGGTTTAATTCACTCATGCTTTTTGCTTTTCAATTGTTCAGTTTGCAGCTCTTAATAAGAAGAATATTATATTACTCGGTAGATTTAAGTGGTTGGTTATTGCTTTAGACCAAATCCAATCGATTATTAATTTACTTTATTAAAAATTAAATGATCATTTCTTTCTCCTCCCTTTTTACCATTAAAATAGATTGGACAGAATTTAAGAAAATGTTGATTATATATATATATATTGATTTTTTTTTTTTTTTTTTTTTTTAATGTACTATAGATATCACAATTGTAAGAGGTTGTGGTTAATTCACAATTGTAGGGTCGTTAATTCACAATTGTAGGGTTTCATTTGCTTGGATGTAAATATTTTATTTTTTTAGTGTTTAGTTGTTGTAAATTATTTATAAAAAAATAAAAATAAATTAAAAATAACTTACACATTAATTTTGGACAAGTTATTTTAGACAATTAAAAATAACTTACACATTAATTTTGGACAAGTTATTTTAGAGGCTGGGGTTGGTAGACTTGATATCTTAACCACCTTGACCTTAACCTAATTATTTTTCGAACATGCAAAACCTAAAAATAAAAAAAAATAAAAAACTATTTACACTGAAAAAAAACATTTTCCATACCGCTAGCGAGTAAAGGAGACGGATAAAAGAAGAGTTGGGTTTCCCAATTTTCGAGCGAGCTAAGCTTGGCAATATTAGAATTACTGGAAATTATATATATATATATATATAAATCAAAAAAATAACAAGGTTAGTGTCACTACAGAATCCTTAATAGCTCCGCCTCAGCCAAGAAATAAACGTTCACCATGGTAGGCTCCGCCCCTCAGAAATAAACGTTCAATCACATCCCAAATGCGGATGTGGTCAGCAAAATTTTCTCTGCCCTTTATTCTCATAAAAAAAATCATTCCGAAGGACTTGTTGCTGTTTAATTGGCTTACCAGTTAGCTTTAATTCCTGCCGCCAGATCAGGTATATAATATATATCTCTTTATAAATTCCCAACTTCTTTACATATTTGAGTTGTTGTTCCTTCAATTCATGCCTGGAAGCTCATAATACTGTTAGTAGCATATATGCCTTGTGTTGCTTGGGTTGTATGCATTTAAATTTTGGATCTGTTCACAAAACTTTAGTTTCACATGCCATGTTCTTCTTGAGTATCTCTATCTTGGACTCCGCTGCGGTCCAGATTCAGCCACATCATCATCCTCCATATTGGAATTTGAAAGAAAATTTATTCTTGTATCGAAATGTCAAATCTATTTGTTTAACTTAAAGGTTTCTATCTCTTTTTTGGTGTGAATAGAATCCATGTTTGAACTTATTTAAGCTATCAAATGGATAGAAATCCCTTTGGGTAGACAAATAAGTTAAAATAGTCGGTCTAAATATCATTACTCTGAAAGAAAAATTATTCTTATAAATATGACAGTACACAAGCCTCACACGTGTAAGAGGATGCCGTGGTTGAATCTGGGCGGGAGAGAGATTCCCAAGGAGAGGATCATTTTTCGTTCATAATTTCATGCCCTTGACATGTTTAACATTACAGAAAAAACCAGTGTAAGAGAATTATCAGTGACTGTATATAATTGCAGAGATTACCAACATATATGTCAATTGCACTCCAATATATTGCATGCTCTGTTTCAATTCAGTATGATCATCCCCTTTTTGTCTCTCTCAAATCACTGTATCCATGGTTTTTCAGAGCATGACTTATTGGAAGAACAAACTTGACCTATTCTCTATTGATTTGTGTCACCCAACAGCCCCAACATATAGAAAACAAATAAATAAATAAATAAAAAGGAAACCAAATCAAGATTCTTAATTGCATAACAAGATTTTGTTGCCAGTTCAATCATTTTTGGAAAATAGTTTTGATTTATTTAATTGCGATTGAAAGTTATCAGATGACTGATCCAACTCCACTGGCTTTAAAATGTTCACTAACACATTTCTCTAGTACACGGGGATGACGCCATTGTCCTGCAAGTTCTCTTCTTTGATATACATTCATACCATATTAGCCATTATTTGTCAACCACAAGTATAAAAATAATTCGTATATTTTCTAATTTAAGTCGCGTTCAGTAGCTACATTATCCTGTCCTTTTCCTTTCTACACAGTACATATAAATTGCATTAATAATATTTGGCAACATCAAACGTTTTCCTTTCTCTTGCTCCACTTTATATAAACTGCATTCGTTCTTCCTACCAGCTTTTCGATCCTATAGATGATGTTTGTGGATGTCTGTTGCATAGCAACATAGTAAATTCTTATGTTCTTGTAGTATTTGGCAGTGATTGGACCAAGAAGATGTTGGGGAATGTTGCGGAACAGCTAAGCAGTATCAGCAGTCTTGATGAAAAGATGCAAACTCTCGAAAGCAAAATTAAAGATTTGAGCTGCAGAGAAGCCGATGTTATTGCAATGCTGCAAGATGCGGAGTTTCGAACAGGAAAGAAACGCAAGAGACAGGTTGATAATTGGCTGGATAACGTACAAAAGAAGAAAAATGAATTTCAAAGCTTTGAACGAGATGTACAAGGAAGCAACGTTTTACAAAAACTACGGTTGGGAAAACGGGCTGAGAAAATGATTGGTGAAGTGGAATTTGAAAAAAATTCAGGACTGCTTGAAGAAAGATGACATCTTGCGCATTGGAATTTACGGGATGGCAGGAGCAGGGAAAACAACCTTGGCAACCCACATCCACAACATACTTTTGAAAAGATCTAGAATTTGTAATCATGTTTATTGGGTGACTGTATCACAAGGGTATAGCATCCATCAATTGCAAAATGACATTGCCAGAATGGTTAAACTGGATCTCTCAAAGGAGAATGATGAGAAAAGGAGGGCAGCCAAACTCTTCCAAGCGATAACAAGAATGAAGAAAACGGTACTCATTTTGGATGATGTATGGGAACATTTTTCTCTGGTGAAGGTGGGAATTCCTTGTAGGGTGAATGGATGTAAGCTGATTCTAACTACTCGCTCATTGGAGGTATGCCGTAAGATGGAATGCCAAGAAAAGATCAAAGTGGGAACTCTCTCTGAGGAAGAAGCATGGAACTTATTTATGGAGAAGCTTGGGCATGGCTTCACACTTCCTCCAGAAGAAAAAGAGATAGCAATGTCCGTGGCAAAAAGATGTGGTGGTTTGCCACTTGGGATTATTACAATGGCCGGAAGCATGAGGGAGGTGAATGACATTCGTGAGTGGAGGAATCTGTTAGAAGAACTGAAAGAATCTATGAAGAGGCAGCAAGATATGGAAGCTGAGGTATTCCCAATTTTGAAACTTAGCTATAGTCGCTTGAAGGATGAAAAATTGCAGCTCTGCTTTTTGTATTGTGCGCTATTCCCTGAAGACTACAGAATTGAAAGAGAGAATCAATTGATACCCAAGTTCATTGTGGAGGAACTGATAGATGGAAGGAAGAATAGGCAAGCACAGTTCGACATGGGTCATACTTTGTTGAATAAACTTGAGAACGCCTGCTTACTGGAAAGTTGTGAGAATAAATTTGATCGTAGAAGTGTAAAGATGCATGATTTGATGAGAGAGATGGCATTGAAGATCACAAGAGAGAGTCCCCGATTCATGGTAAAGGCTGGTTTGCAATTACGTGAAATACCAGAAGAGCAGGAATGGAGCCAAGATCTGGAGAAGGTTTCCTTGATGTACAACAATATAGAAGAAATTCTAGATGGCACATCACCAAGGTGTCCTAAACTTTCAACCTTGTTGTTGCAAAAGAATTCTAAATTAAGGAGGATCTCAAATTCTTTCTTTGCGCACATGTGTGGCCTACGTGTTCTTGATTTATCCCAAACTGCCATTGTGGATTTGCCTGGCTCTATATCGGACTTGGAGAATCTCACTGCACTATTACTTCGTTTTTGTGTCGAACTCAGGCATGTGCCTCCCTTGGGAAAGCTTAGGGCATGACAGGTGTTAAACCTCAGTGGTACTCGTATTGAAGAAATACCTCAGGGTATGGAAATGTTGGTCAACCTCAAATGCTTGTATATGGAGTACATGAAAGATATGGAGATGTTTCCAACTGGGAAATTGTCTAGCCTGTCCTGTCTCCAAGTTCTTAGACTTGATTCATTTTCACCTGGACTACATATAGAGGAAGTAGAGCAGTTGGGGCATCTGGAAGAATTTGAAGGGCGGCTGTATGGTATGCGTGATTTCAAGAAATTTATCGCATCCGGACGCTATAGGCAGTTGAGCATCTGCTGTCTTCAGGTAGGCGAGTTCAAATCTACACATAGTTTCTATCCACATGATAAAGAAGTGAAGATAGGAAATCGCAGGATCGTGAATGGTAAAGAAGATGGGTTTTCATTGCTGCCACCCGACATTCAGTACCTGAATATTGAAGGATGTGACGGTGTTGTTTGTCCATCATTTATTAATGCAAGAGGTTTGAAGGAATGCAGACTCTCAAGGTGTGATGGCATAGAGTGCTTCCTGTCCTTGTCTTCTGATGAGGTAGTCCCATTAATTAAAAGCATTCAGGTTCTAGATCTTGATAAGTTGCAGAATTTAAGTGCCCTCATTAAGTGGGAAGGACCAACATTTTCAACTCCACATGGTACCCTTTTCAGTCTTGAGTATCTGTTCATTAGTGATTGTCATAAGATCAAGAAGTTGTTACCGCCTGGAATGCTGCAACACTACCTCCCAAACCTGAAATTAATTAGTGTCCATAATTGTTATCAAGTGGAGGAGATAATAGGAGACGATGGAGAAGAATTGGACACAGGCCATAACTCTTCTTCTTCTAACAATTCTACAATTTTCACCCTCCCAAAATTAAAAGAATTTGCTCTGGAAGGCCTCCCGGAATTAAAGAGCATCTGCAGGGGGGTGATGGCTTGTGATTCCCTCGAATTTATTGGAATACGAGAATGTACAAAGCTCAAGAGGATCCCTTTCTCTCTGCCACTTGTTAATGGACAACTATCTGCACCGACGACTCTTAGAAGCATCCAGATACTTGATGATGAAGAACTATGGTGGGAATCACTGGAGTGGGAGCACCCCGATGCTAAGGATGTCCTTCGGCCATTACTTGAGTTGTGTCAGTTCGGCTGTTACTGAAGGCAAGCTATCAATAATGAATGCATAAGCTGATCACTGGTTAAACTTTTATTTCACTTCTCTCTCTATCAACATCCATATTTTGATAATATATTTAGAATTCTTTTCAGGTTTCTTTTTCTGTGTTTTCAACTTGTATGCTGCTTGGTAAAACTAAAAATTAAGGGCTTGGTTCAGTTTTCTGTTTTCTAAGAACCAAAAATAAATAAATAAATATACAAAAACAACTTTGTTGACAGTTTCTGAGAACTGTTTTGGAAAACTCAGTTAAAAAAAGTTATAGTTCTCCTAAAACAGTTTAAGTTCATCAAAACTGTGTTATGAGAACAAACCAAGAAGGCCCAAGCATAAAAAAAACTTTGAGAACTGAATTTTAACTCCCACAATATTAAGTATCAATTGTAAATTGAGAATTTCTTTAATACTTGTTAAAAAAATGTAATTCTTTTCTTTTCTTTTAAGTGATATTCATATTGCATTAACTTTATTTATCAAAAAAAAATATGTACTGATTGAGTTACCAAATAACTCCCAAGTAAACATCATTCTATATATAACATTATTTGTACCAACTGGACAATCAATTTTCCTGTAACTGTTCTAACAACTTATATCATTGTATCTCCTTGTTTCAGGTAGGACATGAGTCATATGACCAAAGCCATACCAAGTCGGAACCATTCTCTTGGCGTTGCCACAAAAAGGCAGAGGCACTTGATAATTCTGATCCTTTCGCAAGTAAGACAATCATCAACCTTCAACCATGTTTAATTTTCAAGTTCAAGACTCAGTTCTTCCTTCAAACCTAAGTTTCTCTTCAAACATCCTGCTTATCTTCCCATAATCTTGGATCCTTTGCACATGTTATTTTATCGTGTATGTTTACGTCTTTTGATTATATATATATTTCAGATAACACACGTAATGGTTTCTGATATTTTTAGCTTATAGTTTCTTCCATGATGCTATATATGCCCTTCATTGCATGAACCTCATTTTTAAGTGTTTAGAAGGAAAATATGATTTTTGTTTTCTTTTCCGTATAAATACAAAGAAAATATGTCAGATAATAAAAATGAAATCTGTATTCTTTTACTTTCTGAAAGAAAAAAACGAGAGGAGGAAATCTATATTCTTTTTGGATTATCTGTCCAAAAAGTGCTCAATTTATGGAAATTTATTGCTTCGTTGTCCTTTACAAATGTAGAACATTGCTCAAAATGAGGGACTTCAATTACTTTGCCGAAAAACGGAGGTTATATTGATATGGATTTGTTTGTTTGTAAAAGAAAACTAGGTTACAAGATACTCAAAATAAAAAGAAAAATTATTACAATAAAAAATTGGTATTGGAGTGGCTGAATGTTGAGAAATTAACTGAAAAATGGTTTCTAGAATTCTTCCTCTTATAGCCCCAATAAATAAATAAATAAAATAAATAAAATTATGGCTAGGAGTTTATGCGTAGAGGAGTGTCTTTTTGTTTGACTTGTAGCCCCCATAACACCACACACACACAAAAGAAAAAGGTAACTGGAATAAGTAAATCTAAGAACGGAAATGATTTGTGGTCCAAATTTGGGCCATGCCGAATCGTGGGACTCACAGTTCATGGGTAGCGACGCTTTCATTAATCCAATAGTGGATTGGATTGGATTGGACCACCCGGGATCAGTGGTCAGGATTAACTAATAATTTCTCGTTCGTGTAAAGAAATTTTGAACTCGGAAAGAATTAAGTACAATTGTTTCGTGCTAGATGGGGCACTGTTTGCAACTAAATAATAATGAATTCTGTAACATTTAACATTAATCGGGGACAAATCCACCACCAAGGCTTGTGGCCTAGTGGTATCTCCTCTCCTCTTAAGAGATTTTGAAGGTTATGATTCACCTTCTGTTTTGGCTAGTTCTCTGTATAGTCTTCATCAAGCATTTTTCTTTTAATAACAGGATCTTGAATTTGATATACTCCATATGTATATAAAGATAACATCATATGTTGAGTCTTTGTTAAAACATTATTGCTGAGACCATTCATTTCTAATATGGCTTTTATAATATTCATTTTCTGTTTTAATATTATTGCAGTAACAGGAATTATCAGGAACTTCTGAATCAGAAGATGAAGAAATCTCGAGATCAGTTTGCAGATTAAGAATCTCTGGTTCAGATTCAGAGGATTCAATTTCAGAGTTGAGCAAAATTTGGCACATTTTGTTTTTTCACATCTTCATCGATGTTTAAATCATTTTTCTTTTTCTTAGTTAGGCACTGATTTTTTATAATGCCCTATTTTACCACATTTTTAATCTACTGGTGTTTTCTTATTGTACTGTTTTTTATTTGCTTTCTATAATATTTATTTTTAGAATATTTTCTAGTTTTAGATTTATATTAATGTCGATAAGCTTAAGACAATTGGAACAGTTTGTTGTACTGTTTTTATTGACTTGTTTTTAAGTCGAATAAACCTATATTAGAGATTTTCTTTGGTTTAAAAGGAGGAATATCCTAATTTCTTAAATGACCTTCAATATTAGGGTAATGAATTTCTTCTGCATTTTTAATGAAATCATCAAGGGAAATTGATTTAGATTTAGAAACATTATATCGCACTCTCCATTTTTTTTTTTTTTTTTATTTAAGAAGTTAAAATAAATTATACAAGCTTGAACCCCTTATCTCTCCTTTCCTTTGGAGAGGACAGGGTAGATTAATAACTAAACTTAATCAATTATTTAATTAAGTTAATCAATTATTTTACATAATTTTATTGTAGCCTACTTCATTTATTTGGAATAACAGCACACCTATATAGTTTATTACTTTATTGAAAAAATTACCTCCTAGTCTTACTTCTATCGTTAAAAAACAAATAAGCCTTAAAATTTTCATTTAAGACGTTTTTTTTCTACCCTCACTAAATTATATATACTCTAGCAAAATTAAATAATAAATTTTAGATTTTTTGTCCCTAATAAATTTTAGATTCAAACTTTCACATATAAAAAGAAAAAAAAAATTCATTTTGCAGATTTTTTTTTTTTTTTTTTGGTACTAAAGTCGTATTCTACTCAATATTTTTTGAATCGAATTTAAATTAGATTAATTATTATTTAAACTCATAATTCAATATTATTAAGTAACTAAAACTTATAGGAATATATAACTTGAAAAAATTTAGAGTTACAAAATTTACTTATATATAGCAAGGGTATAAATAGAAGAAAAAAAACATTAAAAGTAGAATTTATTGATCCCAAAAAACAAAAAAAGACTTATTTATCTTTTAATAATTAAAAAGTAAAATTTTGTGGTAATTTTTCCTAATTTATTAATCCTATCAAGTTACACACTAATCTACGCTCTAATATTAGGAATATAATGGTCCCTTATTATAGTGGACAATAGAACTAAGGGCACTTTCGAGTTTTTGCCATTCAAACCTTCACATTGCCCGCCAATTGGACACTCACACGAGCGCAGACAAACACCCACTCTCTCTCTCTCTCTCTCTCTCTCTAAACATGCAATGGATTCTCCTCTGCGTTTCTCTCTCTTCATCCTCATAATCACCGCCATTTTTCTTCAATCACGAGCTCTGAAAGGCCCTCAAGAACAACTCAATAGTTTCCAACCCAAGCTCATAGATGTCACTAGCCCAACCACCTCTCCTCCTGAAACAAAAAGCACAACATTTACAACCTCAATTTCTGATCCTCTCGTTCCGGCCTTATTCGTCATCGGCGACTCTTCCGTCGATTGCGGCACCAACAACTTCCTCCTAACGTACGATCGTGCCGATCGTCTTCCCTACGGCCGAGACTTCGACACCCACCAGCCCACCGGCCGTTTCTGTAATGGAAGAACCCCTGTGGATTATCTCGGTAACATTCACTTTCTTGATTTTCTGTTTGGTTGCTGAGAAATTTGTGGAAAATAAAAGGAAATAAATGTTGGGTTTCGTGGTTATTATTGTTTTGTTGTCCAAGAAATGGAAAAAAATAATAAATGACAAGCAGTTTTGTTGGAATCAGTTGAATGAAAGATCTAGTTTTGGGGTTTTTTTTATTTTTTTATTTTTTTATTTTTTTCCTACTACATTTTCTCAGTAACCAAACGGATGAGTTGCTTGTCCTGAAATTTTGCTGAAACTGACATTGAAACAAGATTTGATTTTGTTTTATTGGGTAGTAATTCTTGATTGGGTTACCAGTAAAAAAAAAATTGTTTTTGATTGCACTGATTTCTGAATTTTGTGACTATACGTATATATATATATATATATATATATATATAGAGACACTGAAACAAGACTTGATTTTGTTTTATTGGGTAGTAGTTCTTGATTGGGTTACTTACACCCCCAAAAAAATGCTTTTGATTAGGCAATGCTTTTGTGACTATATATATAATATATATCACCATTTTTTTTGTGGAATTTGATATTTATTAAGATTATTAAAATTATTTCTTAATGTTTTGATTACTGTAATTAGCAATGCATCTTGGGCTTCCATTTGTACCGAGTTATCTCAGCCAATGCTGCTCTGTCGAAAATATGATTCATGGAGTGAATTATGCTTCTGCTGGTGCTGGAATCATTTACTCAAGAGGGTCAGAGTTGGTATGTTTTCCATTATTTTTTTTTGTTATTCTTGTGTTCATATATTTAATGCTGGTTTTATAGTAGTATTACTTGTGAATGTAATTGGTTCTAGCTAGAACTGGTTTATACGAAATCACTGTTTCACAATTACTTTTGAAGATACAAGTATGTTGAACTGTTTTAAGGAAATAAAAACACATTGTCATGAGTAAAGTATTGCTAATTTATGTTGATCCCATACATTAATCTCTCTTTAATTGCCTAAAATTTTCGTTCTTTCACTGTTTTTTGATCTATTGAGGTTATTTTTGATGTGATACTTTGCAGGGCCAACACATCTCCTTTACAAGGCAAATTCAGCAGGTTATGGACACCTTTGAGCAGTTCATACTTAGGATGGGCAGGGATGCAGCAGCTAAACTTGTTTCGGATTCAATATTTTTCATTTCGATTGGAACCATCGACTATGTACATTACTATCTACGTAATGTATCCAACGTTCGATCTCTGTTCCTACCATGGAGTTTCAACCAATTTCTAGCTCACACAATGAAGCTGAAGATTAAGGTTATTCCCCATTCTGTTTCCATTGCACTGTGTTCAAAACTTTTTACCCAAAAACAAAAATTTGTTGGAGTCAATGATTATGACATTTTATATTTAATTATTTTGATTATTGAGTATCTTAGAACCATATTGACCTCTAGAAAGTACCCTATTTTATAATTTAAATTCTAGTAATATTGGAATGGATAATATTCCTCCTATTGAATTTCTTTTCTTTGTTGCTTAGCTGAGTGAAATTCTTGAAGAATGACGTCTTTTTTCTACATGCATTGTAACATTTTTTTATGGAACAGAACTTGTACAATGCAAATGTGAGGAAATTGGTTGTGATTGGATTGCCTCCTATAGGCTGTGCTCCTTACTACTTGTGGCAGTACCAGAGCGAAAACGGAGAGTGTGTTCAGTTGATAAACGACATGATAGTGGAGTTCAACTTTGTCATGAGAAGCCTGGTCGAGGAGCTTGGTCATGAGCTCACTGATGCCAATATCATCTTCTGCGACGTGTTTGAAGGTTCCATGGATATAATTAAGAATCACAATCGTTATGGTATAAACAACTGAACTCTTTTTTCCTCCCATTTCATTAGATTTCTCTCAGTACAATCCACATCTCATGTCATATATATATTATACGATCCAGGTTTCAATGTCACCACCGACGCTTGCTGTGGTGTAGGGAGGTATAGGGGTCTGGTCATGTGCCATTCACCAGAAATGGCTTGCAGTGATGCTTCCAATCATATCTGGTGGGATCGGTTCCATCCAACGGATGCAGTGAATGAAATTCTGGCAGACAACATGTGGTCCGGTCTGCATTCACAAATGTGCTATCCCATGAACTTGCAGGACATGGCAGCTCAAACAGCCAAAGGATCAAATAGGGAATTTCAGCATTGGCTTAACTTTGCACTTTTCAGATAAGTATTTGGTCTAGCAATACTAGGATCTCATAGACAGGAATAGTTTAGTAATTGGAATTGTATATGAACTAGCACTGTATAGAACTGTTTTTCTTTTGACAGGAATTTTAGCGTTTCATATATGCAACATTACCAAATCGGATGTTTCTTCTCAGAGAAAGTTGCTAATCTCATCTTCAATGTCTGTTTTCAGTTCAAAACTGGAAATGCAGTTGTGATTTCCCTGCACGGATAAAATCTATCGAATTGATATGTGTTATGAATGCATATGAAGACTTGGAATTGTTCTGTTCTTTGATAAGAATTTCATATATTGTTGCAGTAGGCATTAAGCCATTGGATAAAGGGATGCTGTTTTATTAGTGTCATTGAACAACCAATAGAAACTGTGTGTGTGTGTGTGTGTGTGTGTGTGTGTTTGTAATGCAAATAGGACTTGCCCGATGAATGTTGATAATTATATTCCTATGAGTGTGTTTACTTTACACCCAAGTGTAGTTCAACTCCCCAAGTACCTAGTTTGAGCTTGTGTTATATTGGTGTTGAATGATACGGACATGTTAAACACACCCTTTAACTTCAAGTCTTTAACCAGTTTAATTTTGCTGGAGTTTGTAGAATGACTGAAATTCCAAAAGTCCATTAATGTTTATTAAAAACTCAATCATGCTTTATTGGGCTGGTACAGATTTTTGGTTCTACAGGCTATGTTCTGAGAATTTATTTCAGAAATTATCCCAAGCAGTTCCAAATAGTGGCCTAGGGCTGCAAATGAACCGAGTCTAGCCGAGCTTCAGACTATTCGGGATCAGTCATTCGTTATGTATGTCATCATGTTTCTCACTTTCTCTTTCAGTTATGTAGGTCATCATGTTTCTCACTTTCTCTTTCAGTTATGTATGTCATCACGTTGCTTACTTTCTCTTTCACCAAATGCGAACTTAATCAAACAATACTTATAATTCCATTTCACAGTCAAATTTGCTGTAGCTTATTCAATGGCATCACAAAGAGATGGGGGTACAATCCTTCTTCATAAACACACACACACACAATCCATTTCACCAACAATTCATCAACTAATATAAAAGAATAACCTGTTTGTTGAAAAAGAACGAAGAAAAGAAAAATTTAGTGTTACCTATTGTAATTTTGTAAATTAAATATGGAAAAAACTAACAATTTAATGATCAAAGATCTAAGGACAGAAAGGACTCAAGTGCCATTACACTTGAGATGGTATCTACTATTGTGGTCATTTGAGTAGTAGAATGAGGAAGATCAAGAAATGTAGTCAGCAAACAGAAAAAGAAAAAAAATAAAAGACCAGACAAAGTGTTCAATGCTCTGTTCACAGGAAAGAAAAAATGAGAAGTTGAATTCAACCTCACATTTATCTTAATATTTTTGGCAACATTTAAAAACCAAAGGAAGCAACACAAAAAACCATCACATGTGTAGTATATCTGACCAAATGATGAAATCAGAAATCATAACTCTCTTATTAGTTGGGTAAAGAACAGTAATAATCTTCTTACTGCTTACTCCACAACCACCAAAAGAAAACAAAGAAAAATCACTTCCAGAAATTGGCTAATATAGCCTTCAGAACAAAAATGGAGCCAAAGGGAAGCATCAAATGGAAAAGTCTAAACACGATGTCCCCGACAACAACCTCAGGCCCCCAAAGCCAGTAAACTCCACAAGGCATATCAAAGGATAAATATTATAACCAAATTTTACGGTCATTGTCAAAAGCAAGAAAACGAAGCCCAGCTCAAGGAAACTAGGTTGAAGCTCCATCAAGATGCAGAAACAATGAATTGTTGAATACATACCACATCAGGAGTGTGTTGGAGTTAGAATTTTTTCCCTGATTGGAAACGATTAGGAATGACATGGATGCAACCATGACAAGTTGACTTTTTTCCTGATTGTTTGTGCAATGACACGTTTGGAATGTAAAGAATGTGTTGAATATATTGTAATATATATATATATATATAGACACACGTTATATATGTGAGTTACAAAAACAACGGTAATACAACATGCATGCTTTTAGAATGTGTCTATGAAATTTGATCATAATAACTACCATGCTTCTAGAAAGTGACCATTGAAGAAGGTACATGACTTTTGGTGGGTGCTGCACATTCTGGATTCACTTTTTCTGTTCTCTTTCTTGTGTCTAGTCATAACAGTTTCAACGAGTGTTTAGGGAATTCTTTCAGTATTGTTAACTACAGAAATTAAGGCTTTGTTGTATCTTAGAGGTATTTTGCTATGGAACCCGATAGCAAACTCTTTCAGAGTGGGGGCAAATAACACCTTAAGGACAATGACTACACGCCTCAAAGCCACAAATCATTCTTCCTTCTTCAATCCCGTGTATTTGACTCAACAGAATGGAACATAAAGAATGGATTATAATGCGCAACAGGTGCCACTTGAACATGCACCTTCTTGCAAGCTGCTGAAAACAATGATTTGATGAATGCTTGATGAATGTAGCTTCCAAAAACTGTCTAATAACATACACACAAATATAATATGCAATAAAAACCTCCTGTGCATTGGGCAGTCAGTGAACATCCTAATTCTATGGACTAAGCCATGAACAGTGGCCCAATGCAAAGCTGCTCCAATGAAGCATTGGCATTCACTCAGATGCAAAACAAGGGCTGTTAAGGTTATTATTGGATATAAACACAACAAAATCATGTCATGAATTCATAACTATGTCATGCTAGATTCAAATTACTAGAGAACAATAAACAAGTAAATAAAAATACAAAAGGATCATCTATCCTGGAGACTACTGCTGTGGGTCAGTACATCCATAGAGATTCATTTTACGAAATTAATAAATTCAGGAAACTAACAATAGTATTGCGGGAAAAATGGCGACTGAATTGAATTCAACATATAATTATGCCATCCTGATTGTAGACATCTAATTATGTGGCTTTAGCACAAACAACTTTAAAGTCTAATAAAAATGAAAATGAAAACCTCCCACAGAAAATGACAAGAAACAGAGCAAAAATTTCCATCAAAATAATCACAGCAACCCCTTTTAGCACAAAGAAATGGCCACACAGTTTAATCGTCTTTGTCTAATTTGCAATATGCAAGTAACATAGATTTACAGCATACCATTCATCGGAGGGCTGCTTGTCAGCCACATCAGCAATTCAGCATCATCATCTTCACTGCCGTTTTCCCACATGATGTTACTGCAATTGCTTCCAACTCACTTGGGGCTGCTTGTCATTCCCATCAATGCTGTTGGTTTCAATGCTGTTGGGTGAAACCAGGCTCTCCACATACAAAACATAAAAATAGGGACAATTACAAATTTCCGTAAATGTACTCTCTTTCATATTGTACGATCCCAATTTTGTTTCACGAATCAGTAGAAGTTCACCATTCCTCAACATACATAATGGTGTGAAACAAATGCCCACGTTAGACCACACCTCAACCAAACCTCCATTAGCACCATTTGAGAAAGAGAGTACATACAGACATTCTTCGAAAACCCCTATTGTGAGAAACTCGCCCTGAATACCATATAGGGATATTTCACTAAACACCTCCTTGGATGGATCAAAAGAAACAATTACCCTGTCAACTAGTAGTAGCCAACGAAAAGATCCATTCCGGAAGATTCCACTACATAATGACAATTTCAGCAGATCAAAATTACAACTCACGCATTGCGTTCTTATCCAAGAATTGTGTCCAAGACACAGGTTGGTGGTGTTGGCAATTCCTTAGAGACTCTAGTGGAAGGGTTGTATAAGAGGAACAAAGGGCGGGGTCGACCAATAAAAAGACAAATCAAACCATTGCAAGAACCTATTACATGGACAACGTTATTTAACAATGGGCAATCCAACTTCACTATTGCATTATTAATATCGTCGTTGTTGTTATTGTTGTTGGCAAGTAATGATTCATAGTCTATTATTGATTGGGAAGTGGAACGAGAGAGAAGGATTTTCTGGCAGTTGTAGGAGAGAATTGATCGATTGAGATGCAATTTGAGGAAATAGGGATCAGAAATTATGGAAAGAAATTGTTTGGATGCGCACCTAAATCTCATAAGAGATTTAACTGGAACTCTTGAGAGGATGTCCATCTCGATATCTCCAGATAGGTTCAGCGACGATTCCCTTGTCATCATATAGTTTGATCAACCGAGTCCACTCGGTAAACTCCAACCACTCGGATCTAGGTTCTCAGATCAAAAGCTTGTCTGAGTTCAGACGTCCGAGTGACGTGTATATTTTACACACAAAAAAAGTGTTTAAAAAGACTGGAGTTGCTCGAATATACATAATGTTTTTTTTTTTTTTTTTTTTTTTTTTTTTTTTTTGGGTAAATCAATTCATTAGAAGAAAAAGAAACTATACAAAGGGCAAAGGCCCAAAGCCACAGGCCACAAAAGAAGCTAAGCCACCAGGCCAAGCCAAAGCACAAAAACAAAAATTGCCGTAGCAATAACAGACATCATCGTCCACAAACATAAATACACCAACAACAAAGCAACTCCTACAGAGCACTTTCAATCACGGAACTAGGGAGATTCCATGAAGCCGCAATGGTTCTCGCAGCTCTAGAATCACGAAACTTGCAAGACATAAGACGATTCCGAATAGAGTCATAGATCAGCTTAGTAACCAAAGCGATGGAGGCCATTTAGTTCGTGGCATGTCTTCTATTCCTCTCACTCCAGATGAAATACACAGAGGTTGTGAGGCATAGCTTGTACACATAAGCTTCTGGCGCCTTTGTTCCATCCTTCCACATGGATGCACTCCAATTGGTTATGTCATATAAGTTGAAGTCTCTAACATATATCCCACACAAGTGTTGGAAGAACATCCAAATTTCAGAAGCAAACCTGCACTTAAAAAAGAGATGTTGATGACTCTCAGCAGCAGCAAGGCACAATGAGCAGTAATTGGGAACAATCTTCTTTGCTAGAGCTAGGCTGTCCCTAGTTTTGAGTCTGTGACTAAGAGCAACCCAAGCAATAAAAGAAAACCTCGGAATGTGATTAGAAAACCAAATGACAAAGTGCCATGGAATAGATGGGGAAGGTGAAATAAGAGCACAGTAAGCAGTAGCAAGGTGGAAACTACCAGTAGAAGAGAGAGTCCAAATAACTGAGCCATGAGACCTATTTCTCAGCACAGGAAGATGCTCTGTAGTCCCAATGGTGGGAACCAATTCTTTGAACAAGCATGGAATTCTCCACTGATCATGTCTAATGGGGCATTGGACCTTAGCCCCATTATCCCATTGCGAGCAAGCAATGATGCTGTGGTCAATTCTGGTATTGAGAGGCCCTGATGGAAGCCAGTAGTCATGCCAAAGAGAGACATCCTTACCATCGCTTACCATGTGCTTGATGAAAGGTCTAGCAAGTCCTCTAAGATGGAAAAGCATCTTCCAATTCTAAGAGCACACCTGAGGAGGCTTCAAGGTCCAGAAACTGCGATTTTTTATGAGGTTCTCATGAGTCCACTCAAACCAAATGGATTGGCCTCTATCCTTGAATAGGTTCCAAATGTGCCTGAGCATGGAGATACGGTTCAGAGCAGATAATTTAGGTATGCCTACGCCCCCAAACTCTTTTGGCTTGCACACATTCCACCAAGCAACTTGAACTCCTGTAGCTTTCAAATTAACCCCTATCCAAAGAAAATTTCTTAACACAGTGTTGAGTTGGTTAATGACCATCTTAGGGATTATAGATAGGTTACACCAAAAACCAGTCATGTTGAGCAAGATGGACTTAATGAGCTATAATCTCCCTGCATATGAGAGGAATCTAGTTGTCCAACAAGTGATTCTAGCTGTAACTCTTTCAACAAGAGTTCTACAATAAGTTGCACTGAGTCTCTTAGAGCATAAAGGCATCCCCAGGTACCTGATAGGTAGACTTCCCAACTCAAGACCACACATACTAACCATTTGTAGTTGAGTATCCACAGGCACATTAGCAGTAAACAAAAGACTCTTAGAAAGGTTAGGGAAAAGCCCAGATAGCTCTGAAAATGTGGTAATAGACTTGGTTATAACAAAGAGTGAGTGGACATCACCATGGCAGTAAAACATGAGGTCATCAGCAAACATGAGATGGGATAACTTGGTTTTCTTACACTTCTAATGGTAAATGAAGTTAGGATCATTGCAAATAGCCTATTAGGTAATAGAGGAAAGGACATCCATCACAATAACAAAGAGGAAAGGGGATAGAGGGTCCCCTTGCTTCAACCCTCTGGTGCCTTTGAAAAAACCATGGAGCTCACCATTGATAGAGACTGAAAACCTTGGACTGGTAATACAAGCCTTGATCCAATTAACAAAGATAAATGGGAAATTAAGGATCTGAAGAGTATCCAGCAAGAAGCACCAGTTAACAGTATCATAAGCTTTCTGCAAGTCAACTTTGAGAGTGCATTTAGGACTATTAGAGCTAGAGTGGTAACCCGTCATCAATTCTTGAGCCAGCAACACACTGTCCCCAAGTCTTCTATCCTTAATAAACGCAGTTTGGCATTTGTCCACAAAACAAGGAAGAACAGGTTTGAGTTTGTTAGCCAATAACTTTGAGATAACCTTGTAGATAGTATTGCAACAAGCAATGGGCCTAAAGTCCTTCATACAATTAGGATTTTGTACTTTGGGAATGAGAGCCAGGTAGGTTGCATTTATCTCCTTGAGTAAGAGACCAATAGAGAAGAAATCTTTCACAGCCTTGGTTACATCATTACCAATAACAGACCAAGCTTTTTTATAGAAACAGGCATTATATCCATCTGGCCCTGGTAATTTGTTATTCTTGAGGGAGAAAAAACACTTCGTAATGTCCTCATTAGAAGGGATGGAACAAAGAGAAACAACAAAACTTTCAGGAATAGTTTTTTGGTAAATTGATCTAAGAGCATCAATGCCAGAGTAATTACTAGTTCCCCCACCAAAAATGGTTCTGTAGTAGTTGAGAGCTTCCTCCTTTATCACATGGTTGTTGCTTGTGGTAGTACCATCAGCAAGTTGGAGAGAAATAATTTTTTTCCTGTTACACCTATTGTTGAAAGCTTTTATAAAGAAGCTTGTGTTGCCATCCCCTTCCTTAAGCCAATTAATTCTGGAATTCTGAATAAAGAACATTTCCTCAGCAGCTGTAAAATCAGTGTAAACCTGAAGAAGCTCTCTCTCTTTAGTCCTCAGTTGTTCATCAAAGGGTCTAGAGTCAAGAGATTTCTGACAAAGGTTCAGGTCATCCTTAACTGCAATAACTCTTAAGGAGATCTCACTAAACTCTTTAGTATTTAAAAGCTTAAGATGTTGCTTCAAAGACTTGAGCTTCTTGGTCACTTGGAACATAGAGTTCCCATCCACCCTAACATCCCACACATTGGTGACAGTGGACAAGAAATCCCTATGGTTCCCAAGGAAATTAAAAAACTTGAAGGGACTATTTCTTCTTGGATTAGGATTACCAACTTTAACAACCATTGAAGAGTGGTCTGAGACTCCATGGGGTAAAAATTCACACTCAGAAATAGGGAAAGTAGTAAGCCATTTGTCATTTGCCAAAACTCTATCAAGCTTTTTTGATATATTGGTTGCACCTAGGCTTTTGTTAGTCCATGTAAAAAAGGTTCCACAATACCTCAGATCACAAAGTTCAGAGGTGTGAATACACTTATTAAATTCATCAATAGCTGGAGTCCATCTCTGAGATCCACTAAAACACTCTGAAGGGTGCCTGATGACATTAAAATCTCCCAAAAGAAGCCATGGAGTCTGTGGGGTAGCTGCAGCAAGTCGACATATATCTTTCTACAATTCTCTCCTGTAGGCGGCATTATTGTAAGCATAAATGATAGAAAGACTAAAATTAGTATGATCACTATCAATAGTGATAGAGCAGTGGATAGCCTGAGCACTATCACTTAATTTCTGGACTTTGATGAACTGCGGATCAAACAAAATCCATATCCTCCCAAGAGAGGAATGGCTATAGTTGTGAAATAACTGCCAAGAAGGGGCAATGTTCTTCAGTACAGAAGTTGCATTTCCTTCTTGGACTTTGTGTTCCACAATAGCAATTAACTGGAGCTTAGATTCATAAATAAGCTTCCTTATTTCTCTTTGTTTTTCAAGGGAATTGAGACCCCTGATGTTCCAAGCTGCTGTACTGATCATTGAGAGGATTGGAGCACTAGGCCTGGAAAGCCTAGAATAGGCATTTCCTGGGTAATATCACCCTTCTTCTTCTTCTTTTTCTTCTTCTTTTTCTCCATCTCAACCTCCTTGCATTTTTCATCATCTGTAACAACCTTATTATCCTGGTTTGCAGAGGTCATTGCAGTATCACCAGAAATATGAGATGATTCAACCTCTTCAGTACTGGAAGTAACATCATCACCATGAAAAGAAGTCTCTTGGTCTTGATTATAGCAACTAGGTTCACTTTCAGGCACCATTGGGAGAGTACAACTTGTAGGGGGAGGTTCAATATCAGAATTCAATGAGGAGAATTGGTTAACAGCCAACAAGGAAGGTGGAGGATTAACACAATCATTGGAGGGTTGCATAATCTCTGAGCAAGTTTCTGTGCTAGTGCCAGGGTCAAGGAGCTCAACATTGGTAGATGGGGCAACCTTCTTGTTCTTCAGAACCATCTTCCATTCAGAGGTAGCACCACCAGGAGCACTCACAGGAAGGGTAACACTAGTAAGTAAGGGGTTAGGGTCCCTAGCAGCAACATTGGACTTGCAGTTTGAAGTAAAATGCCCGAAACACTTACAATCATAAACATGAGGTATCCACTGGTACTCAATATCAATGGTGATAAGTTTACCATCCTCAATTCTGATTTGAAAATCTTCCAAATAGGCTTAGCAGCATTAACTTCTATACAAACCCTTGCATAACTTATTCTTGTCATAGATTCAGTTTGTTCATCTGCAAATAAGGGCTTCCCCACAGCACTGGTGATATAACTTAAGCCTTTAGCAGTCCAGTACTCATATGGAATGTTGAAAAACTTGACCCATAAAGGTATGGTACTACAAGTTTCCTTGTTGAACTCCATGCCTTTCTCCCATTTTTTGAGAATGGTCTGCCCATAATCATCCATGGCCCATTAACAAGGACCTTTTTACATTCATCTTCATTTGAAAATTTGAAAATGTAAAAACCTCTATCATTTCCACGTGGTTCCTCAAAGCCCATTGAACCCCAAAGTTTCTGGGCTTGTTTAAGGACTAATGAGTATGGGAGTTTTTTCTGCAAAAAATAGCCTACTAAACTGACCTTCCATTCTTGTACTCCTTCTTCAGCTAGATTAGCAGGAAGATCAATAACAATGGGTGATCCTGTACTGACATTAGGAAGGATAAATTCAAACTTCATCTTACAGTTGTCAGCAAAAGAACCATTACCTGTGGCAGCCACTTTTGACCAGCTGGTTTGGTTGTCTCGAGGATCAACAGGTCCAGAAACAGGTCCAAAAATAGGTTGCTGAGCAGTGTGCAGACCATGTGGATAGCCTGTAGGAGAACCAATATTTCCATTCTGGTGAAATAGGGGAAAGTCACTTTGTGAAGGGACAGCTTGGGCAGGAGCATCAAGTCCAAAGTTTGACTCTGGGGCTGCAACATTACTCAGCTTTAGAGGTGGCGCGTGGGCACTCCTTTGGTGCTGGTGTTGAGAGACAATGGTGTTATATCTCCTTCCTCCACCTCTACCTTTTCCATTTTAACCTCTACCTCTACCCCTACTTGAGGAGGCCATGTTTGAAGGCTTACTATCATTGTCATCTGGAAGATGTGAAGCAAGCAGAGGGTCTGTAGCCACTTCATTCACAGTGACAAGTGGTTGTTTCCCTCTTTGGGTCTCAGCCCTGTGGTTAAGGGCTCTCTCCAGCTCAGCAATCTTCTCTCTGGCAAGAGCAAGTTCAGTTCTTACATTAGCAAGTGATCTAGCAGGAGCTTATTCTAACATTAGCTTTGCCTCAGCCACTGCTTTGGCACCCTCAGTTGCAGCATTCCACTCACCTTCCTCAGCTCCTTCATGGATGGAACTAAGAATATTCGCAGGTGATTGCTTATCAGAAGATGGGAGGAAAATGTTGGGACTATTCAAGTGACAAGAAGGCTGTGATGGAGGGGTTAAGCTATCCATAGAGCCAGTTAACACAGTTGATTAAGAATGGTGGTGGTGATGAAGGTGGTTGAGAGGGTTGGGATGGTGGTGGACATAGTTACTCACTTTTAAATAAAAGTTACGTATGATACATAATGTTTTCAAGTATGTATATATATATAAATTGAGAGTGATATTTTTGAGATGAAACTAATTTATAGATATAGAATATAAAGATTAAGAAAATAATTTAGAAAAAAAAAAATTATATGGGTCTTTTAAATTATAAATAAAATTAAGGAAATAATTAAAAATAAAAAAATAAAAGAAAAAATCACAAAGTAAACTTACCAAATCAACCACTCCTAAACATCAATTAGAAAGAGAAAAAATATATATATATATATATATATATATATATATATATATAAAATTAACATAAAAAAAATTCCAACAACAAATTTAATTCAAAATCAAATTCAACTCAAACTCAAAAAACATTGAAACGCTGACTCAAAATATTAAATTAATAATGAACCAAAAATTAAAAAAATAAAATCTGGAGAAAAAAATTACAATCCAAAATAAACTTACGAGTTACAAAGAGTAGAATAAAAATAAAAATTAAATAAAAAGAAGAATGATACTTCTGGAAAATAAAGAAAACAAAAAAAATAACAATAATGACTCAAAATAATAAAAAATTAAGAATGAACCAAGAATAAAAAATAAAAAATGAAGAAAAAAAAATCACAATCCAAAGTAAACTTACTCAATCAACCACTTCTAAACATCAATTAGAAAGAAAAAAAATAAAAATAAACAAATCAACTACTTCTAAACATCAATTAGAAAGAGAGAGAGAAAAAAAAAAAAATGCTTGTAAAAATAATAATAAATTAAGAATGAACCAAAAATAAAAAATAAATAAAAAATGAAGAAAAAGAAAAATCACAATCCAAAGTAAACTTACTAAATCAACCACAAAGAAAAAAATAAAAATAAACAAATAACTACTTCTGAACATCAATTAGAAAGAGAAAAAAAAAAAAACAAAAAAACAAAAATAATAATGCTTGTAAAAAGAAAAAGTAAAGAAAAAAATTAACAGCCAAGTTAAATTTACCAGATTAACTAGATTAACAACAACTATTACTGTCTTCTTAATACCAGTTATAGAGATACTAATTATAAAGAGAGAAAATATGCACACCACAAGCGTAATCCAATATATGTGACATAGTTTTATAGAAAATAAAATAGGTAATTTGTATTAGAGTTTTATAGAAATTAATTTTCTTTAAATATTTCCTTGTCTAATTAGATTTCCTGTTATTAAAACTCATAATAAATAGTTAATTTGAGTTTTATAGAAACTCTTATTATTTTTATTTTCTTTAAATATTTCCTTGTCTAATTAGATTTTATTTATTAAAAAATTCATAATAAATAGGTAATTTGAGTTTTATAGAAACTCTTATTATTTATATTTTCTTTAAATATTTCATTGTCTAATTAAATTTTATTTTTTAAAAAACTCATAATATTTAAGCACCTTATTTCCTTCTATTAAAAAACTCATAATAAATAGGTAATTTGATAAACTCTTCTAAACACCTTATATTAATTAAAAATAAATAAAAACTCATAATAAATAGATAAATAGGTAATTTGTATTAGAGTTTTATAGAAACTCTTATTTTTTATTTTCTTTAAATATTTCCGATTTTATTTACTAAAAAACTCGTAATATCTAAGCACCTTATTTCCTTCTATTAAAAAACTGATGATAAATAGGTAATTTGAAAAACTCTTCTAAACACTTTATATTAATTAAAAGTAAATAAAATCTCATAATAAGTAGATAAATAAGTAATTTGTGTTAGATTTTTATAGAAACTCTTTATTAATAAATATTATTTTATATTAATAAATAAATATTGAAACTCTTTACATTTTTAATCATAGTATAGATATAGATATATACCGATAAATTCTCACGTGTCATGCATGTGAATAAATAATCATTAAAAAGTGTATAATAATAACAACAACAACAATCGTCATGAGCATGCAATTTATTAATTTATGAAATTGAATGATATATATTTAACAAAATTTATTAATTCATTTTGAGATGGTTATTTCCTAGGGATATTGATTTTGAGTCCGAAAGTCCACCTATTCCGACTTATTTACATGATTGGGGACTCTTTAATATCCCTGGCTTAATGATGACGTTAACTTCTACTTACATAAAATTAACTATTTTTCTAAACATCATTTTGCATATTGGTATATGGAATTAGAGTGGGTTATGAAATTTGTTATGGAGATCATGTATGTTAGCTGTATCGAGCCCTTACTTTCCAAAAGGAGGTCAAAGTTCAAGTCTCAAAAAGAGACGTGGGTGAGTACCAACTAGGAAAAAAAAATCATGTATGTTAGAACGATTGACAAATTTTAAACATTTCCAATATTCTTGAAAATGAAAATGTAACTAACATGTTTGAGTAGATGTTAAATGTTAAATATTAATTTTTCCATAGTTGAACTTGGAAAATTGAGTGACCTGTTAAGTATCAATAATGTATATATATTTTAACACCTGATATCGTTGTGACTGTTTTGATAATTTGATCTGTAGTATCTTTGTGGCACAGCCATGAAAAATAAAATAAAAAATGTTTTCTTTCTTGTTTCTGTATGTGAACTAGCATTGTATAGAACTGTTTTTCTTTTGATAGGAATTTTAGCATTTCATTTATGCAACATTTCAAAATCGTTTTTAACCGATGTTTCTTCTCTAAGAAAGTTGTTAATATCATCGTCAATGTCTGTTTCTCAGTTCAAAACTAGAAATGCAGTTGTGACTTCCCTGCACGGATGGGATGAAATCTATCGTATTCAAATGTATTATGAATTTGGCATGTATACGAAAACTCCGAATTGTTCTGTTTTTTGATAAGAATTTCATATATTGTTGCAGTAGGCACTAAGCCATTGCATGAATGGATGCTGTTTTATTAGTGTCAATGAACAACCAATGGAAGCTGTGTTTTGTGTGTGTGTGTGTTTTTTAAGTACCTAGTTTGAAGAACACAACCTTTTACTTTTAACTAGTCTAATTTTGGTGGAGTTTGTATAGTGACTGAAATTCCAAAAGTCCATTTGATGTTTATAATAAGCTCAATCATGTTTTACTGGGCTGGTGCAGCCTTTTGGTTCTACAGGCTATATTCTGAGAATTTATTTCAAATAGTGGCCTGGGGCTGCAGATGAACCGAGTCTAGCCGAGAGTCAGTCTATTCGGGATCAGTCATTCGTTATGTATGTCATCTTGTTTCTCACTCTCTCTGTCCCCAAATGCGAACTTAACCAAACAAGACTTGTAATCCATTTCACAGTCAAAATTGTTGTAGCAGAAATGGTGTAGCTTATTCCATGGCATCTCAAAGAGATAGGGTTAGGGGGTACAATTCTTCTTTATATATACATATATATACACACACGCACATAAGCCATTTTTTCAATAATTCATGAACTAAAATCAAAGATTAACCTGTTTGTCACAAAAAAAAAAAAAAAAAAAAAAAAAATTATTGTTACCTTGTAAATTAAATAAATAAATACAAAACTAACAATTTAATGATCAAAGTTCCAAGGACAGAAAGGACTTAAAGTGCCATTTTACTTGAGATGGTATCTACTATTGTGGTCATTTGAGTAGTAGAATGGAGAAGATCGAGAAATTTAGTCAGGAAACAGAAAAAGAAAAAAAAAATAAAAGACAAGACAAAGTACTCAATGCTCTGTTCACAGGAAAGGAAAAAATGAGAAGTGGAATTTTTTGAACATTCATTCCAAACACAACCTGTATAAGATTGCAAGCTCACATTCATCTTGATTTTTTTTCCCCGCAACATTTAAAAACCAAAAAAGCAACACAGAAAATCATCACTATGCAGTGAACCGGGCCAAAAGATGAATTCAGAAAATGAGAACTACAATTGAAATGACCGGACGAAACACTGGAAAAATGTTATTATTAAAAATATCACAACAGGATTTTCCTGTTGGCTTTGTGATCTCTTTGCCAGCAACCTCGTAAATCATGGTTCCAAACATCTTTTCTGTGCTGCTCTGAAGTCCAACAATTACATATCATTATATCTCCAAGTGGAAGTGTTTCTTGATTTGTTCAGCATCTCCGGTAATTGGTACTCTATATCTGGTAATCTTTTTAGGAAACTAGTTTTGAATCTAGAACTTGAGATTTCATGACGAAGTTTGGGAATGCAAGTGTTATCTCCCTGGAATACAGAAAACAATGTCGAATCTCTCAAAACCAATAATAAATAGCTTACATTGTAGTTTAATGAGAAATAAGCCAAACACAACTCAATTGAAGACTACCATTTCCAGTTTAACATACATTGTCTAGTTATCTTTCGGTTAGAAAATTTTCCCAGATGGGAATTTAGGGCAGCAAAAAAAACTTTTAAATGATATGTCCAGGGAATGCTAGAGTATTTTAGGGATCGGAAATGGTAAAATTAGTTGAAGCACCCATTGGTGTGAAAATTAGAGAGAGTAGACTTAGAAGGTTTGGACACATACATCGGTGACCTAGAGATGTGCCGGTCAAACGAGGAAGACTAGTTGTAGGTGAAATGACATGTGATAGAGAAGGTTGAAGAGAGAGAATTCATGTAGCCGACCTCATTCATATGGGATTAAGGCAAGGATGATGACAACGACGACGGATGGTAAAAAATAAATGGTTCTATTGTGCAATGACCGAACCTAGCATATAAGAGATGCAGCTAACTTATGCTGACCACAACAAACAAACAAACAAACAAAAAAAGATTTTACGACTCACTTTAAAACTGGAAGAGTCATGTTCTTTATGAGAGATGGATTTCTTGCTACCAGTTCCTTCCACTCTTCTGGATCAATTCTCCCATCTCTATCCAAATCTGCCTCCATCATTGCCTGTAGAAAAATGAACAGAAAATAGTATATGGGTAGAAGATTGAATGAAGTAGTATAAATCACCAAGAAAGATTATTCACCACCTTATTCACTATTGCTTCGGCATCTTCATCTGAAAGTGTCAAATCTAATTCACTCAGACGAGCCAGCAGCATCTCCTTGAACTTCGAAGTTATATTTTTCACGTAAAAAGAATCATGTTTACATATATCACAATGTCAATGACAATTGAACCATGGAAGCAACATATTTGAAGCAAAAATGAAAACTGGAAACTGGATATTACATTCAAAATTGCATAAACAACACTTTCAAACAAAATTAGTTGAAAATACGTTGAAAAGACACTCACCTCATCACGCTCTATGTATCCCGTATGCCGTAGATCATACAATCTAAACATGACTGCAAGAAGGTTCTTTCCCAAGTTAGTACCAATAAATGTTACCGGTAGGCAGTGGGAAAGGAAATTATCTTCTGAAGAAAAGATAGTATCATTTAGGAATTAAAAAATAAAATTTCATCATAAATAGAAAAAAATGAATTTAAGAAACAGCATTGTGACATGTCTTACATGATATTTTGTCTGCTTCAGGAGCGTCTGGATGGAAGATGCTCAATGATTGAACAAAATCTTCAAATTCAATTACCCCATTTTTCTTTATATCAAACAATTCAAATACCTGCAACAAGGTGAGAAAATGAAATTTTATGATTGGTATGAATAACTTGATAATAATATGTGATGAGGAACAACAAATGGCCTTTGTGAGATGTTTATAGATAGATGGCTATGCCCACATTTTTTTATTTATTCTGTGAATGAACTTTGAAGTCCAAGATATATTTTTAAGGCATTATGAGGCTGTTTCTTTCTTTCTTTTTCCCTTTTTTTTAAAAAATAATTATTTATTTGCGGGGTGGATACGCGAGATGAGGCATTATTGATTTGCTGCTGCTGCTAAACTAAAAGTCTAAAATTTTAAATAAATTTAATGATTATGCAGGATTTTTTTCTCATATTATGCCACAATTCCATACAAACAATCAAAAAAAAAAAAAAAAAAGAGAGAATATAACAAATGAAAAAAACAAAAAATACACACTCTGTCTGCGAAGAGGTTCTGCTTACTGCTGTTGTTGAAAAGTGCAAGTCGAAATTCTTCCTGTTCATGAAATGTTTGAAAAATTAGTAACTCGTTGCATAAAACATTTGATAAACCAGTAGAAGAGATCAAAGCCTAAACTAGCATTTGAAGAATTATAAATCATAAACTTCATAATACAAATTTCAGACAAGGCTGTCATAAAAAACAAATCACAAACATCATAAATGGAAAGTGTGACAAAGATACCTTGTTAATGAGATCATCCTCAGTTATGGAATTGCTTATAGTCATGTATAGATCATACAAAGCCTCTACTTCACTCACAGTAACTGCCAAATAAAAGAAGCAATTCATATATGATCATGTATTATATACACTAAAGATCACCATAGCCGGCTGAGATTATGGCCTTAAATAGAGCGGAATGGAAATATAGGATACATGTCGTGCGCCGACCCCAAGTAATTGGCAAAAGGCTTGGTTTTTGTTGTTGTTGAGAGATCATTATAGCTGGGGAATCAAATGTGAATAAATTTCTAAAAGCATAGCCTATCAAGATGGAGAAGAAATTTCTTGCATAAACCATGTTAAAATAAGGTATACAAAATTAAGGGTATTTGTTCTCCTATTTGTGTAACTGACTCAGGTGGTTGAAATTTTAGTGTTTGTCAAGTTGCGATTTACCACCAAAGATTGTAATCTAGTAGTACTTTCTCACCTTCCAAAGTATAAAGTCGAGGGTTCAGGTCCTTTTAGCAGCAAAGTGACCGGAGAAGGTGGTACCAAGATAAAATTTTTATCTGTTTGTGGGCCATCAGAAAAGGTACTAAGAGGTAATCATTTATAATAACAAGGAGAAAAGACTATTTGTTAAAGCAAATGATACATTTCTAAAGAAGGATCATATTATGTATTACCAACTTGAAGCAGGAGTTGTCTTAGAGGAGATATTATGTCACAATTGTATATAATGATATACTAGAGAGCTTAGACCACTATTTCTTAACCAGATTGTACACTGATTCATCGTTATAGTCAAAAGATAGCAAGGCAAACTGATAGATACATGTTCTTCGGAGAATCTTCTAAGGTAATTCGAGATGAACATGATTCAGATCGCACTAGTTACGATGAGGTAATCTCTGATAGGGAAGCAAAACATTGTTAAAGGCTATGCGATCAGAGTTAGAGTCTGTATGTTCCAATCAAGTGGGCATACCGTGTATAAGGAAAAAGAGAAGTATGAGCAGGAAAACGGAGACCTTTGAAGTAAGGTTAGCTGCAAAAGATTTTTCCCGAAACGAGGGCTCCAATATGAAGAAACCTTTATGCCCCTACCCTTACTTTAAGTCCATAAGGATATCCAAGATATTGCATTTTCTGCAGTAGTCTGGATATATACTACACAAAATATTCTCTACTCACAATTTGTTTCCGAAGAAAGGATCGCTAGCTCCTTACACCCAAGTGTATTACTGGATTTACTAGTAGAGCAAAAGCAGCCCAACACAGAATCCATTTTTAAGCGTTGAGAGAAATGAGGCTATTGATATGTGTGCACCTGCCAATGTTCATAGGGGGAGAAAATGAATTTAAATTTCCCTAAAACATGCATACACTGTGAGCATTTCAGTTATAAGCAAGTAAGCTGTCAAACATTTCAGCAGAAATAAAAAATTTCCATCACTAATTGCATAGAATTTGATTTGAGTCCATCTTAATTTCCACAGAAATCAACAATATTGGAAGATCGTTATTTCGTCCATACAAGTACAATTATTAGAATTCTTACTAAATTGGCATTGTTTTAAAGATCTAATAACATATATGGTGATGGATTCAATTTAGATGGTGGATTTTGCCTTCAAATGCGATTAAAAATGAAACAGTAGCTCAATTCCTTGGGATGTGAAAAACAATTAAGAATTCATATTTGATTCAACGCAAGAGAGTGCTTATCCTATGTTAATATTGTTTTTCTAGTTACAAAGCTTTCTATTATCATGAGCTTTGCACAGGTGAAAAAAGAAAATGGGTGATTGAACAGTCTATTGCTCAATTATTGGTGTCTCATGGGAGATGAAGAAAAGTAAACAAAGGGGAAAAGAAATAGTGTAAAATGCAAATCGTAATATGATAAATTGATATTTGGAATAAAAGAATAATCTGACTGAAAATTATGTTTACATTTCAGAGTTCTTATAGTAGTTGAATACCAAGTATATTGATCTTGAGCATTATTTTTCAATAGAGGTAAGGCTTTTACATGTTGCTCTCGCTATATCTTTTCTTATGTGTGTGTGTGTGTGTGTGTGTGTATGTTGTGTACCAATAAAGGGTATGTGCATGTCCATGCCAAATCCCCTACCAGCTGAGATGGTTTTCTTTATATAAGAATGAAAAGTGTATGACAAGATCATTATTATTGATGGCCACCAACAATTTGAACCGTTCAACAGTCCCTTGTAGATAGTCCAATCCCATAATGTCAACATTTAGAGGGTAAATCAATCAAAACGGTAACATCTTTAAATAATCTGATGGGTCCAAATCTATGAGATGCTCAATCAAGTGCTGAAATATACAGAGAGATTTGGATTGATGAATTTGCAGGTGATACAATACTGTCAACTATGGGGATACAAACAAAAGCAATTATCAAAATTTGATGATGTTTTGGCCAATAAAGCAATTATCATTTGAGTGAAGAAGAATCGCTTTTTGATACATTCAAGCAATCTATCCCAGGCTCCTAGCATAACATGCTTCTTTTGATGCCATAGATGTAACAAAAAGACTGAGGAACTTTTTACCGGCATAAGCTTCTTTGATTATTTACCTTTGTAATACAATGTGTACTCACTCTAGAGCCACTCATTGTGGAATACAGTAGTGCAAACACAAAAGGGCATAACCTAGTTTATGTCCCACGATGGGGCACTGGGAGGAAAGAAGTACGACAAACCTCACAAAACATAACCTTTGACATTATTTTGCACAAAGTAATTGTCGTTGCACTCAAATGCGTCCTCATGCTTGTTAACATGAGCTTTTACCATTCCAAAAGATGGAGCACTACAGCACCATTTGCAAATCCGGAAAAGCCCATAGGTACCCAATTTAACGAATAAATCATGATTTCTGAGATCAAAACAATCACTCTCTAATTTGATGGCTGTTGTTGAGCTGATGCATGGTTCAAAAGCCAGTTTCTACGGAAAAAAATCACTAAACCTATCGAATAAATTTCGGGAATGCTTGACGACCAAGTTTGGTTATAGAATTGATGCCTCAGAAGCTGAATGCTTAACTACACTCGTGCTATGTTTGGAAGCACCAAATTAGTGCCTTGGAATTGAAATTGTATGGAATTTAATTCAAACTTTGAACACCAGGGAACAGGAAAAACCAAGATAAAGAAGAGCAGATATGAGATGCTCCATAAATCAGAGAATGAACCCCTGGTACTATAAGAGCCATGATTCCACAAATCAGATCCGAAATATTTGACTGTACAAAGAAATCTGAAATTTTCATTGAAAGAAGAAGAAGAAGAAGAAGAGAAGCATAAGGGCAACAATTGAACTGTACAAGCCCAAAATACTTTATACACCCAAATGTTAGGGCATTAACTCCTGACAGCAAGTGGTTTTTGAAGAAATACTCCATAGATAGAACTAGAGCAAACAATATAGAATTATCAAAGTCAACTCAACTGCTTCAACTATTTTTTTTTTCCTTTTTTTTTTTTTTTTTTAAATCATGTTTCAATATATATGTAGGACCTGATGCATAAAGGAGCATGAAGAGCACTTTTATCAACAAATTTTCCACTGCTACTAATGCTTATAAATTTAAATTTACAGTACCCTTATATAGCTGATCAACAAATAAATCATTATAAACACTCAGAAAAGGTTAATTCAAGAGTATATAACATACCATGATCTCTCAATCTATCTTTACTTTCATCCTTCATTTGCATAAACATAATACACACACATATATATACACACACATATAGAAACATATACATACATATATATATATATAGATTGAGAAAATCAAGAAAGGAATGAATTAGTTGATGGGTTGAAATGAACATACCTGGTTGTGGCCGATGGTGGTTCAATGGTTGACCTTCAATTCTTTGTTTCATAATTTATCCGTCAATTGCAATGCATTTTATTCTTTGCCTTTTAGTATATGCATGACTCATGACTCATCTTCTCTCTTTCTTTTCGAATAATATAACTCTGGTGAACCGTTACGTTCACAAATTAGGTATGTACAGAGTTTATTTATTTTATTTTAAATTTGTGTGTGTGATTACGTGCAGAGTGTTTGCCTATTCTATTAGTATTATTAACTATTATACAACAAAATGTCAAGAAAATAAGAACTCCCTCAGATATTTAAATATGCATTTTTTTGTTTCTCTCTGCCTTTACATAAATTATATGATGTATAGTCAAGACTATTTAATTTTTAAATTTGTTAAATTAGGAAACTTATGTTTGTTAAATCTAAACTATAGACCAAAGAGGGTATGAGATTTTGAAAATCCCTGTACTAACTTTGAATCAACTCTATGGAGTGAGACTTTAACTGGACAAAGTCAAAGTAGATTTTAAAATAAATAAAAAAAAATTATTTCACCTTCATAACTTGTTGATTTATTTATTTGCAGTATAACTTGATTGATCTAAGTCAACTTGTTGCATAAGCAATTTTTTGTTTGGAAATAGCTTTGGTACCAAAAAAAAAAAAAAAAAAAAGCACTTCACACAAAAGGAAGTTTTTTTTTTTTTGGTAAAATAAAGCACAAATATTGTTTTCTTGAAAACTTGAAAGAGTTATAACTCCAAACTAAAAATAAATAAATAATAATTAAAAGAAGTAAAAACTTTATAAACTTGTAAATTTGAATTAAAATCTTAAAGCCCATTCCTTTTATGCTATGTTTGGTGTGCCGGAATGGAATGAAATGCAAGTGGGAATGGAATGAGAATAGGAATGGAATGGAATGGTCATTCTTATTCTATTGTTTGGTTGTAAATATGAAATGTGTAGGAATGAAATGATAATAACCATTCTAGTGTTTGATTGAACTAATTTAAAATATAGAATGGAATCAATTTCTAATTGAATTCTCCAAAATATCCCTCTTAGTAACAAATAAATTAAATAAAATTAACAAAATGATATTCTCTAATAATTTTTTAAAAATAAATGGTGGCAGTGGCTGTGGTGGATGGTGGAAAGCGGTAGTAGTGTAAGTGGTGGTGTTGGAAGGCTGCGATGGTGGCAATGGTGGAAATTGGTGGTAGCAGTGGTGGTGGAAGGTGGTAGTGGTGTTGGTGGAAGGCGGTGGCAGTAGTGTGGTGGTTATGGTAGAAGGAAATAGTAGTGTAACTATAGTGGTGGTGGAAGGCGGTGGTGGAAGGTGGTAGCGGTGGCAGTGGCAGTGGTGGAAGGTGGTGGCGGTGGAAGGCGATGGCGGCGACGTTGGCGGTTGTTGAAGGCAGCGGCAGTGGTGATGGTGGTGAAAGGTGGCGGTGGCGGTGGCGGTGGTGGAAGGTGGTAGCGGTGGCAGTGGCAGTGGTGGAAGGTGGTGGCGGTGGAAGGCGATGGCGGCGACGTTGGCGGTTGTTGAAGGCAGCGGCAGTGGTGATGGTGGTGAAAGGTGGCGGTGGCGGTGGCGGTGGTGGAAAGTGATGGGCTATGGCGAAAGTCGGTGGTGTTGGAAGGTAGTGGTAGTAGTGGTGGTGGTGAAAGGCGGAGATGATTATGGTGGAAGGTAACGATGGTTTTTAGACTTGGAATATGAGGGTGTTTTGGGAAGTCGATTTTTTAAAATAAATTACTTGGGAATGGAATGGCCATTCCATAGGTTTAGTTGTGGAATTGATTTTCATTCTCAGGAATGAATTTTCATTCCAATGGAATGGTCATTCCAACTTTATGAACCATACCAAACAAAGGAATGGTTGGAATAAGAATTCCATTCTATTTCATTCATTCACACCAAACGTTGCATTAATGTAACGGGTGATAAATGAAGGTGAGAGGAGTCTCAAACTAAGTCACACAATTCTTTTCAATGGGTGTCACTTACATGTTCCGAGCGCGCTCTCGCTCTAACGCTCTGCGCGTGTTCTGACTCAAATTCTTATGACTTAATTATGTCACTCTCATGCTCCCGCTCTTGAATTTGCTCTCACTCCGCTCTTATTTTATGTGACTTAGGTCTTAGAACATTTTAAGTAAATTTCTTTGAAGTGTATGATATTTAAATATGTATCATATATATATATATATATATATATGCATTAAATAAGGAAATAAAGTATTGTAACTTTTCAATAACGAGTAAATAATAGGATCAAAGAAGACCCTTTGTGAAGTTACATAGATCACATGTGATCTCCAATCTCAAGTTTCAACCCTCTTGAATTTTAATATTGGGGGAATATATGATTCCATATCGAGATGTCAAGCCCATGTGATTGTCACTATCTAAAACTCTTCTTCTATAGACAATGAGCTTTGGACCATTAAAATCACCTCAACTTCCCATGCTGTTGCCTTCACCGAATGCCACCATTCTCTTTTGCAGATTTTGTCCAATTTAGTAATTTAAATTTACGGTTTTAAAACGGGATCCTATTTTATAAGAGCCAGCACCTTCTCCTTCAAGATGGCGTAAAAATAGCTAACACGAGTGCTTACCTTTCGGTGTAATTTTGCAATTGACTTCAAAATTCACGCTGATGTTGCTTGGAGAGGTAGGTGGAGGCCTCGATGGGGAGAACCAAGATCCTCTCCCGTATCAATTTTTGTCTTGTGTCGGTCTTGTACCTCATGCAACAAATTTAAATGTAACAATTTTAAATCGACAACGTAAAGTTAAATTTCCTTGCTGTCGAATAGAACTTGCCATCATCCTTCTATGACCCCTCCCTGACCAACCCTTTCTTCTCCTTTACTTGACATGCTCATTGCTCACTTGGAGATTGTGTTTGTCGATGTTCCCACCGTTGTAGAGAGTCAGTTCTGTTAATTATTGATGGATGGGCCTGATTCGTACTACGTCAGTTTGGGCTTGACTCTTTGTTTTCGTTGTCTCTTCTGGACTGTTTGGTTATGTTTCTTCTGGATTGTGACGGGCGTGGGGTAAGTAATTATTTTTCTTTTTTATACAAACTTATTTATCCCAAAAAAGAAAAAAAAAGAGGTGCAATATAAAATGTCGCATGTCTTTGATATAAATGTATTGCATAATTTTTTTAAAATTGTTATATGAGTGTAGCATTTTGTGACGTAATTGTATTGTATTGTGGTATGATGTTGTTGCTCTGTGCCACACGTGTGTTGCAGAAGTGCACATGATCCCTAAATAGAAAGGGATCCAGATTCATTAGAAATCACTTGGTAAAGTTTGGTTGACCTTGTTGCACAAGCTATTTACTACGCAATTAGTCTTGAGTTCTCGTTGGAATCAAAAAAAAAAAAAAAAAATTGGTCTAATGGTCAAGAATCAATAGTGGGTCTTTTTTTTCTTTTCTTTTTCCTTTTTTTTAAAAAAAAAAAATTGAAAAAATAAATAAAAATAAAAATAGTGGGTCTCTTGAAATTATATACATTTACTTTGAAACTTGTTAAGTTAGGAACTGAGTTACACAGTCTTTCTAAACAGGTGTCGCTCTTACGCTCCAAACGCGCTTCAACTTTCACACTCTTTGTGTGTTCTCGTTCAAATTCTCAATATTTATGACATAATTTTATCTGTTTTCACACTCCCACTCTCGAATTTGCTATCGCTATCGCTTTCACTTTATATGACTTAAGTTGGAAATTTATTTTGCTCAATGATAACATAAAAAGGCCCTGTTAAGCTAAGAGAAGTAAAATGAGATTTGGACTGTGTTTGGAAGCTGGGATTTAGAACTTAAAATGAGATTCCTTGCGTTTGGAATCAAATGAATTTAAAATGAAACTAAATTTTATAGGATTTGAAATTCCAAAATTTAGTGTCCTCAAATCCCATAAAAAAAAAATTACAAATTGTTGAAATTTGATTGAATTTGTAAATTAGTTAATTTATAACTTTTAAACTTACCCAGCTTGCCTTTAAATCGCAATTCTACTAAGGATACAATGGTAAAACAAACATTTCTTTTATAATTAAATTTGAGTTTATTTCAATCACACAAATTAGATTTCATTCCAAATCCAATTTAAAAAAAAAAAAAAAAAAAATCCAAACAAAGTATTAAATACTATGTAAATAGGGATGGCAATGGGGCGGGTGGGTATCTCAATCCTCGTACCCATACTTGGTGAATTTTTTCATTCCCATACCCGCCCTCGCCCCCCTATAACCGATTAACACACATTATAATATTTTTTATTCTGCTCAACTGTGTTTCAGAAGTGTGTTTATTTTTATTTAATGTAATTTAGTAATATATCATAACATATAAGAGTATTTTAGTTAATGTACACTCTAAATGGTAGGACGGAGCAGGTTTACCCTAATCCACCCTGTTGAGATTTCAAAAATTACCTTCGTCCCTATTTACAGGGTACCCAAACTTGCCCTAAACGGGCCGAATCGGTAGAGTTGGCAGATTTTGCCCTCCTATCCTAGATCACTTTATCACGAGTTTGCTTTGATTTGCCCCCAACAAAGAAAAGAAAAAAAAATTAAACATAAATAAAAAGATTGCAAGTATTGGAGCCTAATTTAATGTTAAAGAATCGTTTGGACAGTTTTCATTTTTCTTCAACCTGCGGAGAGTTTCCCACCAACGGAACCAAACGCGACCCTCTCTCACATAATTCGTAATTTCTCCATCTTTAATCGATTAATCTCTAATTTGTAGAAAATCACACACACACACTGATATATCCAACCATCACAATAGAAACACTTTCTCAATTTATAGAGATTTCTTAAACCCTAGGCATGCCAAAGCATTGAGATTCAATTCACAGTAGCAAAATTACAGTTCAGTGATTATTATCTGTGCCTTCTCTGTTGCAATCTTTCGTTCATTGGTTCGTCGATCAGTAATTGTGATGTTATTGTTCTCTTTGCAGATTTATGGACATAATGGACGTGGATTTTTTCACAGAGGGTGTATTAGAAGAAGATATTTTTGAAGCTGATGTTAATAATGATGTAAGTTTCTTTTACTTTACTAGGATCGACATTCAATCACAGTTGGTTCGATCTTCAAAAAATTTAGCAGTAGAGCTCAATTTGAATTAAGAAAAATCTAATTACGACTCCGGTTTATGTAATTCCTCTTTCTATTCTTAGTTTTCTTTGTTCGATTAATTTTCTTTTATTATTATTGTCATTCTTTTGACTATTATAGAATTAACAAAAATATAATATTGTAAAATAAAATTTAAAAGTTCAATGTAGATGAATCAAGAGTAGGAGGGTTCAGGGTAAAGAAGAAACTACGATCGTCAATATTTGTTTGTCCACTTGTTACAAGATGGTGACAATGGGTACAGCTTTATGGGCTGCGGGAGAAATAAGTTTTGAAAATTATATTTCTTTAACGTTCGTATTATTTCTGATTAATGAGGAAACATTATGATGGCTCTAACGGGGTTGCCACCTTATTGATCAATTGGGTTTGCTGTTTTCATTTAAATGTCTTTTTGTATATGAATATGTATTTTTCTATGACATGCAGGATTATTCTACTTTGGAGGGCGAAAGATGTGGGATATGTATGGATGTGGTCATTGACAGGGGACTCCTAGATTGCTGTCAACACTGGTATATATTGTATTTCTTCCACACTTCAATGTGATGTTAAGCATTGAGAAATAAGGTCTAGATGCATTTAACTGCATGTGAGATTGCATAAGTGGGGGTTTGCTTTTAACAGGATCGCCTTAAAAATTACAGCCCTTAATGTATGAAGGGGAAATCATTGCATTTATCTGCTTTGATATGCTTGTTTAGATTACCGTATAATCATCTCCAGAGCATGTTGATGCAACCAGTGATCTGATGTCTCTACTTCATTTTTTTTCCCCTGTATATGCCTACATATTTTTCAAATATATATATATACACACACACATATACATATATTGCTTATGAAAGATTCTATCATGTACCAACCTTTGATTTTTTTTTGTTTTATTTTCAATTATATTGACATTTAACTCAATCGATTGAGTTAGTTTTCTCTGACCGCCCTTGATTAGAACTTTGCTACTATAATATGTTTAGGAATTCAATCTCCAAGAATTTCCAATGATTAGATTTGATTCTATAGATTGGTGGACAATAGTGCATAATTCATGGGCTTTTGTTTTCAAAGGGTTAAGTTAGAATTGATTAAGCTGAATATTTCATTAGTTGGCTGCTACCTTTACATGGCATTCCCCTTTGGTTATTTGTAGTTCATCAAACCCTTATAACTTGTCACACAAGGTAAATTTATTATCATTTGTACTCAGATTGCATTCTTATGGAGGTAAAAATGACATTACTGTTGATTTTTTTTCTTTTTATTTTTGCTTGGGCAAGAATGCGAATTTGAGTTACTAACTAGGTTCTTCATTTAAATTTCAGGTTCTGTTTCACATGCATTGACAACTGGGCTACCATCACAAATCTTTGCCCACTTTGCCAGAATGAATTTCAGTTAATCACTTGTGTACCTGTGAGTAATGTAATTTTGTTGGAACCTTGGTTTTTTTGTTGTGTTACAATAGCTTTTTCTTTCATCAAATCACTTATGCTTCTATCTTGTCATCATTTGGCCACTTGATCAGTCCACCCTTTCATTTCGCTTGCAATTGCAATACGAGTCTTTTTTTTTTATATTTGCTGAAAAGACACATCTAATGCCTATTTATAAAAATTATAATTGATTATGAAGGTATATGATACCATTGGAAGCAACAAGGTTGACGAGGACTTGTTATCCAGGTATTCCTTTATTCATTCAATTTCAGTATAGCTATTGCTTCTTCCTAATTGGAACATTGTCGCTTACATTTCTGTTCACTCCCTATGGTGCCAGTACCAGTTTACCACACACAAATCTTGGGTCTACTCAGGGTCACTGCTATCTCGTAGTTACAACATGAAACAGAGTTATTGGTTGTTGTGGAAAATTGACGTTTCTTCAGAATCCACTAAATATAACTGTCTTTTGCTGATGATAAAAAATTCTGTTTTGGCAAAGTCCATTTCATCTGCACATTTGGTTTTCCAAATGATGAGTCTGGTACGCTGGTTGTTCTCAACAGCCACAGAGGTGCCTGATAGCACATCAAGGCTACAGAACACCTCATAGTCCACATAAAGTGGAAGCAGGAATGCTTTAAGTGAACCATTTGAGGGCATACCATGAAGTTTGGACAATTCAAGTTGTACTGATGTAATATCATGTGCAGCAAGGTGGCATGTTGTGAAAGAACTAGAATATGGACCGTCGTGGCATGTGTGCTTCTTGTGTAAACAATTCTTTGAACAATATTATGGGCAGTATCAATTGGTAAATGGAAAAAATTTCAAAGGTTGGTTGTGATGGTCTTTTGGCAAGGTATATCTTCCTGAATGCGTTGCATTTGGGCTTGAGAAATTGTAAGTATCATGTTGAAATTTGAGCTGTTCTATTGTGATAAAATGGATTAATTGGACGACCAATTTGGTCTTTTGTCCTATCAAAGTTATGGCTTGCCTGTTTATTGTACCAGATCAACAGAGTCAGGTGTGTACATTCAAGCTAAATGGGCTCATTTGTCTCAAGAAGTGTGACAAGATTTAACTTTCCAAGTTCTTTTTTTTTTTTTTTTTGTTTTTTAGGTAGAACTAGAAACAGAATTTGAGAGTCCTGTTCATGCATAAAGTTCTTTCAGGAGTGTAGCAAGAAAAGGGGAGAAGAATAGATTTCAAAAAAAAAAAATGATTTTGGGAGAATGTCAAGATTCATGGCCCTTTATATTGCGTATTGACATGATTTTGCAGTCAGAATTTCTGTCAGAAATTATAGTGATTACATAATTGCAATTTTGGCAGTTGTTAGGTTTTCAGCAGATTTTGTTTTGACCTTTTCTTTTGCTTCATCCATGCAGAGATGATGATTGGTGCGTTGAAGGGATGAATAACACACTTTCTTTTCCATCATACTATATTGATGAAAATGTAAGTATTCTCATTAAAAAACCTCTTCAAGGTTTTAGGGTAATTTACAGAGCTAGCCCAGTGATTTTGGAACTAAGCTTTAGAAGAACACATTGATCTCCTCTACTATTATAGTAGTAAAGGATTACTTAAATCGTAAATTTACATTAAAAATTAATTATTCTAAAGAATTAATGGATTACTTAAATCTTAAATTTACATTGAAATCAATTATTCTAAAAAAATAAAATTTCTTTTACAAGCTGGCAATATTCCCCTCAAGATTGGTAATAATCCTTAGCTTAGGATTCAAGCTTTTCATGTTGATGCTGGTGTAATGTTAAAAGTTGGGATTGACAAGTGTGACATTACAAGTTCAAATTTGAGAGCTGCCATTTTGTGCAAAATAATGTTAAAGGTTGTGTCTATATTTAGCCATTTTTGGACCAGCACTGGGTAAATGCCCTTATAAGTCCAACCAGGGGTATTTATGCACTATGCATGTGCTATATATCCAATTTTAGTTCTATTGATGAGATGCATGCAAGACGTCTCCTTATGCATGTTGGAGATAAATGTGTCATTACCTAAAGAATTAACTAATGGTTGTGTCCTGGGGAAGAAATAGTTAGTTAAATACTTCCAGTAGTATGCATCACCTCCTTACATCGATGGAAGTGAAGTAGAGTAGGTCAGTGTTATTAAACTTGAACAGATCCCACTGATTTTCACAAAAGCAGGTAGTACTTGACTGTCTCTCTCTCAGGGGAGGGAGTGCTGTGGGATGAAAACTCGAGGGAAGACCAGTTTTATGGAGGCTTTTAATTTCCTTATGTTCTATTATCTGTTTTATTTTTTCTGCATTTACAGAGTCATTATGTCATTCTTATAAACTTCATCATTTTGTAGGCAGTTATCTGTTTGGATGGAGATGGCTGCAAAATTCGAAGTGGATCAGCAACAATTGGGGAAGATCCAAATCTTGATACATCAATTGCTTGTGATTCATGCGATATGTGGTACAGTTAAATATTTTGTTACGTCATAAATATAGACCTGTCAATGGTGATTTTTTGTAAATTGAATTACCAAAGCATTTGTTGGGTTCAGCCAAATATGCATAGCAAGCTGTGTTGTTCTAATAAGGTACCTGACAATAATATTGATTATGGAGTTCTGAGACTTTAAATGTGATACCGTATGGGGCTGAGACAAGAATGTACTAATGAGCGCTAGTCACTTCAGTGTTGGTTTTTGATATGAATTCTCACTTGGGCCTTGTTCAAGGTAGTCTTGGGCTTTACTACCAACTTATATATTCATAAGAATTCATAATAATGAGTCAGAGAGAGAGGAAGCGGCTCTATGCTTATTCTAACAAACTATAAAAGTGCTTCTCTGGCACCCCACAATTAATGATATTGGTGAAGGCAAAGTTTTACTTGTTATGATCCAAATTCCAGCTGACATGGAGTCATTATTATGTGTTAAATATCATTGAGGAGCTTGTGCTTTTAGGTGTCATTGGTACTGCCAACTGTTTGTGATTACATAAGTACTTGGATTGTGTGAGCTTATATAGATCAGTGTAGTCAATATAATCATTTTATGCTATTTTCCAATTGATCCTCTTACAATCTGCTTGAATTAGTCAAACTTTTTCTAGGATCTCCAGTCATACATCTTATGAATGTGAATTGGCAGAGAGACTAAGACTCTACTGTTTGCTGGTTGAAACATGGCCAGCTGAATATATATGTTAACAAGGAAACCAAATTTTGGAAAGAAATCAGGAAACAACCAAAGAAAGTCACATGGCATCATTTAGGAGGGATTCTCCCATTGCTTCTAGTCCAAATTCTTCATATTAAAATTTTTCTGTTGAACTTGTGGCAACTCCACCGAAAGGGTTTTGTAGCTCTAATTTATTGCAAACTAGTTCCCTTAAACTGATAGATATGGCATGTCAGAATCCAACTTCTATTCCAAAAAGGGATACATCACTTTTGATGACTTCACTGGGTGATGTCACCTCATGTTTCATTCTAGTAACTTTTATCTTTCTTACTTAATTCTTGTTTGTTATGTTTTTGCTTGGGGGAGATCCTTTATCTTTTAGTACACTTATACTCTAATTGATCTTCCATTAAAGTTTTTAATGTTTTTTTCTTCTGTTGTTTCTGTTCTTCATTGTCACACTAATTGTTTCTTCACTTGCACGGAACCAGGTATCATGCTTTTTGTGTGGGATTTGATCCTGAAGGCACTTGTGAGAATTCATGGTTATGCCCAAGGTAATTCTGTAGAACATTTTATGTTCTTGGTCAAATTTGAGCTGTTAATACAGTTGCTTGGTGTAATTCCATTTAACTAACATCAGGCAGCCGTATTGCTCTACTTTACATTTACTATTTCTAAATATGTGAAGTACCGACACATGACACATGGGTATACCTATTGCAGTATTGGTTATGCATTCAACATGTCTGGCTGGACATGCTCCTAGCAAGCATATCTGACAATTCAAATAATTATACATGAAAGTCTCACATTATATTTCTTCTATTACAATATCGCTTCAAAACAAGTTCATTGTTATGTTGAATACTATTTTATATAAAGTACCATTTAATCCTGTAAAATAAGAAAAAAAATATATTAAAATTTGAACATTTAGCCATGTTCCTGTATCATTGGGTTTGAGGATCTGATAAACCCAGCAGATATAAATATACCCACACCTTACTCTTCGCTTACTTCTGATTTGACACGAGTCTTGGCAGTTTAAACCCCCAATCCCAGCTGAATTAGGGCAATGGCAATAAACAACAAGAAAGGAAGAAACTTCAAAGAAGCAAAATCAGAGCGAGAGGAGGGCGATTAATAATAAGAGAAATCAAAGCGAGACTGATTCTATTTATGAAGGGCCCAGTGGGGGCTATTGGACCCCACTCAATATGTTCTTTATTTTAATTTTGTACCTATATTGTTTTGAAATTGTAAATATGCTCCCCCTCAAAATCATCAATTAAAAGGAAACCCTCAAGTTCGAATGATTCTTACTTGTTTCTTTTTTCAGTTTTAGATTTACTTTTTTTGTTTCACAAGTTTCTCTCCACAATTCATAACAAGTTCATATCCTCCATTTGATCTTTCTTTTACTTTCTCGATCTTTCTCCAACACAAAAAGTGCAAAGCGAGAATTTTAGAAGTCTTAGTTTATAGTCAATTTGTCGACCTTAAACTGATATACAAGAAACTCTAATCCTTCTTTCACTCATTCTTGCAGGTTATGCAAAAATTAAATTTCTTTTAAAGAAAAAGAAAAACAGAAAAGTAAGATTTTGTTAAAAAATTGTATATGTAATGGTATTGATAATGAGGCACTCATGCAACGATTTTTGGAAACAGCAGAACTGGTGTACAATGTATTAGTAGAATTATTGTCTATCAATTTTAATATATTATATTGGTTCAAATTTTTTGCCCCCACTGGAGAATTTTTTTGGCTCCACCACTGGTTGCTAATCATCCAATTTATCACACATGAAAAGAAAATTACTGTATATGGTTCATAATCATCTGATAAGGGTAATTGCCAGAACCCAATTTGCATGTCTCCCGTATCCCCATTTATGTACCTCCCATATCCCCATTTGGTTGAATAAGCTTCCATAGGTCTCTCTCGCTTATTCCTATCATCCTTTTTTGTGGTGAATGTAGGTGTATAGCCAATGAAAACACACAAAAGTCAGATGTGACCCCAATAGTGAGGCCAAGTAACCAGTGTGGTCTACAGAATGCTATCAGTGAATGTTTGGTTGAAGCTGCTTTTTCTGGAAAAGTGTCTGTATCTGTTGCTGATGCTGGAGAGACAGCTGTTGTGGTTTCAATGGTTGAAGACAATCAAGGGACTGAAGGATCAGGTGAGAAAAAATTATCAACGATAGAAGTTAATGAGGACCTGAATGTTGAAACTTTGAAATCTAGTTCTAGTACCAGCACTTCCAACTTGGAAACACCATCAAGTGAGAAAACTAGCATCCAATTGAATTCAGAGGCACAGGAACTAAAGCCATCCTCATCACGAGATACATCCTTTATTTTACCTTCTATTTCATTGGGCCTTGGTGAGCTGAAGACAGATTCTGCTGATAAAGCGATTAATATATCAAATGGCTTTAATGGGGTTGGAATTTCTTCAACGACGTTGTTTGATGAACCATGTCAATCCAGTGTAGATCTAAATCTTGGTTTATCTGTGGGCTTTTCTTTGCCTGGTAATTTTGCAGTTATATAGTATTTTTGTATATTTATTTATGGTTTCTCGAATTGACTATAATGTGATACACACAAGTGAGAGATTTATGCTTGGCTTCATCTCATTGTTGCAGTTGACAACATTGATGTGGATGAAGATCAGGTGGCTGGAGATATGCTGCAGAAGAGTATTTCAGAAGAATGTCTGCTACCAGGTATTGGTCAGGGTAGTTTAAGATATTTCATCCTTTTTTCTGGGGCATTCTTGGGCAGTGGAACACTAAAAGCAATTATGTTTTTGATCAGGTAGTTATATAATGATTTTGATTGGAGATGTTCATATACCTTTGCTCATTGCCTCTTTTGCTGAAATGCTTTCAGCTGGCAAGATTGTCTCTAATACTATGGCCAATGTTGTTGCAGTTACTGGTGCAAAGAGAAAGCGTGGAAATTGCAGGTCAGGATTCATTCAATTACCTTCCATTTTATGTAGCTTTAGAAATTAATGCTCATAACCATGTTACAGGGAAAAAAACAAGTGCTCACAACTATGTTGCTCTGACTTTAATGCTCCTAACCCATGTCAGACTCAATTTTAGATTTGCATTTTCTGATATACATGCTTTATGATTCTGCTAGCACCCAAATGCTTCAGAAGCCTTTCTTTCCTGCCGTGGCAGTCATTTATGATTCTATACCTATGGATTCCTTTTCTTTCCTCTAATTTCCAGTAGGTTTTTCAGCCTAACCAGATCTTTTAGAAAGTATAGGGCCTGCTTGGTTGAGTTTTCTAAGAATAACTTTCTATTCCTAGAGATTAAAAAATAGAAAACAATTCGAATATTCGTTTGGTTAATGAAAACTGATTTTTTTTTTTCTTTCAAAAGGCCTGATTTAAAAATTAAAAAAAAAAATAATAATAATAATAAAAAAATTTGTCTCTTGAAGTTCTCTGAATTGTTTTCTGTTTTCTGGGTATTTTTGAAAGTTGCTTTCCAAAAATTAAACCAAACAAGTCAACAATATCAATATCAGACTGCCTGTTTTAGAAAATATATAAACCAAACAGTTGCATAATATCCAGATTGCTTATATTAGAGAAGTAAAAGGATGTATAAGATGACATAGGAAGACCAAATTAGTTAACCGACTAATATTGAAAGTTTCCATTGTTTTTAAATTTTAATATGGGTTTTTGGGAATGAAAAGTGTGAAATTTCATTGGATGACCATTTGAGTTGGTGAAAAGTAGTAACAATTTATTTGGCTACTATTTCACAGTTGATGAGAAAATATTTCACACCTAACTCCTGATGGAACCATGTGCAACTATTTGAAGATTTATCTTAAACAGCCAACATGATACGACAAAAAATTTGTCGGTAAATAGGTGTTGTGACAGTGAATGTTGCAGTTCACAACTGAACATGGGTGTTCAGTTAGTATTTTTCCATAGTCGAGCATTGGAATGATTGGATCTGTCTTCAAATTAAGATTGTAACCTTCTGTCAGGTGACTTGCCTCCTACCACAATTACAAATTTCACCTTCTCCTTCACGCAACTTCATAAGGAGAAAATATCTAATGTGGTCGTTGAGGCATATGAGAGACATTGTGCTTCGGCATTTGTGAGCCCTACTGTGACAGTCTCATCGGCAATGGGAAAAATCATACACTGATTGTCATGTGGATGTTTTCTCCTTGATTTGTTGGGAGACTTGGAATTCTTCAGTTACATGCGAAGTTCAAGAGACTATACACAGTAAACTCATATTTTTTTTGGTAAGTCAATAATAAACTCATAAATAATGATTTTTGGAACACAAAAAGATTTCATAATGAATAAAAATTAATAGATTATTTTATAGTGAACTTTATTTGTCTGAAAAGATTTAGGGCCACTAAATATCAAATTTGGTTCATGAATACATTTTGGGTTACAGGAAGTTAGTGATTTTGAACTAATGGATAAAAGATTCTTAAGATAGTCTTTGAATCTTGGTTGTAAGATTCTGCGATAATTTCAATGGCTGTAAGCTTTTAAATATCTAATGTGGTCATATACGCATGTGAGAGACATTGTGCTTCAGCATTTGTGAGCCCTACTGTGACAGACTAGTTGGCAATGGGAAAAATCATTCACTGATTGTCATGTGGATGCTTTCTCCTTGATTTGTAGTTGGGAGACTTGGAATTCTTCAGTTACATGCTAAGTTCAAGAGACTATACACAGTAATAAACTGATATATATATATATATATATTTGATAAGTCGGTAATAAACTCATAATTTCTGATTCTTGGAACACAAAAAGATTTCATAATGAATAAGAATTAATAGATAATTTTATAGAGACCTTTATTTGTCTGACGAGATTTAGGGCCACTAAATATCAAATTTGGTTCATGAATATGACATTTTGGGGTTATAGGAAGTTAGTGATTTTGATCTAATGGATAAAAGATTCTTTATATGGTCTTTGGATATTGGCTGTAAGCTTTTAATCTGCGATAATGGCAATGGCTGTAAGATTTTAAATATCTAATGTGGTCGTAAAAGCATGTGAGAGCCATTGTGCTTCGACATTTGTGAGCCCTACTGTGATAGACTCATTGGCATTGGCAAACATCATACACTGATAGTCATGTGGATGCTTTCTCCTTGATTTGTTGGAAGACTTGGAATTCTTTAGTTACATGCGAAGTTCAAGAGACTAAACACAGTAATATACTCATTTTTTTTTGATAAGTCAGTAATAAACTCATAATTAATGATTCCTGGAACACAAAAAGACTTCATAATAAATAAAAATTAATAGATAATTTTATAGAGAACTTTATTTGTCTGAAGTGCTTTAGGGCCACTAAATATCAATTTTGGTTCATGAGTACGACATTTTGGGCTTATAGAAAGTTAGTGATTTTTAACTATTAGATAAAAGATTCTTAAGATAGTCTTTGAATCTTGGCTGTAAGCTTTTAAACTGCGATAATGGTAATGGTTGTAATGACACGGGCTTGGGGTGAATTGGTATTCGATACGGATCCCTGAATCGTGATTGTTTTGTTCTTGGCATAACTTCCTGAATCGAATGTGTAGCAGTATGCTTGTTTTGCTTCAAATTGCTATCAATTTGGATTTTAAATATTTTTTTTTATGAATTTATAAACACAAAATTAAGAAATCCTTACTAATTTTGCAGTTAACGAGTTTTATGTAGGGGTAGAAAATAAGTCATGCCGGCTCAGCACTAAATTTTTTGTTTTGGCTTGGTCAATCTCCTTCCAATTCTTCAATCAAGGTCAGGCTGGGTTGATCCAGCTTTTGGATCTAAACGAGCTGGACTGGGCCTTTGAAATTGAAAAACTTAAATTTACTTTTTATAACTTAATTAACACTCTATATAATGATTATATTTCAAAAACATTTTATACTCATTTATTTCTTAAATAGTCATATTAAAAATTTATGAACCATTATTAGATATGCTTATATAAATAGTTTGCCCAAGTAAATAAGTATAAATTTTGTATAGTTTTTATTTTATTTTATTTTATATATATATAAGTAAAGGTTAGGTCCAAGTGGAGATTCATTATCAATACATCTTATAATTTATAGTTATAAATTTATAACTTAAGTAGTTGCATAAATACATATACATATACATATACATATATATATATATATGTTTATAACTTGATATCTATAGCTTATGAATTTTTTATTGCCATGTCCAAAAAATGTACTTGGCATTCCACTTACATGGTATATCATATGTAAATGTTTTAGATATTTAACCTGCTATTTTACAAGCATTTTAATGAATTTGATATTGTGATGCACAACTAAAAATAATATTACAGGATGTAATCATAAATTATATTAAATCGTCTTGTCCAATAAATTTAAAATGTGCACACAACATTGTATATGAAAATTTTCCCTTGAAATATTTTCGAGAATTGATGTAGCTACATTGTCATAAAAAAAAAATTACCTACTGTTACTATTGTATAATCATTATCTATCTGTGCATCTGTGTGTGGCTGTGATTTCCGTGCATATTTAACTATTAAGTGCAGTTTCATTAATAGCCTATATATATATTGGTTGTCATCTACCTCATTTAACTAATATTATTATTATTATTATTATTATTTTCCGGTCTTTAATGCATCTGGAACCGAACACTTGCTTAATCTTTTTCTTTTTTCTGGTTCCAATGTCTATTAGCGATGATGTCTGTCCAGCTGCTGAGGATGCAGAAACCAAAGCTAAAACTGAGCTGAAGGCTTTGAAAAAGAAATCCAGAGCTGAAGGAAATGGTCAAATAATTCATTTGAAGGACCAAGCTGATGGACCTGTTTCAGATGAATCGCAAAAATGTTGGAGTCTAATAGCAGCTTCTAGAGATGAGAAGTTGATACGCAAGTCAGAAAAGAAGAATGTCACTTCCGATATAATGAGTATAGTTCAAGGGACTGATCGTAGACCTCTCAAGGGGCTTGCAAGCCCCAGTCCTGCTGATAAGTCCTCAAAAGAAAGAGAAAGCGCAGCAGGCTTGAGGGTTAAAAAGATCCTAAGGAGAGCCACCGAGGACAAGGAATCATCCATGCTAGTCCAGGAACTGAGAAAAGAAATTAGAGAAGCTGTACGTAACAAATCCTCCAGAGAATTTGGGGAAAATGATTTTGATCCAAAGCTTCTAGCTGCTTTCAGGGCTGCTGTGGCGGGACCTATAACTGAACAAAGTAAGAAGTTACCACCTATGGTTGTGAAGGCGAAGAAGTCATTGTTGCAGAAGGGAAAAATACGCGAAAATCTAACGAAAAAGATATATGGGATTGGTGGAAGGCGAAGACGAGCATGGACACGTGACTGTGAAATCGAATTCTGGAAATACCGCTGTTTGAAAATTACCAAGCCTGAAAAAATTGCGACACTAAAGTCGGTTCTCAACCTTTTAAGAAAGAGTTCTGAAGGCGCAGAGATTAAACAGGGGATTGAAGGCGAGGCCACAAACTCTATTCTGTCAAGGTTGTATTTGGCAGATAATTCTGTTTTCCCTCGAAAGGATGATATCAAGCCTCTCTCTGCTCTCAAAGCTACCAGACATCCCCAGGAGAATAAAGAACACTTTTTAACAGAAAAAGCTTCTACACCGTCTCTGGGTAATAACACTGTGAAAACTCTTCAAATGAATAAGGTTTCGTCACAGGTGGGTGTTCTTTCTTCTGATAACAAACGGAATAAGATTGCTAATGTTCCAAGCATAAAGGGTGAAGCTGCTTCTAGTAAAGTACATCCTAACAAATGCCCAGAAGGGCCATCTGTATCTTCATTAGGTGGTTCTGAAGGAAATTCCCAGAAGGAAGTTATTGGTAAATCTGATGATGTAAAGAGTGATAAAAGGAAATGGGCCCTAGAGGTTCTTAAAAGAAAGACTGCAGTGACAGGAAGCAATGCATCTCAGGAAAAAGAGGAAGACAATGCCGTACTCAAAGGAAACTATCCTTTACTAGTATGTCATGTTTTGTGTTGTTATACCAATTCATATACCTGATGTTTGATTCTGCTACTTATTCATTCTTCCCTTTTCTTTTCTTTTCCTTTTTATTTTTTCTTTTTGGGCAGGCTCAGCTACCAGTTGATATGAGGCCAGCATTGGCACCCAGTCGCCATAATAAAATCGCCATATCCGTTAGGCAGGTAAGCTGTCCCTCTTTTGCCATGGATTTTTTTTTGTTCAACATGGTTGGTTTTTTGGGCAACTTAAATTCGTAATTTCTCCTTTCAAATTTTTAGGTTCTTTTCAGAAATGTGCAGAAATGGGTTCATCCTTTTTTATTTCCATTTATTTTATTTGAATGAAAAATCACAAAGATTGAAAATGGATTTTGGCAATCAGTAAGAAGGAAGATGTGTTGCAAATCCATGTTTTAAAAGTTGTATTCCTAGGGATCAATAGAATATTATGTGATGCCCTGCCATCCCCTTGTTCTCCTCTGCCAGACTTACCAAGGTGACGTACCGCAATTCTGCTGCTACCTTAACCTCAATTAACCTATTAATTCACTGCTGCTACACTTGCCAGTCTCACAATAACATCACCTCCACCATTACTTTGTCACCACCACCTCAGCCAATTCTATGGTGTTCGATAGAATCATCTTAATTGCCAAACTTTCAGTATAGGAAAAAGTCAATTTATTGGAACTTAATTCAGCAACTGGGTTTCATTATATCATCCAAAGACATCTTCACTGCTTTTAAATGCCTCTATTGCATGATCTTTTTACTGGCGAAGTTGAAGTTTAGTTTCCTCACCTTATATTTGTTTATATAAATGAACTCTATGTTAGACGGACTCTTTGAAAGCATGTGTTAGACTTGTGTCAAACACATGGCACTCGAACAAGGGCATGGGATAAACATATTTAGTTGGACATGTACCTAAAAAACATATTTAATAACTCAATTTAGTTAGATTATAGCTCTAACAAGTTAAATGCTTATTTTGAACACTCACCATCATCATCCTTGCCTTAATCTCATATGAATGGGGCATTTTAAACACTATGTTACATAAATTCATCATTTTACTCTAAAAAAAATAAAAGAAAATTAGTAAATAATATGAATATTTAGCACTGACCCTGTTTCCTTCTATTTCGGAATTGATACATTCGGATGCATACCCGTACCCAACACACATACCTAAGTCCAGACAATATAGAATAAACATAAATGCCAGGATGTCAGTAAGTACTGAAATTAATGATAGCTAGGTTATAGATTATTAATCAACCATCCACTGTGTAGGCACAACTTTACCGTCTCACAGAGCACCTTCTACGGAAAGCAAATCTGCCAGTCATTCGAAGAACTGCAGCTACAGAGTTTGCTGTTGCAGATGCAGTTAATATCGAGAAGGAGGTTGCTGATAGGTCAAACAGCAAGCTAGTATATATGAATCTATGTTCTCAGGAGCTGTATCGCTCAGATAACACCAAGTCCAGGATTGCCACAGAATCAAATTCGTCCTCAAATGAAGCTGTTCCTGCTGGCACGTTAGAGCAAGCAACCAATGATCTCTCTCCTGTTCCAGTGGTTGAAGAAGCATTGAGAAATGCAGGCCTTTTGTCCGATTCCCCTCCAAATAGTCCACATCACCAAATGGAGGAAATCATTGATGAAGATGATCCGTCAAGGAAGTTTAGTGAGGAAGGACCAAATGATGTATTTGAAATGGATCCTCATCCTGACCTTGATATATATGGTGATTTTGAATATAATTTGGAAGATGAAGACTTTGTTGGTGCTAGTGCTTTAAAAGTATCTAATCTAAAAACCGAAGGAGAATCACAAATCAAAGTGGTTTTCTCCACTCTCAATTCTGATAGATCAAATAATGACCTGGATCTTGAAAAGAAGACGATTTCTGAAGTAGCCAAAGGTGGTTCTTGCTCAAGTGAGTGCAATACTGATGCAAGCATCAGTACCACTACTGCGGACGGGTGCCTTCCTCAAGATTCCTTACTTGATGAAGGAGGTGAAGAGCCTTCTCTTGCATTATGTGACGAATTATATGGCCCCGATAAAGAACCTTTGATAAAAAGGTTTCCAGAAATGGCATCAATGAAGCCCTGTGAGCTGAAAACTGATGACATGGTTCCAGAGAATTCACTCGGTTGTCCACAAACAAGTGAAAATGGACCAAAGAAGGAGATATCTAACACCGATATCAAGAAACAGGCTGATAACTGCAATTCTGTATCAAAAAAGGTACTCGATGACTATAAGTCTTTTGCATTTTATTCTTTTTATTTTTTGGGTTTAATACAATTAATAGTAAGTACGATTCTTTTGTTCATAAATTTCCGTTCTGCTTATCCCTCATCCTCAACTATGTATAGGTGGAAGCTTATATTAAAGAGCACATCAGGCCGCTGTGCAAGAGTGGTGTGATCACAGTCGAACAATACCGGTGGGCTGTGGGGAAAACGACTGATAAAGTTATGAAATACCACTCCAAAGAGAAGAATGCAAATTTCCTCGTCAAGGAAGGTGAGAAGGTGAAGAAACTTGCTGAGCAATATGTTGAGACTGCCCAGAAAGATGAAAAATAATTCAGTTTTTAGACTTTAAATGCTGCCAAACAACTCTTGTTTACACTTTACACTGCTTAGCTTGGGCTCCTCTGTTTTTTTTTGTTTTTTTTTCTCCTTATTCCACATTTAGTATTTTGTAGACAATCATATAACTACTCAACTGAACATATCCTGGACGGAACAATTGTACAGAGCAAAAATTTTTTGATTCAGAAATTGAGGAACTAAGCTACACTACTGTGTTGTAAATTATATAGTGAAATGTTGATGTAATTTTTTTTTTTTTTTCTTGGCAAGAAATATACACACTCATTTGTTTTTACCGGGAGAATTTTGACTGGAGACTAGCGGTGTATGAAAATGATAATAATAAATTGTATTTGAGAACAAAATGTTTTGAAAGTGTAGTAGTGTCTGAGTTAGCTTACTCATTATTAATGTGATTTTTTCGTTAAAGAAAATGCCAACCTTAAATTAATGGAACTCGTTGTCTTGTTTTGAAAACTTAATTCTAAATAGTTAGAAAACGAGGACATTATTTTTTTAATTTTTGTTTTTCAATCAACAAAAAATTCACCCACATCTCTTCACAGGAATTTAAACCCTCAATCTTTTCATTTTTTTGTGAAAGTATACCTCTTTAGTAATTAGTAAATGATAAGTATATGTTTTTAGTAAATGATGAAATGGTAAGATAAATTGTAAGTTTTTATACAATTAAACGAATAGAAATATTGTAAGTGAATATATATAATTGTGTGCTTCAAATGAAAGCTTATCGGTCATTTTTTATTTATATCTCTCTCCAATACGGGTTCAAAATGTATCAACAGCACTCGAATGATGAGTTTGTAATAGCCCAATCCAGTCCGATTTGAACTAGATCATCACGATCCGCTTAAAAAACCCGGATTCGGAATTTTTTCGGATAAACTTGAAACAAGCTCCTCTCTTCTTTAGTACTCCGTATTTCTTTTCTGCTCGGTAGCTTTGAACATATCGCAGAGCAAACGGCTAACAGTCCTCAGATGATGAGATGCCAAATTCTCATAATCTACGTACATCTAAAACCCTAGTTTCATAAACCCTAAAGCTGACAAACACGTATTGTTGTTTGCCAATGGCCTCAGCTGATATTTTCATTTCAGGTAGTCCTCTTCATCCTAAAACGTCCATTCACTTCCTTAGCTCACTTCGTAGCTCAGTCCGACTTCGAAAAACTTCAATAATTCATTTGAATTTCACTCCAAGAATTGGGATAGGATGTCGTTTTCTTCACCGACCGTTAGCCATTTTGCGAAAATCGGATTCCAGGGCTTCGGCTGTGTCCAACAATGGCACCAATTCGACCGAAGAGGATTTCATTTCTAGGGTTTTGAAACAAAACCCTAGCCAGGTCGAACCCAAGTATTTGATTGGTGACAAACTGTATACGTTGAAGGAAAAACAAGATTTGGAGACAAGTTCTGATTTTGGGGTTTTTGAATTTCTGAAGAGATTGAATTTGAGGAAGAAGAAGGAGCAGAGCGATGAGGTTGGAGACGAGAATCGAGTGAAGTCCGATGCTGTGTATTTGAAGGATATTTTGAGGGAGCACAGAGGGAAGCTTTATGTACCTGAGCAGATTTTTGGTGCCAATTTGTCGGAAGAGGAGGAATTTGATAGGGATTTGGAGGCATTGCCGAAAATGAGCTTGGAGTATTTTCGAAAAGCCATGAGGAATGATAAGATAAAGCTTTTGATGTTGAAGGAAGAAACAGGAGTGCCTTACAGTTATGGATTTAAGGATTATATTGTGGAGTTGAAAGACATCCCCGGCGACAAGAAGCTGCAGAGAACCAAGTGGTGAATAATTGTACACTTCTTAATTTTTGTGAAATTCGTGTTTGTTTATGTTTCTGTGACTGTTTGTATAGTTCTTTGACTTCTAGTCTTCAACAAATATTGTTAGGGCGATGAAACTGGATGAGAACGAAGCTCGAGCTCTATTGGAGGAGTACACTGGCCCTCGATACGAGATAGAAAGGCAAACTACGGTGATTGATCTCGGCTTTCTTTTACTTGTCAAAATTAACTTCCTCAATCCTATAGAGGATTATTGTAGTAGATCAAATCTCCTAATATCCCATAATAATCTAACTGGTCCTGGTAAACAATGAGATGAAAGAAAAGATAATGTTGGAAAATGGTTGAAGCAAATGATGAGAAGAATTGCAAAAGAGAAAACTGTTCTATAAGAAAATTTGTCGGAATGAGCAAGCCATCGAAAGGAGTCATAGAATTTGATAAAAATACTACAAATGAAAGAACTTTTAAGAAAAAGTAAGCATCTTCTATTATTAATTGTCTCTTTATCTGTGGGAATTAATTGGAAAGTTAAACTCTGGTGGATTGGTTAATAATTTAATATTATCTACATTAATATTTATTAGGCTTCTTCTAGTTCAAGGCAAGAACTGTTTTCTAGAAAAGGCAATGTCTCAATAAACAGTTGATATAAGGTAAATGCAAAGTGAGTTGATGATCAACTCTGTGAGTCAGTGGCAAATAGAAAGCTAAGAATAAGAAATAATGCAAGTGAGAGATGCTAGATATTGCATCGAGTAGGGAACAATTTAAGGGGAATGTTTTAAGATTAGTTATTCTTATGCAAGGAGAACCTATTGAATGAACTTTTAAGATGAGTTATTTGAATTAAGTTGAAGGTGCTAAATGAACAAAAGCAAAACAGGTCAAAGCAATTAGAGAAGACAATGATGACTACAAGTTACTGAAAACATGGCTTTTGTGAGGGCCAAATTATGTAAAAGGGTCTTTATAACTGATCCCAAATTGTTAAAATTTAATTCTTGGTTGAATTATGTTGAATTGAGCGCAAAAAAATATAACTTCCTATGTTTGATGAGAATTGTGAAGTTGTGATATTATCCAAAATCTACTATTGCAGCTGCTTAGCTATTTTGTGGTTGTAAGGACATCCTTTTTCTGTCTATTTGTTTGTTTATTTTACTCTTGCCGCCCTCTAAAAGCTAATATTTGGTGCAGTCTTGGGTGGGAAAATCACCCGAGTATCCCCATCCAGTTGCATCTTCAATATCGAGCAGAATGATGGTAGAACTTGGAATGGTGACTGCTGTGATGGCTGCTGCTGCGGCTATTGTTGGGGGATTCCTAGCTTCAGCAGTTTTTGCTATGACCAGCTTCATTTTTGCAACGGTTGTATATGTAGTATGGCCTATGGCAAAACCATTTTTTAAGCTTTTTTTTGGTATTGTCTTTGGTATTTTAGAGAGAGTGTGGGAGAATTTTGCTGATATTTTTGGTGATGGAGGGATTTTCTCCAAGCTATATGAAGTTTACACTTTTGGTGGCGTGTCTGCCAGTCTTGAGATGCTAAAACCGATCATGGCGGTATTTTTGACTATGGTTCTTCTTGTTCGTTTTACCCTTTCAAGAAGACCTAAGAACTTCAGGAAATGGGTGAGCTCTGCTAACTTCCTACACCTTTTGAGTGTATTCCCTTTTGTTGATTAATTGAATGATTGCGTGTGTTGCGGTTGAGTACTAGTGGTGGCCCTTAATCTATTGTTTAAATCATGCAGGATATATGGCAAGGCATCGAATTTTCACAATCTAAACCACAAGCTCGTGTTGATGTTAGTTTCTGAAAGTTACTATACTTATTTGTCAATCTTCTCATAGTCAGATGAAATCATTGAACTTCTATCTTTTGTTGACATGTCTCAGGGTTCCACAGGAGTTACATTTAATGATGTGGCAGGAATTGAGGAAGCAGTAGAGGAACTTCAAGAGGTAAGGTTTTTCAATGGAGGATATGCTTTCATGCATACAAAGCTTCTTGTTTGTTTTGTTTATGGGGGAGTCGATATTTAGTATATTTTTTGGAATTCATTTGGAAATATATATATATTTTTTGAAAGCCATTTAAAATATTCACGAGAGCTTCTATCTGAATATGTAAAAAGCCGTCCTTGCAGTTGTCTAGGATTTATTTATCTCATGAAATTTAAACCTTGGAAATTGATGATATGAGACGTGGTTCTTGTTTCGAAATTATTTGAAAGGTGACTTGATTTTTGTTTTATAAAGATTGAGAGTGGTATTTGTATAGTTGATACCACTTAATTTACGTGCATGATTTAAGGTTTCTTTTGCTTTGTCAATTCCATTCCAGTATCTTTGTTTATTGTTCTTATTTTCCCCTATATATAATTTTTTACAATGATAATCTATTTCCACTTGATTCTTATCACCTGTGTTTCTGATATATTACATTCTTTTGCATGTTGTTGAGCCTCATTTTATACTTTCACTCTATTTTCATCATGCAAAGCTAATCAACTCCACTTTACATTTCTGAGGATTAGTTGGTGAGGTATTTGAAGAATCCAGACCTATTTGATAAAATGGGGATAAAACCTCCACATGGGGTTCTTTTAGAGGGCCCTCCTGGGTGCGGCAAGGTTGGTTCTATTCTTCAACAAGTAGTGAAAATTTGTGCAGATCTGCATACAGAAGTGAAAATAATTGATGTTTTTTCAGACCCTGGTTGCCAAGGCCATAGCTGGTGAAGCTGGGGTTCCATTTTACCAAATGGCTGGGTCAGAATTTGTTGAAGTTTTAGTTGGAGTTGGTTCTGCTCGTATCAGGGATCTCTTCAAGAGAGCCAAGGTGATCATAGTTGCCTTTCATGTTTCAGATCAAGTGTGGGATTGCTAGTTATTTTGGCTCATTCCATCATAATGATTCGCTTAGTTGGTCCCAATTCATTTTGCCCTAATTTGTGGGGCACCACACATAAAACAATTTTGATATCTAGTTATGTGACATCTCTGGGTTGTTTAAGAATTTGATATTTTTACCGTAAAAATTGTGATATATAATTTTTTTCAGGTAGAATTGTTCGTATATTATGTGTAGATTGCTGCTTCACATAATTATACATGTAGCTCTACATCATACCATCACATCGTTCTCAAAGTTAATGTTTGTTAATTTTGGATTAACATGTGACAGCTCGGTAGTTTTGCCACAGAGTTATTTAGAAACTTGATTATTGAAGAGCTCTTGAAAGCCCCGAGTTATGAGAACACATTTAGTGCTGCGTTGTAATTACTCAACACCTCATAGTATTTGTTTCTTTCTACTACTACTAATTTCCCCGCGTCTTTTCAGCTTTGGAGAGAGAATAACTGACAACACCCTATTTGTCCTTTCCTAATAAGTATTTTGTTGGCAAACTATGTAAAAATTAAAATTTGTCACATTAAAAGTTGAGAATCTCCTATATTTCCTCTTGTTTGGATCTTACATTAAATATGACTTGGAAATGATAGACTATACTTTCTATTGTAGAAAGTCTTAAGTAACACACACACACACACACACCCACCCACCCTGTGTTTATTATTTCTGCTAAATCTGGTTAGAATCTTTTTAAAATATAATAGAAAACCAAAAACTTTACTCTCCGTCTCTTGACTAAGATCTTTCTCTCTAATTTAGTATCAGATTTATTATAATCTTGAGGGAGATGTTTTCACACATGGACACTAAAACCAGAACTGCTATGTTTGAAGGCAGACTTGCATGGGTCTTAGTACTGGGAAGATGGTGTATGAAAATATTACTATAGTTGGGAGATGGCCTTGTAGTTTTCCGAGGGAGCCCTGGTATCTAACATGTTGTGATCATTGGAAAGCATGGACCATATCCACTTGGACTAATCTTTGTTATCCAATCAAGCTCATTAGTTGGATCTATTTTTTTAATAGATAATTATTAATTTTGCAGATAGTTGTGGATCATTTGTTGGATACCCTTTAATAGCAAGTCATTTTCCATTTGGTGACCTTAGCAGATCCTTGTAATAAAATAAGAAATTTTCTTTGCCCTTTTATTTTCTTTTTCTGTTTTCTCTCTTCAACCAGTGAGATTTTAGTAGATTACAAAATATATATATATATATATATATAGTCATTGATGTTTAGCAATTGATATGTGTAACTTTAAAGTCATTCATTAAGAATGCCTCGATTTCTCTTTGCAGGTAAACAAACCATCGGTTATTTTTATTGATGAAATTGATGCATTGGCTACAAGGTACATATGTTCCTTTTTGTGGCTTCTTGTAAATATTAATATTTGAACATGTTAGTTGACTAGTTTTTCTAACTTCCATTCCCACTTGTGTATAAGTCATACATATATAATTTCTGAGCATCTTATAAAGATACAGCCGATTGGACATGTTCTTGATTCCTTTTCCTGATGAAGTTATTTGACGAGGACAACGATGGTAACACCAAAAATCAAGCCTTTTCCTAACTACTTGGGGTTGGCTACATGAATCCTATGTTTCCATTCCACTCTATTTAAGGCCATAGCCTCTAGACCTCAGTCAATCCACATGCTATCATATTTTTCCTTACAAATTCTACCCACGTTAACTTTGATCTTCCTCTTTCCCTAGTATTACTCTCAATGTGGATTATGTCACTTTTCCTAACTAGCACACTTAAGTTCCTCTTTGCACATGTCAAAACCATCTTAAGCGATATTCTCTCATATTATCTCTAATTTGTGCTACTCCAAGCATCTCCCGAATGTGATCATTTCTAATTCTATCCTTCCTAGTTTTACCGCACATCCATCCCAACATTCGCATTTATGCTACATTCACTTTATGCATATGTTGTTTCCTAGCTGCCCAACATTCTGTGCCGTAAAGTATGACAGGTCTAATAGTTGTTTGATAGAACTTCCCTTTCTATCATAAGGGGATACGCCTATCACACAATATAATAGATGTCCTCCTCCATTTAATTCATCTTGCCATAATTAACATCCTCTCCAATTTCTCCTTCATTATGAACAATTGAGCCTAAATAGTGAAAATATTCAATTTTTGTACTTCTTGAGTCTTGATTCTCAATCCTCACTATATCCTCATTTGTATTTTTAGATTTACAAAAGTTATTACAATCCATATACTAGTTTTATTTCTACTTACCTTAAACCCTTTTAGTTCTAAAGTTTCTCTCTAAACCTCCAATTTGGCATTAACTCCTTTAGTCATTGAGTAAAACAATATCATCGGCAAATAACATATACCATGGGATCTCATCTTGGATGTGTTTTGTCAGCTTATCCATAACCAAGGCAGAAAGGTACGGGCTTAATGACGGTCCTTGGTGTAAGCCTATAGTAATTGGGAATTCACTTGTTTGCCCTACAAGCCTTCTAACTAAGGTCACATATCATAAGATTTCTCCAAATCAATAAAAACCATATGAAGATCTCTCCTCTCTGTATCTTTCCATTACTATCCTCGCTATGTTAATAGCCTTCATCGTTGACCTTCCCGTCATTAAACCAAATCGATTCTCTGACACTTCAGTCTCTCGTCTTAGGGGTTGTTCAATCACTCTCTCCCAAGGTTTAATGGTATTTTAATGCCACGGTAATTATTACAACTTTGTACGTCCCTTTTAATTTTTTTTTATATAGGCACTAGAATACTTTGGTACCACTCGACAGACATCCTCTTAGTTGTAATTATCTTATTAAACAATTTTGTTAACCAAGACAAGCCAACTTCTCCTAGAAACTTCCAAACTTCAATGGGTATGCCATCGGATTCTAAAGCACTTCCCGATTTCATCTTCCTTAAGTATTTTGAACCTCCCTCTCCTTGACCCCAAGGAAAAATATGTTATCTCAAAGGTCACCATATTCTTCTAAGCCTAAACTTCCTATATTTGGCCACACAATATTGTACAGAACAAGTTCCGAACTTACTATCAAGACTTAATTGGATGCTCACTTATCTATCTATATATGTATATGTTAAAAATTATATGTATAGCCATAACTTATTGTATGGCCTTAGTTGGTTAATGGTTCAACCCACAAACGCAGTTGATGCTGAGTTGCTGCATAACATGTGAGTAAATACTAATTGAACTGCAGTAACTTACTGTTTCATCTTGTTCAAATTTGTATTCTGTGTCAGATTTTGTGTTAAACAGTAGTGAGGCTAGTGACATGAATATGTCAAATAGATGTTTACAAGGTACTACTCAAAACTACATGTATAACTACAGTGATAACAAGTGTAAGAAAGACGAGCGAATCACATTTATTAGCTGGCTCTTACCCTAGTTATTTTTTCTCGTGTTCTCTGCAAACTTGTATGCTAATATGAAAAAAAGGTTCAAAGTTATGCAATATATGTTGGTTGTAATAGCTTTAATTGATGAGACTTCACTGTAAATACCAAGGATTTTGAATAAATAGGTTTTGAGATATGTGGTACTGATGGTACATGCCATGATATTTTAGCAAAATTAGGAGTAACAAGAAAAACCAAGCTTTTTGTCTGAGCGATGCAGAAAGCAATCATTATTGATGTACTTTTCTGATTGTCAAACAAAAAGCAACCACACATGCATAGTCCATACAATCAAAGGAGGATGGATGATGTGGAGTGTAATTTTTGTAGTCTCCTGTGATAAGGATATGCTCATCAAAGTTGAGAAAATTTATTTGAAACGTCTCCAAGATTAGGTGCTTTATGGTTAAATTTGTTGGCTGCCAAAGATATGCTCATTACATATGACTAATTCAACCATGGTTGTTTGGACTAGGTGCTGCACAGGGAACAAAATAATGAGAAGGAGCCTCCCTGGGAAGTTAGATGGCTTGCCATTTGGGAGAAAATTTGAGTGGATGTCGATTGAGATGGTTTGGCATGTGCATGCTCGCCTGCAACTGTGTTATATGGTTCAGGTTGATGTCATTAGGGACAGGGAGGCTGTAGGTTGAGTTAGAAAGAACTAATATATCATCACATGGTGAATGTGATTGATTCAGCAGGGAACTTTTCCCTTGATGGGGTGTGGAATAGTGAAACAGGATTTTGCAGCTACTTTGTTATGCTTGATCTTCGCAAGTCTTTTTAAGTTCTTATCTTCCATAATTCAGCAACAGATTTATTTTGGGGACATTGCAGTTTGTTTCTTCCCATTCCAAGGCATATTGTAGATTTCATTAAAGTATGGATCTGTGTACATGTTATAATTACTTCTGTTTGCCTTTTTCTCATAATTAGGCGTCAAGGAATTTTTAGTGATAGCACCGACCAGCAGTACAATGCAGCTACACAAGAAAAGGAAACTACATTGAATCAGCTGTTGATAGAGCTGGATGGGTTTGATACTGGAAAAGGTGTCATATTTTTGGGGGCTACAAATCGTAGGGATTTGTTAGATCCTGCGCTTCTTCGACCCGGTCGTTTTGATCGTAAGGTTTGTTTCTTTTCCCGAGTAAGCAAATATAAAGCCGACACTGCTTCTTATAAGAATTAGCTATGCTAATCAGACCTTGCATCATGTCATTTGGCCATATACCAGTTATATAACTGCAATCAGTTAATTTCACTTTATTGTGGTAATTTGTCATGGATTTATTTTTTTAGTTCTAATATCCTTGATGCTTCTATTGAAATATTTCTTACATATGGATGATCTGTGGATTTAAGCTTTGTTGTAGTTTGTCGTTTCATTGGTTTTTACACACTGCCTCAGTTTTGTCAAACAATATTTATCTGTTTATATCATTTTGCTTCATCTCTTGTAGATAAGAATTCGTCCACCTAATGCAAAAGGGAGATTGGAAATTTTGAAAGTTCATGCGCGTAAAGTGAAATTGTCGGAGTCTGTTGATTTGTCTGCTTATGCACAGAACTTACCTGGTATGTGGTCCTTTTTCATCGTATTGAATCATGTGCTTTCACATCATGTTTAATATGGAAGTACGCTGATATAGTGTGACGTTTGTAATATAAAATCATGGCAGAGGAGACTTTGAATTTTACCTGGTATGTGGTCCTTTTTCATCTTACTGAATCATGTGCTTTCACATCAAGTTCTACATGGAAGTACGTGATCTAGTGTGAAGTTTGCATTATGAAATAATGGCAGACAGGAGAATTTGTATTTTGCTGCTTCTATTTCTTTTGGGTTTAGCAAAGTAAACTGAATGCTTGCCAAACAGGAGAATAGAGCATCAAGATGTACTTGTTGATTGATATACCTGTTTTATAGCCTAAGAAGTGTATTCTTAAATTGCATTTATAATTCTTTTCATGAATTTTGCTTGGGAGTTCATGCAGGCTTCTTGAGGAGTGGTCAATTTAATTTTTTAACTTCTTATCCTTCATGATCTTGATCCTTCTTGTTTTTAATATTTTATATAACCTTTTCTCGTGTGTGTTCTGGTGCATTTTGAGCATCACAGTAATGCCAGAAAAGGGTTCGTGCTCAGATATTTGGAGGAGAGTGAATTTAAGATATAAGATGATTTTAGGCATCGTGATGGTATGAACGCTCCTCTACACGGTGCCATGGGAGTGTCAGAAGTTGGAGGTTTTTAACTAAGCCAACATCAGAGATTATTTCACCCTAGAACCTCTAGGGGGTTCCATACTTCATAGGGTATATAATTTATCTAAATGGAAGACAAAAGAAGCGGAAGGCTTCAAATATAACAGTGCACATGAAGCGGTGCATGATTTCCTATCCTCCTCTCCCTTCCATTGGAGTTTTGTAACTAGTACCTACACCTCCATACCATGTTGATAGTATAAATTCACATGAGGAAATCGAATTTAATGCTATTCGGATTGCCCTTACTAGGGTGGCATTTTACTCTTTATCACCCAACCGACAAATGGTGTGGTTTTGATTGATTATTGTCCACGTTATGTGTGTTGACAATTTCAGGATGGATATAAATGAATAATCCATTTGTGTTTTCAATTCAGGTACTTTAATTCAAGTTTAATCTTATATTTTTGGAAATTGAATAAGTTGTTGACTTTGTGCAAGTCAAATTCCCAGCTTCTTGACCGTTGGATCACTGAACTTATAATATTGGCAGGAATTGATTTTCTTTGGGAAAACAATGGACACATTTTAAGAGCCATGTGCAGCCAGTTGTTTTACAATCTCTATTTGATGGTTTATTGAACATGTGACTTTAGCTTGCAATATATTTTAGTTATTCAATCCCTTGTGATTGTAAATAACACATTTTCATTTGTGGCAAACTATGGCCAGTGATGCATGTATGTCCTTGCTGATTTAGGACTTATGATTGCAAATTTTATAGTTTTCTTGGAGTTTGTGAATTCTCTTCCATAGGAGTGTTATATGAATAGGCCATTTCAGTATCTGAAATCATGCATTCCTTAATTAGGATGGACAGGAGCAAAGTTGGCTCAGCTGCTCCAAGAGGCTGCTCTTGTGGCAGTCAGGAAAGGACATAAATCAATTCTTCAGATGGACGTGGATGATGCAGTTGATCGGCTTACAGTAGGACCCAAACGTGTTGGGATAGACTTGGGTCATCAGGGACAATGCCGTCGAGCTACTACTGAAGTGGGAACTGCATTGACTTCTCATCTGCTAAGGCGGTATGAGAATGCCAAAGTTGAACGTTGTGACCGCATATCAATCAACCCTCGTGGCCAGGTTCACTCTGTTTCCCAAGTTCCATTGTCTTATTTATTGCTTCTGAAAGCCTTTTTAATCTTTCTTTTATATGCTTAGGTCCTTGAAAACATTGTCCAACTCTTCCAAAATGGTACCAAAATTGATTTAATGTACCGGGAACTCACTAGTTGACAATTTGGTGCTAAAGCCTAAAGGATATTTATTGTCAAGTGTGGGCTTTGTTGGATATTCTATATTGTTGATTTAAATTTCAACCTTCTGCATTGTTCATGTACTTTTCCTAATATCCTAGATGGATTTATATGCTGGCCATTTAGTATCAACTTACTTTGCTATTTACATACCGAAAAATTGCCCTATTTGACACATCACTTGGGATGTATTCAGGAACTAGTAAGCTTGCCTAGATATTTGAAATGTTTCTTTTTTTACTCCTTCTTTGGCAGTCTAATTTCAACTTCCACCATATTTTTTTCTGCCTAATGGTGAAACTGATCTACGCAGACATTTTCACAACTTGTGTTTCATCGACTTGATGATGAATCATACATGTTTGAGCGCCGGCCACAATTGCTTCACCGCCTTCAGGTGTTTACTTTATTTTTTGTGGTTTTATGCCGATTCTTTTGTGTTCTATGCTTCTGTTGTATTTTATTTTTTCAATTTAATTTCATTTGTGTAAAGGTATTACTTGGAGGGAGGGCTGCTGAAGAGGTAATTTTTGGACGGGATACATCAAGGGCATCTGTTAATTACCTTGCTGATGCATCCTGGCTTGCTCGTAAAATTATCACAATGTAGGAGGTCTTTTATATGTTGCATTCCATTAAATTCTCTGGCTTCTTTTTGGTATCATTGTCAGTTATTTTCTTCTCTGTACACCAGATGGAATTTGGAGAATCCAATGGTAATACATGGAGAACCACCTCCTTGGAGAAAGAATGCTAAATTTGTGGGCCCAAGGTTGGACTTTGAAGGATCGCTATATGATGACTATGACCTGATTGAGCACCCAGTCAACTTCAATTTGGATGATGACGTTGCACAAAGGACAGAAAAATTGATGCAAGACATGTATGGAAGGACAGTTGCTTTGCTGAGGCGGCACCACGCCGCTTTGCTGAAAACTGTAAAGGTATTTTCTGGAAAATAAAAAGAGCAATTGACCTCCCCGGAGGTATTGTGAAATTGCATAAGCTTCCCCTCTACACTGAGAAACACATTATCTCTCAGTTTAAATTTTTCTTAACAATTTACCCCCTCTCCTTACTGAGCTGTTTGTTGCAAATGTATTTTGGAGTCAAACAAGACCTGCAAGTCAAAATTCTCTATATAACATAACCTGAATGTATAATAACCTCTATTTTCTTAAATTCCTCTGTGGGCATCGTATTGCTGGTTCTACCACCATGGCCTTCTATTTTCTCTTTTCCATCATGTACCATCCCCAGGCCATGTCAGAAATTTGCTACTTTCCTCACCAGTATAAGCAACCAATGCTTAAAGAACCTCCTTTGGCGTTCTCACTTCCCGCCACCACCCAAATTCCATCGCAACCTCCATGAGTCACCACCAAAACCAGCCACCACCGCTGTCTACAAACCACCAATTATGGCCATGCTGATACCATCATCTCCTTCACCATTGACCACAATTATTAACCTCACCTTGGTCAACTCAGAAAAACCACTTCCATCACTGGAAAACACCATAACCAACATACTACATACGATTTATTGAAAAAAACATACTACATACGCCACCTTTTCTGTGTCCCTCTCTTTATCTGAAAACCACCTATCCACCAGTTGTAATCTTCAAACCAGAATCAAGGATATGAGAAAACCCAATTCAAGATTTCCAACCCATAATGAGAACCTAAGTCTAGACTCCTATCCCATCCAGACCCAAGCCAATCTGGCAAGTTTACGTAACTATAGAGAGAGAGCTTAGAGAGAAAATATGTTGGGAACGAGAGAGATATGGAGGTTTTTTTTTGGGGGGCGACGATGGTGGTGTCAGGCCTCTTAGAGCAGCACCCAATAGTCCACCATAGGGCAAATGCAGTCCCTTCATCTCACATGAACTAGGGAAATTTTCGAGGGGTGGCCCCAATAGGATTTGAATTCCCGACCTCCAAGATATAAGGTGAGAGTATTGCCATTGGGCTATCTCCTTGGACCTCCATATAGGGGGAAAGTTCAAAGAGAATCTCTGGGGAATTATTTACACACACATACTCATGCATATATAGAGAGAGATCTATATCTTATAGTTGATTTAGCCTTTTCGTTAGAGCTGGTAGTACTGTTGCTTTAAAGACCTTTTTTGTAAATCTCTTTGTTTCTGAACAAAAAATTGTTTGGACTGTCTTCTTTTTGTTGTTGGCTTGTTTCTTTTTTGCACCGACTGGGAAAAAATCAAGACATCTTCATCACCTAAGAGCTGCGACTAACTTCAATTTGAAATGTTAAGAGATCTATGCTTGTGAGTTGTGGTTTTGGATCTTGGTGTTTGTGGTTGTTAATTGCGAGCTGAGTGTTTTGTGCTGATTCTCTCTGCTCCTAATTCACTCTTTTGTGTTTTAGTTTATTTATTTATTTATTTTTGCTGCTTTTCACGACATTTTTTTTTTTTTTTTTTTTACAAAGATTTGCCATTGGCATCTAGCCTTCAGTTCCTTTGTTTTTTTTTGTTATGCATTAAAGTCATTCCCATTCAACATTTCCATACCTGCTGCCACCTCAATTCTCTTTTGAGTTGGAAAATAAATATAGACGCAGAAGACTAAAATTTGGTTCGATGAGAAAATCAGAGAGAAGTCATGGTAGCAATGGTGTCGAATCACAAGAGGCAATGCTTTTGTAAATGGTGGAAATGCTTCAGTATGCTTGAAGTATAGAGAGAGAATTGTTGAATGGTAATAGAAAGGAGAGATGGTGTGTTAAAATATACTAGAACATCAACAAGGCCATTTTTTGTGGATTAAGGCCAAGTGTGCAAATGTGCTCCCCCCCAATTTGAAACTCACACACCCGCTTTGCCCTTACAGGGGACTTGAACCTTAAACCTCAAACCTCTACTTTGGAAGGTGAGGAAGTACCACTACACAACTTCTCTTTATCAAATGTGCTCTTTTTTTTCTATGACATCCATCGTAGTTTACTATTAAGGGGTGGAAGTGCAACTTCTTTGATCTATAGGAGAATAATGTACAATTTTTTAACATTTCAGAGGAGGTAGGGGTAATTTACCCAAATAATAATTGCATTTTCTAGCTTAGCTCTCTTGTTCCACAATCCCCTCTTCTCTTACCTAATTAAATCCTTGCTGATAAAGCAACCAAGATGCCTAGTATTTAATCTTTTAAAGTTTATTAATTTATTGACTTTAGCACAAAGTTCTACAAGTTATGTACAAGTTAAAATTGTTTATGGATGTATTCAGAAGTTCAGATTCTTTGCATAAAACTGATTCATTTTTTCTTTAGACTTTAGCTGCACTTCCTCTGTTGTTGAGGTATTCACATGTCAAATTTTCATGAAAGTTTACGCAACTGCAAACCACACTTTCCCTTCATTGTTATGAAAGAATATCATGGTTCCAGTAACTTGTTTTATCTTAAGCCAAGGAATACTGTTGTCTATTGTATGGGTCTTGTTGCATATCATAGTAGACTATATTTTCATTGGTAATATTTCTTTATCAGAAAATTACTACATAAACTTGTTGCTTCTCCTTGTCTTGCATGGTATAATGGGTCTATAGTGATACCGATGCTTGAGCTCCCTTGTTCATTGCATTACAGGTTCTTCTTAATCAAAAGGAGATCAATGGAGAAGAAATCGACTTTATCTTGAATAATTACCCTCCACATACACCTACAAGTCATATACTGGAGGAGAAGGATCTAGGTAGCCTTCCATTCTTCAGAGAGAAAGAGGAACAAGGCCATGAGTTGGAGTACAGCCTACCAACTCCATCACAAGGCAAACTTTCGTGATGGAGATAGATCATGCGGTTCCAAATTTACACCATCCATTCAAGAAGATTAAAAAGTGATAGGGAGATTCATTCCGCATTATGTCCGTGTTTTCCTGACTGTTTTTGTTCCTATTGTTGGTGCATGCAAGAGCAGCAGCAGTGAAGAGGAATTGTGATATGGAAATTACAAATGATATTAGATTAGCACATCAAAGATTTTGGCATGTTCATTGTTAGGAATCTTGGGGTATGTAAAGAACTCATGCATGATTCTTTAGGCCATGTATCACGTGATTATGTAAAATCCCCAATTCATTCTCTTTTTTATGTATAAGGATCGGGAATAGTAGTTGAAGATTTCTTATGGAAGAAAGAAAGAGAGATGAGTTGAATGGTTGTGATTATCACAGGACTGACATAATTGATTGGTTATCATTCAGATGGATAGTATGTAATTTTTTATTTTATTACCATCAATTATTTTTTTCATAGTTGATACTCACACACATGCCTTAATGGAGACATGAATTCTTGACCTCCCTTTGGAAAGCAAAGGCCTGATACGGTTAAATCATTGACCCGTTGGTTACTACCATCAATTATTATCATTCATCCAGATAATCCAGATAATGCCCTCTGTAACCAACCTATGGGATTATCTGGCTGTGTAACCTTTTTAAAAGTATGGAGAAATTGAGTTACTATCATTTTTCTCTATTTCCTCGTACAGAGGATAGCAACAAATCCCTTTCACCCCTGGGATATTTTACAGGTGGTACTCCCCGTCAATGGATAGTATTAGAAACTCTAAATTTGCTTTGATAATAGAGAAATGAGAAATTTTCAAGAAAAAATATGGGCATTCATATATAGTGAATGCCTCTGCATTATTGTAGTCTCTCTAAAGAGGGAACGAGAAGGGAGTCGGAATCCTATATACAGGACCTGTTCTTGATTATGAAAATACTAGAGGGAGGGGGAGAGAGTTCCTTTTCTTTTTTGGACCAGTGATGCTTTTGTATTCCTCATATTTTTCCTTTCCATATTTCAGTTTTCCTATCATTTTTTTTAACAAAAGGTTAATTGCATCACCTCCTTAACTATAAAAAATTTGCATTTCATTTCTTTAGGTAAAATCAATCTCCTTAAATAATTGAAGATTTACAAATAATGTCAACTGGTTCTTGGCTGTCCCCAATTTCAGTTTAAAATGTTTCAATTCTTAAAATGTTATGAACTAAATTTTTTTTCTAATTCTACCCATTACAATTTCAAGATTCTAATTCCATGCAAATCGAACATAAATATTTGAAAATTAATAAATTACCTTTAGGATTAATTGTGTAAAATCCTTTCAAAAAAAACTTTGTAGTTAAACTTTTTTTTTTATTAGAGATAAAAGAAAACATCACACTAGTTTCAAATTTGCTAAAAGGTTGGAATATACATTATAAACAAAAGAATATTAAGTAATTTTAAAATGATTACAGAGTATTTGAGAAGAATGTATAATCCTTTTATATATATATATATATAACCTAATGTAAAATACATCCCGAGTGATAATCTAGATCCTAATCATATATCAACCTCACATACATCAAAAAAAACATTCATGTTTTAATTTTCTCCAACATCTCAAATTTAAAATTTGTGAATAGCATCTCTCAATTAAATATCATCCCATCTTCTATCAAAATTGAACTCCTATCTACAATAATACTAAAATAGTCTTATAATCAACCCTCATGATTCAATTTAGTTACAAAAAATCACTGCCCTCTGTTTAAACTATTCCGGTGAATTCCTTTTTTATTTTTTTTAATTAACCTCTATTTGCATTTTAGAAAAGATTGACTCAACAAATATTTCTAGTAAAGCTTTACGCAAACACAATTCATGTATAGCAAACAAATATTCCTCCGAAACTCTGGCATTGAATAGCCTAATATATTCCAATTTTTAAAATATACAATTACTTATATTCTACTTCCAGTCCGAAACAAAATTCCCACAACTATCCTTGAAGAGACTACCATATTTCAACACTGAGGGATAAAAAGACGAAAATGCCCTTTATTTTACTGATGAGAAATATAATAAAAAAAAATGCCTAGAAATTGAAATTACCTAAAGGGACATACTAAGAAACAAAACCACTGTGGAACCCAAAAACATATACCATACGTTTTCTCTCTCTCCCCCTCTCAAACTCTTCTCCTCTCTCATCCTCTGTAACCTCTTCTACGGCCTATTCATCATCCATCGTCCACCTTAGGTATCATCTCCGACGGTGTCAACTATGGTTTGCGGGGTTCACAAACTTCTTCAGCTCGATCGGTTCTTCGCCAAATAGTATTTTTATCAGACGTACAATTTCATGCCCGCACCACCACCCGCATTCGGTAATCTCTTCCTCATCATCAACTACGATTACCTGATATTCCTCGCTGCTGCGTACGTCTCCAGTGGAAGCGAGCTCTTGTTGGAGATTCTTGGACCTGGCCTTGTTGGAGAACTATTTCTTCCTCATCATCATCTGATCTCAATTTATTTAATTTTGATTTGAATTTCGCTTATGTTTGGTTGCTCAGAAATTGAAGGAAGGGTAAAGTTAAGAGAAAATGTGAAAGAAATTTGAAATATTTTCTTTCCATTTTTCACCATGGAAACTATGGTTTGGTATGATCTGAATTTTCTGGGTTTAGGCGGACTCGAATTGGTAGGCAAAAAAATTGCTGTTGATGATCTAAGTTCGGAAATTGTTGGTGGAAAATTGGCCGGAGGGGTTGATTTTGGCAAGGGGTCAAAAGTTTGGGGTTGATTTCCTGGGTTTAGGTGGAATATTGGCCGGAGGGGGTTTATATATAAGGTACCATTTCGATGTGTTTTGATTCTTCCGAACAAGAGAGGTTTGATGCTTCTGAATTCATTGTATTAATTCCACTTCTCTTTATGATCTCGGCTGATGATTGAGCCTCTAAAGTTTATGTTTTTATGTTTGGAGTTGAGGAAACGCATATATCAATCTTCTTGTTTCTATGATATATATATATATATATATATATATATATATACCTAAATATGCAGTCTCAGTATAGTATATGGAATTCAGAAGTTGGATGAAATAAATAAGAATTTCAACAACAAACTAATGAAATGGAATCATAAGAGGATTGTTTTTATTAGCTTTTGATGGGTCTTTGGCACCATCACCACCAGAACCGGCAGCTGCAGACAGCTTCGGCTTAATCTCTTCCAATTGTTGGAGAAATTGCTGAGGTTCTGGCCAAACAATACTTTTTACTTTTGCAAAAAAACAGTAAAAAGTATTGATTGGGATTTTTTTATTTTTATTTTTTAATTTGTATGTTTGGCCATGTAGCAGATGTCGATCATATGTGGTACAAGTAACTTTAGTTTAGAGATTTTTTTTTTTTTTTTTTTTTAAGCATCAAATCAAATTATTAACTCAGATAATATATATAGAGAGAGAGAGAAAAGAGTCATTGGAGAGAGAGTAAATAAAAAAAAAAATAGAAATAAATAAAATAAGAAAAAAAAAAATCCATAAGAGAAATTACAATAGAGAGAGAGAAAGAGTGTTAGAGAGTAGGGAGAATATATATTAAATATAAATAGTGAAATAGGGTAATATATATAAATGAGGGAGAAAATGATTAAGGGATAGTTTGGGTATTCTAAAAGGGCATTGTTGGTATTAAAAATTATTTTTTTGCACATGACCCGCACATGCAATTTTGGGGGTCAGATGGGACAAGGATCACCTTCAATTGTACAGTAGTCCATTTTCTCTATTTTTGTAAGTAAAAGTACATCCTAACATTTTCTTATTATGTATCCTAATATTTTCCTACTATGCATCCCAACACATGAGTGACGTGGCTATTTCTAGACCACTCATTTTCAAAATAGAGTAAATGGCACACTATTTTATGGAGGTGATTTTCACCCGGTCAGATGCCCTTGTTTGCACGCTTTTGAAACAACATGAATGCAATTTGAACATAAGTGTTGTTGAACATGAGTGTTGTTATTGCCAACAAGTCAGTGGTCTAGCAGTATCGGTCTCTTACCTCCCAAATGGAGGTCAGGGGTTCAAGTCTCAGAAGATACATGTATGTGTAAGTCCAAATAGGAAAAAAAATAAAATAAATAAAAATAAAAATAATAAAAAAAACATGAGTGTTGTTGTTTGCACACTTTTGAAATTACATTTTTTGCAAATATTCGGGAAAAGTCTTCACTCTATAAGGGAAGGGCAATTATGATATTTCAAAAAGGATATATTACACTAATTTCCCCTGAGATTTAGGTAAATTACACATGGTAGACCATCAACGTTTTTTACTTTGATCCTATGTGCATGTGCTCAACAACATCCTTAGAATCCTTAGCGTTTTATTTCCAACAAATATATTGATCAAATTTTATAAAAATGACAATTTGCCTTTTCATTTGTATAAAATATAATATAATATATTATTATATTATAAGGGCATTATTGACTTTTAATATTTAAAGTCACTTTTCGACTGCCGATGAACTAGTTTAGAGGAGGTCAAAATAATAAATATTGAACGATTCACCCGTGTACAGGGACGGAGCCAGCTTGGGCCAGGGGGGCATGTGCCCCCTCCCTTGGGGCCCAAGCTGGCCCATTAAATTTTATATATATTTAGGTATATTATTTGTAAAATATTACTTGTGCCCCCCTGAAAAAAAAATTATTTCTAAAACACCCTTGGGACATATTTTTTTATTTTATTTTATACAATATAAGTATATAAGTTGTAAAAAATTACTTTGTGCCCCTCTAAAATATTAAATCTAGGCTCTGTCACTGTGTGTGTAATTTGTCCAAATCTCAAGAAAGATCAATGTAATTTACCCTTACAAATATAAGAATCGAATGGTGTAAGGGCTTTTTTTTATTTTATTAATTAAAAAAAAAAAAATAGAATGAATCACCCTAGCACATTGCCTTTTTTTGAAACTTGGGTACTACATATTGTGTTGGCGGCACGGGTGGACAAGCCCACCCAAAAATAAAAAATAAAAACTTATTTTTACTATACCCAATTTTAGACCTGTTCAATATATATATATATATATATATATATATATATATATATATATATTATTAATAGCCCACTCAAAGAAATATTAGTTCAACTCATTGACAATTCTTGAATAGTTGTTGTGCAACTCTTTTCTAGAATAATTGGCTACTTGCAGAGGTAAAAATTAGTGTTTTAAAGAAAGCATGAAAAGAGAGAGATTTAGTTCCAAAATATTCTCAAACTAGTTCAATTTAAACCATGTGCACCCCTAAGTTAAATGACCTGAGACTATTGCTAGAATAAAGTGGAAGGTTGATGGTTCATCATCTTTTAAACTCTATTTATAAAAATAATATACTGGTTTTACTATGTAACAATGGGTTCCATGGTCTAGTGGTCAGGACATTGGACTCTGAATCCAGTAACCCGAGTTCAAGTCTCGGTGGAACCTTAGCTTGAACTTTTTGCAAGGATTTGTCTAATTTTTTTATTCCCTCTAAAACTTTCCTTAAAAATACTATTTCCTATTAGACCTCAAGCTAATAGGAAGGCCCCAAATTCGCCTTTCCTTATAATTTTTTTTTTTTTTTACTTCTATTGTTAGACGGGCCAATCAATACGCGAGAATTTTTTAATTTTATTTTCTTATATTACAATCTCTCTAAATTTTTTTTATTTACTTCTATTTTTAGACCCCAATCAATGTAGATTTAATGGTGGATCAAAAGATTTCTATCCTTTATTTTATTTTATTTATTTATTTTTTTCTCTTCATCTCAAGTTACACTGATGGTAATTATTAAGTCTTTACCCAAAAGTTTTCTATCCTTATCTCATTTTTTTTTTTTTTTTTTTGTTTTTTTCTCTCTCTCCTTCTCTTCTTTCATTCACGTTCACACCAGTGCTATTTATTGAATATATAAAAAAATTAGGTAAAAATTCGACTAATAATTAAAACATAACAAAAAATTCTTTATGCAGAACAACAAATGAAGATTAATCAACTGTAAAGTGTTTCATGCAGTGTTGCACGTATTGAAAAACCTTTCAAAAAGCAAAAAAACAAATGAAGATTAAAAATAATGAAAGAAAAATACTTTAGTGACTTGATTCATAATGATAATCAAATGTGTGTTAAGAAAATTCTTTATGGAGAACAACAACAAAAATATTAAAAGCAAGATTAACTTTAAAAAACTTAAATACAATAATTTAATTAGTAACTTTGCATCTTAAAAAACAAGAAAGATAATTTTTAAATAAAGATTATTAATTATTATTTAATATTAATATATTACAAATTAAAAAGAGACGTACTCTTATATTTTTTTTCGCCTAAGGCCTCAATGTATATTAAGCTGCCGCTATTCGAGTGTGAGTTCGACTCCCCTCGATTGCGCTCAATGTATATTAAGCTGCCCCTATTCGAGTGTGAGTTCGAATCCCCTCGATTGCGCAAATGTATGACTTAAAACTCACTCGTATCATGGAATTGATGCAGGATTTTAATTCTCCGATTAAAAGACCTTTTTAAATATTCAATTCATGAAAACTTATTAAATTATTGAGGACAATTTTAAAAAAATATAGAACTACTTTTATTGTATTGATTCAATATAATAACAAAGTGGCATGCCTCATCCAATATCTTCTTCACTAATAAAGTAATTTATATTAATATGGTTACTGAACATTTTGCAATATTTAAGTTTATAAAAATAATTAATTCCACAAATTCATCAATTTAAAGCTTGATCATCCATCAGACTGTTAATCTACCACCCCTAAAAGGGTGAAACTGAAGAAATTCTGGGTCACACCAGGAATTGGTTGTAATAAACACTGAAATATAGGGTAGGATTGTTCGATTGTTCGTTCTCTCCTCCTCAAAATAAACAAAAGAATTGTGTCAAAAATTCAAACGACCTCATTTCAGTGGCTATTATCCAGATATTTACCTGCACACACATATATACACGTGTATATACATGTAGAGAGAGAAAGAAGGAGCGGGGAGTGAGAGAATGACGACCACCGCTGCCTCCTTTCTCTCAATCGCAACACCTCACCAATCTCCACAGTTGAGCAGCATTAGCAGATTGTCCATTGCTCAAATTGGCCTCACCAAATCGCCATTGAAGCCCATCACTACTACTCTCATCCTCCGTTCTTCTTCCCCATCTTCATCTTCAGCTAATTCTGTAGTAGCAGAAGAAGAAGAAAAGGAAAGTCCTTCCCTTCCATCCGATGCCCTCCCTCTCCAAGACACTGATTCACTTCCTCTCAGGTATCTTTCATCTAATTCTCCAATTACTCCATATTTGTAGTTTGTGAATTGTGTGTATTTATTATAGAACACATTTATTTATATACGCGTGTAGAACAACTGAAAGATATAAAGCATAGGACTATATATTTATAAATTAGAGCCTAAACATAACAAAAACACATTTATAAACGCATGTATTATGTATATACACGTTTTTTTAGTTTCTTTTTGTGAAATTTTGGCTCTATATAACATATATTAATGGGTAATTCTACCCAATGCTCTTTCGGGTATCAGATTTGGGTAGGCGGGAAAACTAGGGTTTTTCAGTGATGATTTGATTTATTGCTTCGTGGGTTTGATGATTGTGATTGAAGGGAATGCTTATTTTAGTGATGTGAATGAAATTGTGTACAGTGGTTGTAAGGCATGTGGGAGAGAGGAAATAGAGAATGGCTGCAATGGGGAGGGAAGGATTCAAGGTGGAATTGCGACGGTGCCGGGCTTTGGTTGGTGGCCAATTAAGGCTTACAGGCCTTGTCCTGGATTTGTGGCATCCGGTGGTAGGTATAGGCGACGCGGCCAGAGCATGGATGAGGTTGTCAGTGGGAGCGGAGGGAAGGCAAAAGCTTCCATAGGGACTAATGATGAGGTTCAATCAAGGTAGAGGTTAGACTTCCATCACTTTGTTTAGCTCTTCTATAAATTGGTTTTCTAAATTGTTCTGTTGTGTATTCTCAATTCTGCCAATGTTTGAGAAATAGATGAATTTTGTTGTTGAGGAACCAAGCCTATGCCTTACTCTAAATGACCTAATCAAATGAGGTGAATTTTTGGTTGATATATAAGTTGAGCCTGTACATTCCTCAACAAAATTCAAAGCCTAAGCTTCTACAATCTTGCACTTTTTGTTGGTTCTGGAGTCGGAGTGAGGAGTGTCGTTTTGATTATACTAGTTCTGTTTCCTTATGTAAGACACACACTCAAAACTCGAACACTCCCTCTATTTTCCATGTAAGAGAAGGAGGAGATGACGCTCGAGCTAGTAACTGTTGTCTTTCAGCTAGCATAACACCACTATCTCAGCTTATCTTTGATTGAACAAATAAAGTTCACATGAAATTTCTTAGTGTAAGAAATAAATTTTTTCTTTATCCTGACCATTCATGGCTTATAGCTTGGTTGCAGTTTCTGTGGACATTTTTTACTTGAAAATTATTCTTGTGGTTTTGGAGCCTTACGACGATGCAACTTTGATTAGTTTACTCGTTATGAGTTTGCTTATGTTCTGCAATGGAAATGTTTTGGATGTGTACTACAGCATTACTAGGAAATACAACATCACTTTCTAGCTTTCTTGAATGGTACGTTCTCAACAAATCATCACTTGATTATTGTTTGGGCACATGTGCTGTTAATATTATGCGTCTATCAAATAATAAACCATTTTGCTGCTCTGGCTTTTAGTTCTTATCCATATTAGTCAAGGTAGGTGTCACCTGCAAATAGAACTTAAAATTGGCATATGGAAGACAGTAGGTGATGTTCACCACCATTTTTTTGTTTTGTTTTTAGACAACGTTGGTGGTGACGGGCTTCATAGAGCACCCAATAATCCACCATTTATACTTCCTGAAATTGCCAGGGAATAAGCTGCTATAATTAGTGGCATCTGATTCATGTTCATATCTCGTAGATTATTTAAACTTGTGTAACTTAGAATTTCAGAGGTGTTCTTTATTGTTGTTACCTCTTGCAATAGTTGCATATTGTGCACCAACAATTGGTGTTTATTTATTCTAATTCACTTGCTAATGTGTTATTCCGTTGTTTGGAATTTCAAGAACCATCTTATACGACTAATTTATTAATGTAATAGTTCATGCCGTGACAACTCTTTCAGGAACAAGAAGCAAGGACTGAAGAAATTCAAAAGGTAATTTTGTGCAGATATATACCATGTAGTGCCAAATGCTTTGTTGGGGGTGAAAATGTGTCGGATTTTATGTCACTGGCTTGATCCAGATGCCAGATTTAATGGGAACTACGGAAGAAATATAATTTCGGTGCTGGACTATTCAGTGCTGTACTGCTTCCTAAAATGGGAAGAAAATGTGAAGGGGTTTAGGTTGATCTGTGCTACATTTCATGTTCTGATAATTGTAATCAATATCTGTACTATTCATTGTTCTATCTTCTTCTGTGGCTTAGAGGCCCAATGTTGAATCACAATGTGAAGATTTCATTTCCTTGTTACCTTCACTTTGTGATATCTATAATTACTCCATTTCTTAATGCATTTTAACCTAGCTTTTGCAAATGACTTGAGGGTTAAGAACTTGCCTTAATATTACTTGACTCTCAACCCTCGGATCATGTGAACTCTACCGCGGAACCAGTTTGCACATCTGCTTTCGAGGAATGTGAGTGTGCTAGTCCTTGACTCGTGCTCAGGGTATGAGTCGAACTATATTTCCCAGGTTGGACCATGATGACGGGTCCCGAAAATCAGTCAGGCGACTGTGAGAAGGTAGGGAAGACACCTCCTACTGGGTTAGCTTTGCCTTGATAACGAGACTTAAATTTTTCTCAAATGGTTGATGACGATAGGGAGAACAAGATGAAATAGAAAATTATGGTGGATATAATGGATACATGTAGTTGCCGAAAAAAAGTGACATTACAATAATGGCCAATGAAAATACAAATTACAAGATCTAAGTAGAGAAACTAGAGCATGCAGAATAGAAGGGAACCACTGATAGTCAAAATTAGATGTGACACAAAGCTAGCATATTTGATTTCACTTTAATCGTGTTCTTGTGATAATTGTGCCGACTCAATTAATAATTCTGTTTGTATTTTGAATATCAACCCGTTTCATTAATTGTATTATAATTGCGTTAAGTGAATTCCTCTAACCGGCAAACTATTTTAACTTAATTATTATGGACATTTTTATTATTTTAATATAAATTCAATATGTATATTGTATTTGGCCTGCTTTTTTTTAATTATAGTGTCCCAATTATTTTTATTTTCATAACTTTAGTCATCCATTATTTTCAATTTTTTCATTATATTTGTATTTTATCCATAAGTTAATCAATTAAATAGGTCACTAAACAAGTCATATCATTACATGACTTGGTTTATTAGACGGGTTACCGTGGGGTCTATTGGTTCCGACTAAGGACATATCGAGAAATTGTCAATAGGGTGGATTAATATTTTTTTGAGTGGGCTAATATTAGTATAATTTTTTTTTTTTTTTTTTTTTTTTTTTTTTTTTGGCTGTGCTAAAATTAGGTATTGTAAATTTTTTTTATTTTTTTATTTTGGGTGGGCTTGAGCACACCCAAGCCCCCGTTGTATCCGTTCGTGGTTCTAATTACTTGTTAATACACAAATAAAAAATTGACTGACAATAAGCGAAAAAATTGAATAGAGTTATCATATTTGTTTGTGTCAACCAGTACTAATTAACTTTCATGATCCCGAACCAACTATGTAAGCTTTGATTGTATTTTATAAAAAATTATTACATAATTCGGAATCAATCACCTCCCACATGCAAGCAAATGCATTAATTTTATATTAACATTATTTAATTTTTTATTTGCTCGTCAATTAGAGATAAAAATTAATGATACCTGTCTCGTGCAATAATTTCCTTCGAAGTTAAATGGAATTGTCCTAACTTTTGGATCAGCCTCGCGTATAGTTTACATTGGTCAAACTAACTTTTAGTGCCACCCAATTTCAATAAGGTCGTCCTTGTATAAGAATGTAACACGAAATTGATATGGGTGGGTTCCCCAAGATGTTACAATGTTTCACCAAAACAGAGCTAAAAGCTCAATCTTTCACAGTTGTTGCATCCTGTAACAGTTTTTTATTTTATTTTTGATAAGTAAAAATTAAAAAATGTACAAAAATTATGTTTAGTTGACAATTTGATGAAAACTTAGTTAAAAGAAAATATATAAGTTTTTAGAAAAATATAAAACATAATTGTCTGAAAATAATTTTTAATTTTTTAAATTTCAAAAATTATTTTATAAGTGACAAATCAATCATCCCTTAAACTTCTTTTGAAAAAATACAAAGGAACATTTGGTAATGCACTCGCAAATTAAGTCACGCAATCCTTCTCAACATGTGTTACTCTTATGTTCCAAGTGCGCTCTAGCTCTCACACTTCGCGCGCGTTCTCACTCAAATTCTAACTATTTATGATATAATTTTACCGTTCCCACACATTCGCTTTCACTCCCGTTTTATGTGACTTAACTCGCGAAATAAAAAAAAAAAAAAAAAATTAGATTTTAGAAATAAAAAATAAAAAATCCATAATTTTTGAATCTTATGTTCCAAGTGCGCTCTAGCTCTCACACTTTGCGCGCGCTTTGACTCAAATTCTAACTATTTATGATATAATTTTACCATTCCCACACATTCACTTTCACTCCCGTTTTATATAACTTAACTCACGAAATTAAAAAAAAAAAAATTAGATTTTAGAAATAAAAAATAAAAAATCCATAATTTTTGAATCTTTAACAAATGAGTTGCACACAATTCAGAGGTTTTAGATAGTAAATGCTGTTATTTTCAACTTTATTGGAAGTCAAATTTTCCATAGGTAAATAAAGCTATTGCAAGTTGTTTCAACTCTGATTCATTAAATGACAAACTCCATGTTTATTCAAGTATAATTAACTTCAACCTACTCTCAATTATGATCTCATTTATAAACAAATCATGATTTCAATTCGATTCATTAATGCTATCTATAAACAAATTATAATCTCATTTATATATTTTAAAATTTTAAAATGTTACTGTATATATATATTTCAAATTGAATATTAATATCTTGGGATTTTTTTATTTTAATTTCCTTTTGTTTGAATATTAATTTATTTATTTATCATACAATAATAGGTTGGAGAATTAATTCATTAAAAATTTGTTTGTAATTTTTTTAAAAAATTAAATCCAAAAATAAATTATTTTATTTTATTTATTAATTTATATATATATTTTTTGAGAAGTTCAAAAGATCGCAAAAGACAATATTCGGTCCTAGCCGTACTTGGAAGAGTCAACTTTCCCGCTGACAAGAGATAAAGAACCCGCCAACATTACATAGAATCTGAATTCGAATAGACAGATCACCCCGATAAAAACCCCTGTTTGGCAGCCTAGAATATCTTTCTCAGAAAAGCATGGAACCAGAAACTGAACAAAAATCGAAGAAACTGTGTTAGAAATCGTGAAGAGCTCCGACCTGCACGAAACGACACTGAAAATGGTCGTTAACATGGCTTCGTCCAAGCTCAATCTCGACCTCTCTCAACCGGACCGCAAGCATTTCGTCAAGCAAGTCATCCACACTTACCTCACCGACCTTAGGGAAAAGCCGATCAAGGCCGGACCAGAACCGGACAAAGATAACACCGGTGCGGACCAGCCGACCAAGGTCGAACCAGAACCGGACAAAGATAACAGCGGTAAAAAAACAGATGAACGAGGCCGAAGCAAAACCGGACAAAGATAACAGCGCTGCCAAACAAGCCGAAGAAGAACCAGAAGAAGAAAATGAAGAAGAGCTGAAGAGAAAGAGAGGCGATTCTAAGCAGTACGATGACAATGGCCATCTCATTATATGTAAGGTAGATTCGAAGTCTCAAAACCCTTTTTTTTTTTTTTTAAAGAATTTTTTTATTTTATTATTATTATTATTTTTTCTTTTCAGTGACTCGATCACTGATTCTGAAGTGAGGGTTTTGGAGGTTTGAACTGGAAGTAAACCCTAATTTCTTAAAATTTGCGATGGATTCAACATTTGTGCACACATTTGTACATATATACAGAAAATATACATGTTTGTTTATACATATATTTCAGAGTAAGAAAAGCTCTTCCTCAACCATGACCCAAACATTGTGTTCATTTGTTTCTAAATTTATATATTATGATGCTTAAAATAATAAATTTTCTTAGTTTACTGGTTGTGTGTTCTTCTGTCTGCAATGATGAGAAATATGATACAATTTAATATTTCTTTTCCGCATTTCTCATCTAACAAAGGGAATTCTATACGTTTATACTTAGATAATGGTTCGTATAAGGAGGGGTTGTTGTTTAATTTTATTAATTTGTAGTTCATTGTTTGGATGTAGCTTTCAGAGAGGAGAAGGGTGACAATTCAGGATTATAGATTGAAGACACCGGTGACAATCAGGGACTACTATAGAAAAGATGGGAAAGATTGTCCTAGTTCTAAAGGTAATTTGGTAACTTCATCATTATGATTATCTATGTTTAAGTGCTGCTTTGTGCTTTTAGTTTAATGTATAGGCACAGAACAGAATTTTCAAGTTTCTTGTTGGTTGAAGGTAGAAGTTTAAATTTGAGTAAGAACTAAAAGCAATAGACAACAGCAAATATAGGTTTTCGTTTTGCCATTTGGACATTACTGGAGGATGAAGGTGCATGGTGGAATCTTGATAATGATAAATTATGGATGTATTTGCACTTCCATAAACTATTCAATGGATCAACGTGTCTCTGAAGTTTTGAAGCCTTGTGTATCAGATTAATAAATGTTTATGTGTACTAAAGTTCAGTTTGATTGTTGAAAATGTACACTAGTCATAAGTGTGTGCTAGTGGAATTAAATTAATGAGCCACACTATGGGAAAGAAGAATAGAAGAAAGACTAAGAAAAGAATGTACAATGTCCGAAAATCATTTGGTTTTATGCTAGGGAGATCAACTACGGAAGCCATTTATCTATTAAGGCAATTAATAGAGACCTATACATGGTTTTTATTGACTTAGAAAAAGCATATGATTGAGTTCCTAGAGACATGATTTGGTGGGCTGTACGAAGAAAACATATTCCGGTTAGATTTATAGATCTTATTCATGATATGTATAAGAATACTAAGACTAGAGTTCATATTATATGTGAGGAGACGAAGGATTTTATTATAAGAGTAGGATTGCACCAAGTGTCGGCGCTAAGTCCATATTTACTTATGATAGTCTTAGATGAAATAACGAAAGACTTACAAGGCAACCTTCCATGGTGCATGTTATTCACGGATGACATAGTACTATTGGATAGGTTTAAAGAAACTTTAGAAATATTCAGGGAAAAATAATAATTTATAAGTAGAATTAAAGGCTAGGAGAGCGGCACTAGAGTTAAAAGGATTAAAACTTAGTATAACTAAAACAGAATATGTGGTATGTAAATTTAGTTGTGTTACAGGAAATGATAATGTAGCAATAAAAATTCAAGACCAATGCACAGAGAGATTGGAATAAGTTGGACACAAGTGGAGAAATGCTAGTGCGGTTTTATGCGATAAACAAATACCAAATAAGTTAAAACGAAAAGTATATAGAGCAATCATTAGACCAGCAATGCTATATGCAGCGAAATGTTGAGCGTTAAAAAAAGAAACATAAACAACGCATACATGTGACGAAAATGTGGATGCTAAGATGGATGTTAGGAAAGATAAGATTAATAATCAAACGATTAGGGAGAAATTGGATGTTGGGCCTATTGGCTATCAAATAAGAGATAGTAGACTAGATTGTATGGGCATATCCAATGCTGGCCTATAGATGCACTTGTGAGGAGAGGAAGAGTGATTTGCATAGATGCTAAGAGATAGAGGTTGACCTAGACTAACCTGGAATGAAGTGATAAGAAATGATTTTAAAAAATTAAAAATTCAGTAGAAGATATGGCTTATGATGGAAAAAAGTGGAAAAAGAAAATTCATGTGGCTGACCCCGTCTGTACGGGATAAAGACAAGGATGATGATCATGATGATGATAAGTCTGTGCTCATGCTAAAGAGGGAGATCCTCGAGGCTTGAAGTACTTTGTTCTTACTTTCAATATTAAACCTTCAACTTTCATTAGCTACTGGAACCTTTATGAAAAATGTAGGAAAAGAATTAGATGGTAAGGTTTATCGTAAGTTGTCATATTGGAATCCAGTTAGAGTAGAACACGTGTGCTGGATGTATAGCATGAACTGGTTGATCGCAAATGGAATAGGAAAACATGCTTCCTTGTCACAGAAGTATGGGGCATAACTTGAGTTGTTCCATTACTTATGGGGCTTGCATTGGCAAGGAATGTTGCCAGTGTCCGTCATAACTTTCAGAATGATATACTGGATGTATGCCTTAATGAAAGTTTACTCTCTCTCATCTTTTCTTTTCATTGGTGTTCATTCCTCAGACTATCTTAGGATGTGGAAGTCTTTACACTATGTTATAGATGTGCTATGTGTCCTCATCTACTGTGCTGTCAATTATGTCACTGAGCTACCTTTGGTCTGAGATTTAAATATTACTTTTAACAAGACTTAAACTCTTAACCTCTATTTTTAATTGTACCATCTAAGTTAATGTAACGATTTTCAAACTTAATAATCTATTGATAATACTAGTCTAGTGATTTTTATCCTTACAAAATATTCTTGATTAAACTTCTTGGTTTGAATTATCACTCTACAACTCACAAGTGAAATAAAATGCTGAGGACATTGTCTAATTATTGAGATGGACCTCTCTGATGGTGGACGGTTCACACAAAAGATTCTATCTCCTTCACAAAATTTCATCCCAACCAAGTGCCACGTGTCATTTTGAGATCCATATAAGAATCTAACTCAATTCCACGTGTCATTCTTGGATCCAATAGCTAAATTGCCACGTGCCACATCACAATCCTCATGAGTCAACGTTTGGCTGAACCAATACCACACACTAATCCAAGGCCAAGAAACAAAGTCACTCAATTCCAAACATATCCCTAGGCTAAGAAACGAAGTCACTTAATTCCAAATCCAAACATGATAAACCCAACATCGAGATTCAAGACCACACAAACACTTCCCTATCCTCGCACCTGCGACATCAGCCCAAAACTAGAACATTCACACTTGCTTCTTATAGCCCTTCAATTCCCTCCAAAACCTGGAGAGAGAGTAAACAGAAAATGGGGTGTGCCTCATCCAGACGAATTGAGGCAACCGTTGATGCATACCGTCCGGCACCAGCAAGCTTCGCGGTCTTCAACATCAACGACATCGAGGAGCCATGGATCATGGTGGACGGTGCACATCAGCAACACCAAGAAAAACCCACGCACGTGCCGGCAACCATTCTGGAGAAGCTCAACAAGCTCGAGTCCGACACTCCTCACTCGTGGGATGAAGTCAGCAAGGCCTTGGAAGACCACCTCAAGCCCACACTCCACAACCCTACACCTCCCGCACCCAATCAAAACCCCAAACCCCCAACAACGCCACCGGCGCAAGATAGCCCCGACCAACCCCTGAAGAATGTCCCACGTAAGAGCTTCTCCTTTCACACGCTCGAAGAACTCGACGCCAAGCTCACCTTCAAACCGAATGAGTTGAGAAAGACCGAGTCAATGAACGAGTTGAACAAAGCAAGAAGCTCGGTCAAGACCGAGTTGAAGAAAGCAACCAACTCAATCAAGACCGAGTCACGAGTTGGGGTTGTTCCGGCGACCGAGTCACGTGTTGGGGTTATTCCGGCGACCGAGTCCGGAGGGTACAAGCCGGTGAAAGAAAATATATTTATAGTGAGAGACAAGTTAGAGAGAGAAAAAGAAGGGAAAGCTCCGATTTTGGCAAAGCGGGACCCACTGAGTGACTACCCGGAGAAGTGCCCGCCCGGCGGGTCGGAGGCGGTGGTGCTATACACGACGTCGTTGGGAGGGGTACGACGCACGTACGAGGACTGCAACCGAGCGAGGTCGATTCTGGAGTTCCACCGAGTGGTGTTCGACGAGAGGGACGTGTCGTTGCACGGCGAGTTCAGGAGCGAGTTGAGAGAGCTGTTGGGTGAGGAAGCGAGCGTGCCGAGGCTGTTTTTGAAGGGGAGGTACGTGGGGGGAGTGGAGGAGGTGGTGAGTCTGAACGAGACGGGTCGACTCGGGAAGATGATGAGCTGGGCACGTGTGGAGAGAGGGGTGGGGAGACAAGCGTGTGAGGGGTGTGGGGGTGCGAGGTTTGTGCCGTGTTTGGATTGTGGAGGAAGTTGCAAGTTGGTGATTGGTGATAAAAAGGAGAGGTGCCCTAACTGTAATGAGAATGGATTGGTCCACTGTCCCCTTTGTCTCTGATTATGGTGATTTTATCGAAGGTCATGTAATGTTGTTATATAGTTGAAATTGTAATATATGAATTTCAGTTTTTAGAGAAAAATGGAAAGCATTGTAAAATAAAAATACCATTTTGTTTCAATATATTTTGGTCTGCAAAATGCAATCTTAAACCTATATCTTATAATTATGAAAAAAATATTGTTTTATTAGTTTGAATTGCAGGAAAGTGAAAAGAAAATAATTTTATATACCAAAATTACCCTTACGAATTTAATATAAATAATATACGTAGCATAAAATATATATATGATTGGTTTATGAATAAATAAAATATATATGTGTGTGTGTCCAAATACAAATTTGGTAATTGAATAATTTTTTTTTTTTAAATGCGGAGAAGGGTTCCAATTTTAATAATCATAAAGTTGTAACATAATAACAAATTCTAATATATCGACGAAAGAGATGAATGAATAAATAATTAATAAGGGCATAATAGGGAATCAACTCTTATGGGAAACTATATGTTTTTTGGAGGAAATATTTTTAGAAAAATTAACGAGAATAAAACTTTTCTTTTCACGCTAATCAAAATGTAAAAAAATTTAATTTTTTTCCTTTCTTGTTATTTCATGTTAACCAAACTAAATCAATCCTACCTAACAATCTGAATTTGGGCTTTCTATTAGGCGAATTCATTTTTTAAGGTAAGCCCAAACTACTAAAAGATCAAATTGGATTTCTATGATCCAATTTCGTTTATCTAGATATGCATTGCTTCAAAGAGGAGCCCACAACCTAACGGCCCTAAACCCAAAAAATTAATCAACATAAAAAATTCAATGCGCCATTATTATTTATTCTTGTGTAAAGATATAGAACAAAGATGGGTCGAGTCCACAAAGTACACATTAATTTAGTCATTTTATTAGGTTCTTCTTCATTGGAGCTCTCTTTACCAACTACTGGGTGGTTGGGTGTGTTTTTAATTTCCATAACGCGTAACTTACCAACCTCAAAGACTTGTTCATTATTTGGTTAGGTGCACCATCTATATTGTCTCATATTGTGCATTTTCGTATTGACATCTTTGTCCATCCTCATTGCTGAATAATTCAAACCAAACTACCTATACTAGTAGTATATATATTATATATACTTATAATCTATAAAATGAGATCATCAATGAGTTGTAATCAAAGACTCAATAAGTTTCTCAAAACAGCTCGCATGCTAATATGCATTTTTTCTTTGTCATATAATAGAAACAAATAAAATAAAAGACGAGAATAATAATAATGTTGAATCATTGAATTTTCTCTTTTTCTTAGCCTGACTAATTTATCCTTACGAGACTACAACCATGTTGGTGGATGATAGAGAATGTTGAATCATTGGATTCTCTCTTTTTCTAAGCCGGACTAATTTGTCTTTACAAGACTACAACAATTGATAGATGAGCTTACGAGGCTAAATTAGTCATTACAAGGCTACAACCTTTAGCGGTGAGCATTAAACTATAAGCCTGTCATAAACATATGGAATACAAGAAATTTGCAGTGAGCGAACCCCAATCATGATTTTTGATGTAGAATTTGCACAATTATAAACCATACCATTACTTTGCAGGAATTGAGTAGTTTGTTGTTGAATGTTTCAGTCCTAAGTTCCTAACCACCCCTAATTACTTTAATTAAAGTGGGCCACACCAACCATTACGGTGACACTGGTCCAACAGCTATTCAGTTATCTTCTAAACTTGAAATTTAAGTGACATTACGAAGAATCACAGTACAAGGTACAATAGATAGATATATACTCAAATTTGATGGATGTTTAGATGAGAATTGAGTGTCCTGATTTCTTTTTCACCTGAGCTATTATTACATTATTATTTAGAAAATCAGATCAGTAACATCAACAAACTGTACAGGCATATATTTGAAACCTCAATAGATAGATAAATGTCAGGGACTTGGAGCCCCAGTATCATTTCACATGAACTTGCATAACTTATTTACACATCAAACAAACTGTATTTATGTTCCCTATTTTTCCTCTCCTCCAAACTCTTCAGAACTACATATATATTATATGACAGCCAAACGAGTCTATATTCTCTTTATTTTCACCATCTATTGTGTCACATGAAGTAAATACATGGGCTATATTTCATATACCCTTTCTCTATTCTTCCTCTTCAACTTCCAAACTCTTTCAAAACTAGTATTACCCATATAACTCTTCTCTCCTTACTTTCATCATCCTCTGTTCTTCACTACCATTTCGTACGCGTAACCGCGTGTGGTGTGGCCGTATAGCATGTTGTTTTAAGAGTCGTGGTCTTCGAATATATCCAAGAGAGAGAGAGCCTGCAAAATTCGAAGAAAAGGGTACGATTAAAATGAGTACAACAATTTTCTTAACGTGCCTACACAAGAAGCTTTTACAGAATCTCAACTGAAGTGCAGAAACAATGATATTTACCTCTGGTATGTTTAGTTCGAGGCGGAACTTGGGGCCGTCGTAGTGGTGGAGGATTGGCCTGAAAGAGTCCTCCTCCAGTGGCTCGCAGACTTTCCTTGTCATAACTCTTACCTGTGCACAAGAAAAGTGGTGACTATTGCATTAGCAAACTTGAAGTGCTCTTATTGTACCTACCGAAAATGAAGTGCTCCTATGTAAACATGTAAATATATACAAATGAAATGATAATCGATGAACATACCTGAGCAGGGAAACGCGATTCACCGGGGTTCTTTTTGTCCTCCCAGGCAGTCGGGTCAATATTTGTTCCTCCAAAACTTGCAGCCTAAATATATAACGACATCTTAGTTTAAAGAGCAAATTCGAAAACAAGGGCCAAACTAGTTTTTAAGACTTGAGACCTAGGGAACCCACAAATATAAGTTACATCACCCACAAATATAAGTTACATCAAGCAGTTGGATTAGTCCGACTGTCAGACTGCATGTCATTTTCCAACCCACTGTTCAACTCTCTTTATCACCTAAACTAACCTAACAATTTAAAAATATCAAAAGGGAAGAGAGAAAAACAAACCTCAAAAACTCCATGCAACTGGTGGGTGGAATAGTTGTAGAGGAAAAGGGGCAAGCCCGGTGTTATGGCGCGGACTGAATCTCGATAGCGTGGAGGCAATCCTGATAAAGACAAGCAAACATAGAATTAGACTAAACAATCTGAAAATGTTAAAAGAAATTCCAACTACCACAGGCTGTGTTTGATTGCTATTGCTTGAAGACCAAATTCCAAACTAACAGTTTGGTTGCTATACATACCAAAGGACTAATCTAAATTCTCCACTGACCAAATTTAGAAAGACAACTCCATAATTCATACTAAAAGCAACATCTTTGAATAGCAAAGATTGAATTGGGCTAAACAAAGTGAAAAAAAATAAACAAATTCCAACAACTTTGATTGCTATGGGATGAGGGCCAAATGCCAAACTAACAATTTGGTTGCTTTTCATACCAAAGGACTAATCTAAAATCTCCATTGACAAAATTTAATGCATACTAAAAGCAAGATCTTTGAATTGCTGAGAGTTTAATCTAATTCTATACAGTCTAACTTGGTTTGATAAAATCACTAAGCCAAATCTCAAAATTAAATATTTTGATCAATCTAACAATATATTTGCAGATACACACACACACACACACACACACAGAACAAACAACATCCAATTTAGCTATTGATGGGCACTAAGTGACTCCAATCATCTAATCTCCATATTGGTTTTGAAGCAGGGCATGTATACAACATATCATTCAAAAGGGGCAAATAATTAATCATATGTATGAACACTTCTGCAAGTTCAAGTTGGTAATAATTTTCAATTATATATCAAACTAGCAATATGATATCATATATGTGAAGAAATCTAGGAGAATACTAAAACAATTAGTAAGAGAATATAAGAGGGTACATACCAAAAAGCTCCCTCTGGAGATTCTCTTGCATTGTATCATTGTTGCAGACAAATATATACCCACCAACTGTTTCATTTCTAGGCAGAGACTCTGAAGGTGGAAGGGTTTTGAACCTCTTATCAACGCTGTTCTTACCACCATTCTCACTGTTATTGTTACTCTTATTCTTCTTCCCACCTTTCCCTCCATAATGATCATCTTCAACCTTACCACCACTACCATTCTTATTCCACTTCCCATTAAGTGCAACATTATTGTTAATATTGTTGTTGTTATTGCGATTGAAATTCAAAGAAGGCTTGGAATAAATACCCTTATTGAACCCACCATTAAGCCCAACCATATCCATATTCTGAGACGATCCGCCGCCTCCGATCGATCCGATCCCGGAAGATCCGAACTTGCCACCATAGTTGAACCCATTAAAGTCGTAATTATTTGCCTTCAAATTGTTCGACGAATTGACCAAATCGAGTTCGCCGCCGACACTGATATCAAAGTTTCGCCTCTCCTCAGGCCTCTTGGAGCCATAAGAGTTGCTCCAAATCGAGTCGTTGAGAGAGAGATTGGCCAAATTGTTCGTCAAATTGTTCGTCTGAAGTCGAAGTTGGTCGCTGAATTGCCAGAACTGATTGTTCTCCATTTCCAATATAATCGATTTACAATCAAATCAAAGACAAAATGAAAAATAAATAACCCAATAATACTTTTCAACGATATGTATGTGCGTGTGTGTATATATAGATGAAGATAGAGAGAGAAAAAAGAGGAATTGAAGAGAGAGAAAGTGAAGAGGAAGTTGCTGAGAAAGAGAGATGGCGTGTAGATTTGTCAAAAGCAGAGTGGAAAAATTGGCGCACATATGAAGGACTTGATTGAGCAAATGAGAGAGAGTGGTGACGGCAAAACCGCGTTAATTAGAAGGAGAGAAAAAGATTGAGGGAATGACGTGGAGGAGAGAGAGAATGGAGGAGTGGTTGATTTGTTTGTGGTTGTGTTTCTAGAAGGTCCAGTAGGTTTTGAAGTTGATGAGTTCACACTGATGTGGTTTTTTTTGCTTAGGTGCTAAGATAAGTCTTCGTCACACTTGTTTTGAACTTACACGTGTTCAATTAGCGCCTGATTGGAGAGAAAAGAAAAAAAAAGAAAATAAAAAGCATGGTGCAGAATTTTATATTGTTTTTGGTATAAATTATAAAAGGTTAGAAAAATAAATAAAAAATAATAAGGGGAGGGATACAAATTAAGTAGGATTGGTGAATTTTGTTATTGAAAAGGGAGGAAATAAAAGAAAAATAATTAACAAATTTTAAAATTAATTATGTCCTTATTCTTGGTATATATAAAAAATCAAAATTTATAAAAAAATAATATAAAATTTATTTTATTTTATTTTTTATATATGCAAGTGGATTCGAGCTATGGCCTAACTGGTCTGAGCATAAGACCCAAAGTGAACCATATATATTAATATTGGTCCAAGCCAAAGGGCTTGAATTGATCATAATTCATTATTTATATAATATAGATATATTTTTTTAAGGTAAAGTATAAAAAAATTCCTTAAATTATGTTTGAATTTGTAAATAATTTCCTTAAACTATATTTTGTGCATAAAACTTCCTAAATTATCTCATTTTGTTGCAACATATCCCAATACTTAGATTTCATTAAATGGCCTTAATGCCCCTTCTTATTGAATTACATTAAATATATTTTTCTTATCTAAATAAATTATAAAAAATTTCATACTAATTTGATGAGATATTTGTATTAAATTTGCATAAATTTACCTTTAATTTTTTTAATGAAATATTTAAATAAAAAAATTTAGTAGAAATTTTCTTAAAAAATTAATTAATTTTTTAAATTTTTAATGAATTTATTACATGAAAAGAAGGTATTTTTTTCAAAAGTACTTTATTAATTTTTCATCAATATATTTTATGAAAAAGATGATTTTTTTTTTTACGATAAAAATGTTTAAATTGGTTATAATACGTTTTATTATAAATAATAAAGTTTTAATAATAAGTTAATCAATTTAGAAAATGGTAGTTACAAATTTATTTATCTATTTTTTTCATTTTTATGATAAATTGATACTAAAAATAAAATTAAGGTAAATAGTTTAATTAATATTTATATAAGAGAAAAGATAATAAAAATAATTTAATATGAAATGAAAATTTTAATGAGAAATGGTAAAATAGTCTTTTGTAATGGATTTGTTCTTAATTGCAATAAATCAATAGTTCAGGGGGCGATTTTTAGTTCATAGGGTTATTTGAAAAAGGATAATAGTTTAGGGTTTTTTTTTTATTATTATTCATAACCCTATTTTTTATTTTAAAAAGTATTACACTAAAGAGTTTCCCCGAATCTACAAGTTTTGAGTATTACCCATCTAGACGTAAATTATATTTAAAGAGATACATAATCTCATCTAAGTAATGATCTCTTGCACTCCGTGGAGCAAGAAAATTATATTAAATTTAATAGTCACATTCCAAACCCACCTATATGATTTCCTTTTAATACAAAAGCACTATTACTATTTTAAGTTTCTAAATTTAATATTTACTAATACCACTAATTGCAACAATAAAAGGTAAGTACCAAACAAATAAAACTAGAAATCACTTCACCTCTGTAACTAATCAGAATTTTGGTTTTCTTTTATGTTTTTGTTGTTACTTTACATATTAGTTGCCTTTCATACATTTTTTACTTACCTAAAAAAAATTATGGTAGTGAAAAAGAAAATAGTGATAGTATATTAATAGCAATATTAAAGAAAACACTAAGAAAAATAACTAATTTACAAAAGAAATCTGAAATTTCATATAATAATAGTATTTTTTTGTCGTGAATCTTCTCATTACATCAATAAATTTTTTATTTTTATTTTTTTATTATAGTAGAACTAGAAAAAAGATATTGCGTTTACAACTAGTAAGAATGTGGAATAAAATAAAACAAAATTAACAAGAAAGACGAAGCAATTTGTGACAAAGGGGTCAGATAAAAATTGATTGAATTTCTAATTTTTAAATAGCATGCATTTAGAGTTGTATACAACAATTTAAATTGTAATTTATTAAATTTTTTATGGGTGAAGTGTGGTGCAAATCACATGTTACCTTAAGTTGATCACGTGGATAAAAGAATAGATATTTTATTTTTTATTATTTTTTATTTTTTAGTTGATGTTTTCTATGTCAGTAGTGTAATTTTTAATTATTATTTTTTTTCACACTCAAACAAATAGGTAATGTCAACTTTAGTATCAAGTTATGGATGCAATTTTTTAACACTTATAAATTTTTTTAAAGAAACAAAATTCCGATTTCTATTTTTATTTATTTGGTATTTACTTTTTATTGTTGTAATTAGTGATATTGGTAAATATTAAATTTAAAAACTAAAAATAATGATTATTTGTTTTGTATTAAAAAAATATATAATATAGGTGAGTTTAGAATGGATCATTAAATTTAATCTAATGATCACTTTAAAAAAGTGCGCAATTTTTTTTTTTATCATTACTCATACAATCCTAGTCTTCCTTTTAATGCACGTAGAGCAAGACATCATTACTTTAATCCCACAGCACATGCTTGTTCAAGTAGGGCCCAAATTTATAGCCCGGCCTCACTCATAACACACAAATAATCAGCCAAGTTAGATTTTTGTTTGGGTTAAGACACATAAACGGCAATAATTTTGTTCAGAGATAGAGAGAATTTTTTTTTTTTTTGTTTTTTTTTTACATGTACATATCGATATAGTAATATATCAGTCTCTTTGATAAAATTAAGGGAGAACTATATTTACATAAATCAATAATTATTATTTAAGTGTAAAATATCCTTCAAATTCGTATTTCAAAATATTAAATTATTCTCCTTAAATTAAGCATTTTCTTAATATAAAAAATATTAAATTATTCTCCTTAAATTAAGTATTTTCTTAATATAATTTATTTACTTAAAAAATTTAGAAAAATAAGATCTTTCCGTTAACTAGATATATATATATATTTTTTGGCCTCTGACGAGATATCTATTACTTATTAAAATTAAATAGTACTAAAATTATGATCAATTTATTTTTATTTTTATTTTTACAAGATAAGAAGGTTTAGAAGTTAGATTAGTAGATACAAATAATCGAACCTTAACATTTCAAAATGCACCGAAGACACTAACCCACTGGATTATCGGGGCACTTACCTGAGCAATTTATTTTCAATACAAACAAGTAATATGATATAAACTCATTCTCCATCTGTTTAAAGTGTTACGGGATATTTAATAATTTTCATAATTTGTACAACTCTTTCCTGAGTAGCAGCAACAACACATGATTTCATGAATATTGCAGTGGAAAAAAAAAATTATGATTGTAACAGTCCTTTGTTCTAAGATTGAACCTATGGTAAAAATAAAATAATAATAATAATAATAAATCATTGAAAATCCATAGTATTAAATAATTGTCTTTTAAAATAAATATTGCAAGAGTAATGCTATTTATCTCTGAGTCTTACAACCTTAACAACCTACAATTCAGAGCTATATTTAAAATTAAAGGATTAATACTGCAAATACAAAAGGTCTCACAAATTTAAAATATTTTTAAGTTTTAACCTTCAAGAGGATTCAAGAAAAGTGGAGAAAAGAGAGATAGAAAAATGAAACAGAGGAATGCATAATGAATTAGAGTTGGAAAAAAAAAAAAAATTGTAAGAAAATTTTTATAAAAAAATATAACTGATGAAATAGTTGAGGAGAAGAAAACAAAGTAGTGTTAATTATTGGAAAAAATGACCAAATGTTATTGTTAAACATGTGATGTGAAACTGTTAAAAGAAGTTTTGAAGAGGTTTTGGTATTTGGGAGCATTCTTTAAAATTTCAAAATTTTATTTTTGGGGTCAATTGTTAAAATTTAATACCTACTATACATAAATTTTTTCTGAGGCAAACATAATTTTAAAAAACTTTGGGGGCCTAAGACTACTGGGCTTATTGTTTTGCCTCCATTTGGGCCTTAATCTTTCCAGCCTCAATTGATGGGCCGTAATTGATGGTTCTTTTGTTATTTGACCCATTCCTTACCTCTGTACATAATTTACATATTTATGCTTGAAATTTTGAGAAAAAAATAATAAAAAAAAAAGTTGTAATGAGAGCATTCATGAGTATTTTTTTTTTTTTAATCTTAATACAATATGAAGACATTTCAAGTACAAAATAAATTTAATTTTTGCAGTAAAAATTACTCCATCCCACAGCCTTTGGCTACAAACATTTTTATCTTTTTATTAATTATTATTTTTTGTATAAACTTCATCCCACAGCCTTTGGCTACAAACAAAACGGATATATATATATATATATATATATATCCTTAAAATTGAATTGGTAACACTTCTTTCAGAATATTTTCCCTTTCAAATAACAAGAAAGAACGTGTATATTCGAGAATTGAGGTAAAGAACAAGCAAAATAATCAAAGCCCAATACCCAAGTTCCTTTTGTTCCTTTCTCAAGCCCACGAAGAGTCTTAACATCAAAATATAGATTTTGTGGTCAAAGAGTGGACTGAGTTGTCTTCTTCTTAAAAGTCAATCTTGTCGACTTTAACCTATGGTTTCTTTGTATGCCAAATAATAATCACACACACACACACACATATATATATATATATATATATATATATATATGGTACGTTTTCTTTTTCTTTTTGTTATATTTCTTTTATTTTTTTGCTTCGTATATTTGGCATATATATATGGTACTATATATATATGTATATATATATATATTAGTAAAAGACACGTGCGATGTACGTGATGAATGTTTTGTAACTTATAGAATTTTTCTTTTTATATATTTTTTA